ATTGAAAATCGCATATAAATGTAAAACATCGCACACATATATTGAACATCGCACATATATTGTAAAACATCGCACAAATATATTAAACATCGCGCAAATAATGAAAAACATCGCACACTTATATTGAACATCGCACATAAATGTAAAAAGATAACAAACACATATTGAACATCCAACATATATATTGCAAAATATTGAATATTGCAACGTTTGACACGCCATATATGGTGGCCAATTAAAAATTGAGGGCGCTGTGAAAATTTAATGGTCTAAAAAAAATTCGCTCGTACCCCCGCCCTGCAAACAGGACGCTGGGATACTTCGATGGGTCCGAGCCCAGACAGTAAATAAACTTCCATAGACCCCAATAGTAAATGCTCCCACTTCAAAAATTCGGGAAAAATACTCACAACTCTCCAAGGTGTTGGAGACACACATCAAATTCAAGCTTATCGCATCATCTTCCATTTTCTTTTCAATTTTCGGGGGGTTAACTGATGACTTTTAGGAGAAATTTCCATCCGAAGATGATCACCCCTGAAAATAGTGTTGAAGCCCATCGCCATTTTGAAAAAACGATGCCTACACTCCATTGCAAAATAGAGCGCTTTAAGAGCCCCTATTTTATCCAAATTGAACGGAACTACAGCTCACAGTCCTAGTGTGCATGGCTTCCACCCATATTTTTTTTTAACAAACCCTCGAGTTCATGGCCTGCAGCATGCTCAAATACTGAGGATTTTGAGGCCATGCAAATCGTGATTTGGCCGGCGTAGGTAAGTTCAGAATCTTGTGAAGGGAGTGGCATATGACCTATATGTTATACCAGATGTGATTTCTGTTTCATTGCGGACCATGTGGACACAATTTTGAGCATCGTGATAGCGGCATCAGCATCAGCGGTTTTCTCCAAAAGTTTCAGGTCTAGGGCCTTCCCGATTTGCATGTTGGTTGGCCTATTCATCCGCTTTCCAACGGTATAAAGTTTGTCCAGAACCGTCCATGTTAAGGAACCTGTAGACTGCGATACATGAGAGCCATGCCGGTTGGCGCTGACAGGCCTTGCTATGGGACTTAATGCACAAAAAACAAAACTAGTGGCATCAGCTACCACATCTGCAGTTTTCTCCAAAAGTTTCAGGTCTGGCGCCTTGCCGATTTGCATGTTGGTTGGCCCATTCATCCGCGTCCCAACGGTGTAAAGTTTGTCCAGAACGGTCCATGTTAAGGTACCTTTAGACTGCGATACATGAGAGCCATGTCGGTTGGCGCTGACAGGCCTCCCTATGGGACTTACTGCACAAAAACGATACTAGTGGCAGCAGCTAATAAATCTGCAGTTTTCTTCGAAAGTTACAGGTTTGCCGCCTTGCCGATTTGTATGCTGGTTGGCCCATTCATCCGCTTCCCAACGGTGTAAAGTTTGTCAAGAACAGTCCATGTTAAGGTACCTTTGGGACTTACAGCACAAAAGCGAAACTAGTGGCATCAGCTAATACATCTGCAGTTTTCTCCAAAAGTTTCAGGTCTGGCACCTTGCCGATTTGCATGCTGGTTAGCCCATTCATCCGTTCCCCAACGGTGTAAAGTTTGTACAGAACGGTTCTATTTAAGGTACCTTTAGACTGCGATACATGAGAGCCATGTCGGTTGGCGCTGACAGGCCTCCCTATGGGACTTACTGCTCAAAAACGAAACTAGTGGCATCAGCTACCACATCTGCAGTTTTCTCCAAAAGTTTCAGGTCTGGCGCCTTGCCGATTTGCATGTTGGTTGGCCCATTCATCCGCGTCCCAACGGTGTAAAGTTTGTCCAGAACGGTCCGTGTTAAGGTACCTTTAGACTGCGATACATGAGAGCCACGTCGGTTGGCGCTGACAGGCCTCCCTATGGGACTTACTGCACAACAACGAAACTAGTGGCATCAGCTACTACATCTGCAGTTTTCTCCAAAAGTTTCACGTCTGGCACCTTGCCGATTTGCATGTTGGTTGGCCCATTCATCCGCTTCCCAACGGTGTAAAGTTGTCCAGAACGGTCCATGTTAAGGAACCTTTAGACTGCGATACATGAGAGCCATGTCGGTTGGCGCTGACAGGCCTCCCTATGGGACTTACTGCACAAAAACGAAACTAGTGGCATCAGCTACAACATCTTTTTTTCTCCAAAAGTTACAGGTTTAATTGCCGCCTTGCCGATTTGCATGCTGGTTGGCCCATTCATCCGCTTCCCAACGGTGTAAAGTTTGTCCAGAACAGTCCATGTTAAGGTACCTTTGGGACTTACAGCACAAAAGCGAAACTAGTGGCACAGCTAATACATCTGCAGTTTTCTCCAAAAGTTTCACGTCTGGCACCTTGCCGATTTGCATGCTGGTTAGCCCATTCATCCGCTTCCCAACGGTGTAAAGTTTGTCCAGAACGGTCCATGTTAAGGAACCTTTAGACTGCGATACATGAAAGCCATGTCGGTTGGCGCTGACAGGCCTCCCTATGGGACTTACTGCACAAAAACGAAACTAGTGGCATCAGCTACTACATCTGCAGTTTTCTCCGAAAGTTTCAGGTCTGGCACCTTGCCGATTTGCATGTTGGTTGGCCCATTCATCCGCGTCTAAACGGTGTAAAGTTTGTCCAGAACGGTCAATGTTAAGGTGCCTTTAGACTGCGATACATGAGAGCCATGTCGGTTGGCGCTGACAGGCCTCCCTATGGGACTTACTGCACAAAAACGAAACTAGTGGCATCAGCTACTACATCTGCAGTTCTCTCCAAAAGTTTCAGGTCTGGCACCTTGCCGATTTGCATGCTGGTTGGCCCATTCATCCACTTCCCAACGGTGTAAAGTTTGTCCAGAACGGTTCTTATTAAGGTACCTTTAGACTGTGATACATGAGAGCCATGTCGGTTGGCGCTGACAGGCCTTGCTATGGGACTTACTGCATAAAAACGAAACTAGTGGCATCAGCTACTACATCTGCATTTTTCTCCAAAAGTTTCAGGTCTGGCGCCCTGCCGATTTGCATGCTGGCTGGCGCTGGCCCATTCATGCACACTATTGGACAATAGATGACGCTTTTCAGGGCGGCTCACGTGCCGGCGAAATTCCAAACAAGGCACTCGTAATTAAACGGCTGCTGGTAAATAAAGGGCATTTTTTTAAAGGCCACTTGTTAAAAAAGGCACTTTTTACAAGTATTGGGGGGGGGGGGGATATTGGGTGGGGGAGGGTAAATACCCAATAACCTTCCCCCCCCCCCCCCCCTGAGTCGGGCACTAAGCCTCTTTTCGAGTCGTTTCCATGTAAGGTCTCGAACCACTGAAGAACCAAACAATGCTATTTCGAATCTCCGTTTCATAAATGTGGCAACCGATTTTGAACAGCTTCCAAAGTATCCGTCTTAATTTGGTGATATGATGAGGATACCAGAACATCTTCAACTGTGGCCTGACACACTGAAGTTTTAATTGCAATGATAAAAAAATACGTCGAAGAAGACCTACTAGGTTATGCTGGCTTTGGTGACAGCTTTGACAAATATTGTTGTTCCAGTTAGGCCTAAGTGACCCCAATGTATGATTGTCCACAGGTTGAAGTTGAGAATCAGTGAATCACCCTGCAGAGAGTGGTCTTTTCCTGTACTGTGGGCATGCTGTGGGTGGGTGTCGGACGCTTCGCCCCATTTCCACATCGCCCCATGTCACTTCGCCCCTAACCACTTCGCCCCATCCCCACTTCGCCCCATTCCCACATCGCCCCATCTCCGCTTCGCCCCATCCCCACTTCGCCCCATCCCCACTTCGCCCCATCCCCACTTCGCCCCATGTAGTATTAAAAAAGGTGAAGGCTAGGGGTGCAGACCAAATAAACTGCCAAAGACCCCCGATAATAAATGCTCCCAATTCTAGAAACTTAGGAAAAATACAAACTCTCTGATGAGGTGCTCGAGACACAGATGGAGAAATGATGGCTCTATCCCATTCAGAGACGCCTCTCCTATTGGCTTGTGAATAAATCATCAGCCGCTGGATTCAAAAGAATCCGTAGGTATGGGGTATGGGTCAGTGAGTTAAAAGGAACTCACTGCCTTGAGGAAAATGTTCCGTCAAAATTTGTCTCATATGTGACACTTACAACTTCATTTAGATGAGATTGATTCCTCCAAGAGTGAAATTAGGATGTCAAAAGTATTGTCGTTCTCAGATAAGTGGGAGACGGGTTGGTATAGCCAGGTTGGGAACAACGTTGGATCTTTTACTTCAAGCTTTTTTCTCGGTAGGGGCATGGAGGAAGGAGCCTAGCTTGAGAGGTTGGTTATGAATTGCCATTTGGTGATGGGCTAATTCTTTCCGTTGGTTAGCAATTAGTGAATCTGTTGAAATTGTTTTTTAAGCCAAAAAATAGATAAGATTTTTTTTTACATGTAACGGCTGGGGCGAAGTGGGGATGGGGCGAAGTGGGGATGGGGCGAAGTGGGGATGGGGCGAAGTGGGAATGGGGCAAAGTAGGGATGGGGCGATGTGGGAATGGGGCGATGTGGGATGGGGCGAAGTGGTTAGGGGCGAAGTGACATGGGGCGACGTGGAAATGGGGCGAAGTGTCCGACACTGTGGGTGGGTGATGTGCATTAACAAAGCATTTCTTGATACTGAATTTCATCAGTCATCGATTTTGTCGATCTTATCAAATGTTTTTTCAATCAAAAGGAGGGGACAAAGTTTTGGTAGTGACGTTGGCAGTACTATTTGGAGATCTAAAGATGTCTTTTGGGAGTCCCACCTTGGAAATGGTATACTATAGCAAGATCGAAGCGACCATGAAATTAGAGTATACCGCCCTCAAACGCCTCAAGCGTAGAGCTAGAAATTGATTGACTAATGATCACGCCTTCAATTTAACCAATCATCTCTTCACGTTTGGACACACCTCCGGATATACGTGACGTCACCATGTTGGCACGTCTACAACGCAGGTCGTGTGTACTGTACTACGTGACGCATGTGGCCGGCCGGCATTTTATATTACGCACTTACTTACTTTGTAAACGTTGATCGCTCCACAAGCTGTGATTTCTTCCTTTGGAATTTGAATAATTATTGCTGGATTTAAGGTAAGATTTATTTCATATCGCTCTTCCCAATGTCGAGAATACAATGAGAAACCTTGAAGACAAATCTACCTAATCTTTGGTCATGTTGGTGGACAGGAATGTTGGAATATGCGAAACAGACATGCCCGCGTCCAGCAATTTACCGCTACGGTTGGGATGACCATAAATCGGAGGAAGGATTCCTTCGGAATGTCAGACAAGTCGACCGTTGAGACAACTCGACTCGGGACAAGTCGACCGTTGAGACAACTCGACCGTTGAGACAAGTCGACCGTTGAGACAACTCGACTCGGGACAACTCGACCGTTGAGACAGCTAACGTGCACGGCACGTGCACGGTACGGCCACGCGGTTGACCGGAGATGCGCGCACAGGCCCGGCAAAAACGAACGATGTGCACGGACAATCACGCTGCGCTATATCGGCTCTGCTCTGTTACGTGTCATAACTCCCAAACGGCGATCAGCCGCCGTCAAAATCCCCGGTGCTATCCCCAAAACTAGGCCCAAAAACATGCGAGGCGACTTGTATCAACGGTCGACTTGTCTTTTCATTTATCGCACATACGGTCGAGTTGTCTCAACGGTTGAGTTGTCTCAACGGGCGACTTGTCCCGAGTCGAGTTGTCTGAACGGTCGACTTGTCTGACCCCCATTCCTTCCTCCATGGGATGACCGCATGACCACGCTACATGACGACGTGTATCGTATCCGCATGTGACAATTTCGCAGTTCATCACGACGCCAGTTTTTATCTTAAAGGGAATATACAACATTTGTAAACATCGAAAAATAAAACTACCAAGTTTTGCGAAATACCTTAACAGGATGTTGGTAAATGACAGTCTAAAGCATCCTGTAAAATTATGGCACCTGGTATACTGTCATTTTCAAGAAAAGTGGTATTTTTGTATCAATTTCCAACGCTGATCGGCCGATCAGCGTTGGAAACAACTGGCTTTTTTTCAAATACTGGCCCCAATTGACCATTGCACTTGTTTGCAATCGATTACAAACCTATGAACGGGTACGAGCCAGCTAGACTGGTTCCCTGACCTTACAATTCCCCAATGTATGTAAACTGCTCTGTTTCTTCTTATATGGAGTCAGGGAACCAGACTACAGGAAAATGATCGTTTTTCTTGGTTTTTATAGCATTTTCGAACCCAAAACCTCCAAAAAGTCAGTGTAACTATATTTGCTTTATATTTCCAACCCCCCAATTCCATCCATTTCTGAAAATTACAGCAAAAGCAAATGATGTATATTCCCTTTAATAAAATCAATGACAGTTTCAGCCCCCCCCCCCCCCCCCCATCCCCCGGTTTAGTGGTCTGAACTTCAAATGTCGCATTTAGTGGATCAGTTTTCACAAGTCAAATGTTCCAAAATGGGGAATAATACTAATAGACCAATAGTACATAGATTGTGTTACTAGTTTTGTGTTGGTGGTACCATTAGGCCAAATAAAAAGAAAACATGTTTAGCGTCCTGCCTTTTTGAAAAAAAGGAAGCGGGGGCCTTTTTTCCCCTCCAGAATGGTAATCTATGTTAGGCCAAAGAAAAAGACTGGTTTCTGGTATGCGCGCGTTGCCGTAGCCATGTGCGTCGGCAAAATTAAATAGTTTTTTTTTCAATGTACAGTAAGATGATGTCTCACAACCGCCGCAGTGTCGTTAACGCACAAGGCATGGTGTGTTTGCTGCCACCAATGTCTCAAAAGTCTCGCATTTGATTGAAACTAAAGAGAGGCCCGCAACTACACAATCACTTATAAAGCTTAGTTAAAGGAAGCATCCATTTTGTAAAAATTCAAATTAAGTCGATCAATAATAACTTCATTTTTGTGTAAATTGAATTAATTGTTAGATGGCAGAGTTACCGAATGGGAAGAGGTCGAAATGGACTGTGCGTGCATCAGACATGGCCAACAGGACACACAACCCAATCCGAGCCATTGTAGATGGCTTGAAGCTGGAACCCAACCCAGATAAAGACTTCATTGCCCTGTCACTGGGTAGGTGTGCGTAAGCCCTTTAGTTTATGCAAACATATCTTGGGCCCCACTACTGCTGCCTGCAGGCAGTGAAAAAAGGAAGGGGGGCAATTTGGATATCCGCTTCAGAGACATAAGGCCGAGTAAAAAAAAAATAGTTTCTCGTCCGGGGTTTTTGAAAAAAGGGAGGAAGCGGGGCTTTTCATTTTTTATTTTTTATTTTATTCAAGATGACCGCCTTTTCAAAATTTCCTGCAACCGTTGGTGTTCCACTGTTCAAAGACACTTTTAAAGATGAAAGACAAGTTGGAAAAGAGAACTGAACATATTTACAGTGTCATTTAGAGTTGTATTGGTATTGGTATTTATTTTCCAATGAATTTGTAGACTTTTTCGGTGTGTTTCTACAACATTTTTCAAAAATAAAAAATAATAAAAAAATCCAGGCGGCCTCCAAAAAGGAAACGGGCGGGGACGAGAAACTTGTTTTTTTTTTTACTTCGCCTAAGCACTATCTGACACATTTTTGACACATTCTGCAGCCATTGCAACTGCCTTTTGGAAAAACGCATAGAAAACAAAGAGATACCAGTACACTGTGCAACGGGAAGCACAATTACATTTACCTGGTCACTGACATGGAAAAACTAATGTGCAATGCTAGACATCTACATATACATGTACATGTACAATGAACTTGATGTTGTGCCCATTCTTGAAAATCACGCATTCTCGAGAATGGGCATGCACATTCTTGAGAATGGGCGCGCATTCTTAAGAATGAGCGCCCATTCTTAAGAACGAGCACGCGTTCTTAAGAATGAGTGCTCATTCTTAAGATTGGGTGGGAATATCACGTGCACAATTTATGAATTTTGCCCAATCTTAACAAACATTGCACGACATAATTATGTTAAATGAATTGTATAGCGGTTAAAAGGGAAACAATTCATATCAAGAGGAAAGAAAATGTGCTATGCTTCTGTACTCGTATAACTAAGATAATTTGAATCAAATTAAACCTGTTATTATTGCTTTTTTTCTGCCCACTATGGGAAGTTTTGTAATAACGGAGGACTGGGAACTAGTCTGGGAAGTGCTTTGTTTAGGCTAGACAAGTTACAAGTCCCTGCATGTATCATATGCGTGCCACGAAAAAAAATGATGTCCAGAAGCTGCCAAAATTGCTCTTTTGACTAGATAGAATCCAGCTCTGCGACGTTATGGTGGGATGTGAACAATAAATTTGTGGCAATTTAAATGGGAAATAGCATTAGCACTATGGGATGTCGCAGTATTCATTCTCATTCTTCACATTCTTCATTCTTACGTCCCCCCCCCCCCCCCCCCCCCCCCCGCTTTTATTATCCCAAAAATCAGAATTCTTTGCACTAGTATTATTATGTCTCTTATATTTTCCCGGTCCCCCCCCCCCATATTAATACGCCTTTACTTATCATATCCACTCTACTTTTCAGCGCCTTGCGTTGCAACAGTATAATTATTGAGAATCAGTGAACGAGGATTCAGCTAGACTTGCCAAGCGCAGCCGGTGCTCGGCATCGACAAGACCGTTATCTTGTCGCGCATTCTCGAGAATGTGCGCTCAATCTGGAAGAGTTATTTTTTGCCAAGATTGAGCAAGGATCCAGTTGCACATTCTCAAGAATGTGCATGCCCATTCTCGAGAATGCGTGATTTTCAAGAATGGGCACAACATTGACATGTTACATGTACATACATGTAACATGGAGCTATGTACATTTGTACATTAGAACTTCGCCAGACTAGGACCTTGGGTGCAGTCATTTAGGACAAACTCTCACCAAAGTTTCCTTAAAACATCAGGATAACTACATGTAGGTTGCTAATTCGTTTCAAACAAGATAAGTAGTTCCCATGGTGAATACCAAGTGAAAAAAATGGTCCAAATTATTTCAAATTCAGAAAACATTACTTTTAATATGGAACAGCTAGATACTGAAGAAGTACTGTGTTTGAGACACATTTGTTAGGGCTAGCATGGAGTGTGAACAACATTTTTTACCTGAAGGTGCATGTACACAAACCTTGGGCCGATTTTACAAAATGCTGAGACACGTCTCAGGAAGGGTAATTCGTCTTAACGCGCAAAATTGATCGAGTAGAGTAATTTTTCTGACAGAAGTTCATGTTCTATGCACATGCATGCGCGCGAGAAGTTTGTTTTGGGCATTTCTTTTCAACGACTATTTCGTCAAGCGGAAAAAACAAACATGAAACAGCCATCAAATTGGTAGTTTTTATGCGTCTTGCTTAAGATGGGTTTAGTGAAATTGGTCTTAGGAAGCGGCTTAGCTAAGATCGATCTTAGGTCCTAAGATGAGATGGGTTTTGTGAAATCGGCCACTGCATTGTCTTTGAATTGTTGCATATGTAGCAGCAATGGCACTCAAGTATCATTCAACTTTTCTTTTTCACAAATGATGGGGTAGTCAGTTCATAACTTGCCTTTGTTTTGGTTTGCTTCAGGGGATCCCACCCTATTTGGTAACTTATCCATTTGTGAGGAAATGCGTGAAACTGTATGTGATGTCGTCAATGGTATGAAGAGCAATGGATATGGGCCCGCCTTAGGTAAGTTGTTTGTTTGTATTCTGGTATGTAAATTTTTGTATAAAGTTTAAAAATTTTAACTGGTTAGACATTTTTGCAATTGTGTTTATTTCGCAAGTTTGGTGTCTGTCTTCAAGGCTGAAGTTTCTGTCAGGAATCACTGACATCCATCTTACTTAAATAAAAAAAAACAAAAAAAAACTAAATGTTAGTTTATTGTTTACTTCATTTTTAACAAAATGTAATCAATAAATGTGTTAAGGAATTTTTTTTCTCACTTCTAAGGGAAGTTTAAGCAGTGTTTATGTTTCAACATACATACATGTACATATATGTACAGTGTACGAAGTGCCCCATAAATTCCCAATTTACCTTTTCATTTCATTTCATTTCAGAAACATTTATTTCCACATGAATAATCACTTTAGAAAACAAAACAATTGTTACATAAAAACTACTAAGTGGAGGCATTACACAAGAAGCCGGAGCTTATAAACGGAATGCCTTAAACACAACAAAAAATATATATAAACAATACTGAAAAGGGAAAATATATATATATTCTCCCTCCGGAATGGCAAAACTACATGTACACCAAATGACAAAGAAGAAAAAGAAATTTAACGTACCGAGTATATGTACATCTAGTGGTGTGCATTTACGGGTAGTACAACACGGGTGCTCGTAAAAGAAACCTAACCACAAAATTCAAATCCATGAAGTTGTCAGAAGGGCTTTATAGCTTTATGGTGTAAACTGCAACTTTTACAAGCGTCATCTGTCGGGCATTAAAATGCACATATTACATGAAAATCTGTTTTGCTTTTCCATGTAGCCAGGTTTTCATTTTGAAAATGCTCTACAAATGGCCTCAAAATCTTTCTTTTTCATTGTCTGAAAAGTAAGCACGTTATCAATTCGTAAAGTTGGTTATGGGTACCCGATCCCATAAACTGGACCCATTTCCTGACATCAGCGGTCGGGTAGGCTACTCGGGTACCCGGTTCCCACGCACACCACTAGCACCGAATAAGAAAGATGAACATGTTATACAAATATTGAGTGGTTCAGCGTGGAATGGGAGGAATATTATCGCAAGGTAAAATCTGGACTTTTCCATTTCACAAGGCGAAGCCAAGTGAACTGGAAAAGTCAAGATTTTACCGAGCGATAATATTCCTCCCATTTCACAATTTAAAGCCACTCAATATTTGTTTTATATAACTGACATTTAGATCCTTGTCATTTGATATATATGAACTTTTATTTCAATACAAAACTGGAGGAAAATGTATTTCTCTCTTCTAAACCACCCCTTCACGAAAATGTTTGAACCCAACGCTGTAGCACTGGCTCTTTGGAACAATACGCGCTACGCACAACGCTTAACGCGCACACCATCATGCATTTGCACACAAACACCGCGTCGTGATCCTAACTATTCAATAGTATTTCCCATTCCCCATGGGCGGATAGTACTTTTTTGAGCCGCGGCGTGAATGGGAGCAATAACGAATGTCACGTTATGTGAGTTCCACCAATCAAATGACAAGGATCTGTTTGTCGGTTATTTAAAGGCTGTTTTCAAATGGGAAAAAAGCACCCAATTACATGTACAAGTTGAATACTGCTTCCCCTTTCCCTTTGATGTCGGAACTTGGTGGGAAAAAATCACTGCTGCACACTAAAAATAGAACTCATCTAATCAGTCTAGGAAGCATTTAAGCATGATCAATACTGTGTGGACTTTCTGGGTTCACATTTCCTGGTTTGCTTTTCATCACACATTAATAGGACAATTAATATGCACTGTCTCTGGACATCCGAAAGTGCTCTCTATCCACTGTCGTCATGGCAACACGGTGATGTCATAGCCATGAGTGCTTCATGAAATCTAATGTGATTAGGGACAGACTGCTATGATGTCGAAGACAGTTTAGGTTCTTGAGAGTTGCTTCAAGGGCTTTTTACGCCTTGCTTATGAACTGCTGTTGACGAGTCGCATACATTTATGCATTGCTGTTCTTCAAAGTTGCTCTCTCCTCTATTTTAGAGTTTCACCTAAAAGGTTTTGTTTTTTAAATTGCTGTTTGTTTTAGCAATAAAGCTAATTTTTTTTCACTTTGGAATGAGACATCAAGGAAATTAGGAATAATTACTTCACAAATTATGAATTAGTTGCTGCCTGGCAATATTCAGGTGTATTTTTTTTTTATACATTATGGGTACAAGAGCAACCCAAAATAAAAGCACATTTTCAGAGGGTTGAAAATATCCAAAACAGAAAGAGTAGTTTTCTTTCACTTTCAGTTTCAGTAAAAACTACACATGTACAATTTAAAATGCGTTAAGATAAGATAATATTGAATATTTTGTATGGCATGGATGGAGCAACTTTGGACATTTGATCCAGAAGATGTGCATAGAATCTTCAATTTTGGTACATATGCAGACCACATGTACTGGTACTTGACTTTGGCGAACCTGCATCATGATCATTGGTCATACAAATGTCAAACAAGCTGGACTGAAAATATCTCTGAAGCTGCGGGCCAACAAATTTTTGTTAAAGGTGGAGTCCATCATTTGTAATTTGTGCATTTTGTTCGTTTGAAGCAACAAAAGTTCTCAAAATCCAACGAAGCGTGCTGAACAACTAACCTGATGAAGTTTCAGCTCAGCTTTAGCTGAACAACTAACCTGATGAAGTTTCAGCTCAGCTTTAGCGCCCGTGTGCGTCGTGTCAAGGCTTTGCCTTGAGATGCATCGTTGGAAAGGCCTTCCTTTATGATATACAGCTTTAGCTGTATATTTCGAGAAAAACAACATTCTAGGATCTCGATTTCAAATCAAAAGTTGCTGAATCATGTTTTCAATTGGGCCTGAATTCATCGTCCGAGACACGTTTTCACTGAGCCGATTGCAGCTCAAGATGTCGCGCACTGATCCCATGAATTATAGCCTCTGCGCGCCCGTGTGCGTCGTGTCAAGGCTTCGCCTTGAGATGCATCGTTGGAAAGGCCTTCCTTTATGATTTCTTCAAAATGACAGCTGGCATGCCACAAAGAATAATTTCACAGGGCGTTTAGTTCCCTTACTATCTTTCAACCAAGTATGTTTTTCAACAATAATTTTGTCAGTTACTTTTTGGATAGCTGCAAATGATGGACAGTATATGTAGCTTTAAAACAAACCTTAGGTTTTTGATCCCAGTGACCCCATGATGACCTTTGACCCCAGTTTGGTTATGTGACATGTTGGGGCTGGGCTACTGATACTTTTGACCATGTTTTGACAAAGTTTGGTTGAAATCGGTCAAAACATGTGAGCAATTATAGACAATGTCAACATTTGTTACTAACTAACTAACTTACTAAGTAAATGAGAGACATGATGATTTTTTGATCTGCTATCCCACAGCTGAAAACATCATGTCCTACTTTTGATCCTAAATACCGGTAACTCTGTTGTTTACCAATGGAGTTAAACAAACAAAAAACATCTCAAGCGCTGTATCGACATTGGAGGATGCCAATTCAAAAGTGGCAGATTCTGAAAGTTAGTATTTTTTCCAATGGCGATTAAATCTCACCCTCTTGCGCTAAGCTGATGAAACTTGCTGCATACAATTTGTCATGACTTGTTTACATGATCTGAAATTTTGGTTTAATTCCATTGGTAAACAACAGAGTTATTCAGGATCAAAAGTAGGACTTTTTTTTAATGTAGTACCGGTACATACATAACATCCACATGAAAGTCCTGATGATTGTCCTTTATTAAAGTTCCCCCTGAAACGTTTTGGTCAACTTGGGCCCCAGACAAAATTGTTCATGCAGTGGTGTTCTGTAGAATTTTTTTTTTTTTTTTCAACTTGAGTACACAATAAAAATTCACATACACTGTACCTGCATAAAATCAGGTGTGAATTTTATTGGAAATTCAGATCAATAAATGCCTCTGTGTAATGTTTGTACGGTATAAATTTAATCCTTTCCGGAAATGTAGATTTGTACTGGTTGCTGATGACTTTTGTCTTTAATTAATGTACCGGTACATCACACTGATTTTTGTTGCACACCCAGTTGCCTGGATGTACCATAAAATTGCAAATTCAGCAATGTTCTTAGCCAGATAATTTCAACAACAATGATGTACCTCCTGTACATAATTGTAAGAGAAAATTACTTGAAAGCATGACAGCAAATGTCAATGTCAATACATTTTAAGATTTGTTTGTGGTTCAATAGCTTCAAACTACATTTGGTGCTTCAGATAGATTCCAAAAAAGGATGATCCACCTTTGGACAACACACCACTCCCAAGGGGTCAATGGGCACTTTATACAATTGAGTGTGTTACATACATGTACGTGTACACTTGAACATGTATGCTTTAATACTCAAGTCATCATTGTGTTTAGAGAAACATGTTCATAATTTTTATCAGAACAGGACGTTTTGCTTCCGGTAGTTATCATAAAATCAACAAATTTGTCTAGAATAAGAAGTTAATTTATAACTTCATGAACATATGGCCGTCATAACCTTAAACGGGAGTGATTGAGATAACATATTTAACCCAAATAATCATCATGATTAAAAGTTAATATTATTAAGGAAAATACTAAAATGCATTTCAATATTTGCCAGGTCAACATAATCAGCGACAAGTTTCCAAAATTGGTGGTTTTCAACCGGTGTATTGTAGGCCTTAAAAATGATAAACAAGGAGAAAAGTAAAATGACCACCGTTTCATCTTCTTCTTATCTTTTGTGCTTTGCTAGAAGCTATAAATATTCACAACAGTATGAACATGATGAATGATCTAGCAAAAACATCTCCTTTTTTTATCACCAACAGCGTGCATTTTGACTAACTTTGAATATTTTCTTTTATGATTTTGAGTCAACTGGAAAATTTTCATATCTCCAAATATATGCTCAATGCTTTTTCAAAGGGTTTCTTGATCAGAATTTCATAAGAATCAGACAAGCGGATAAGAATTTCTCGTACCCAAATCTTACTTGAACAGTTTTCTTATAAAGAATATAGGCCTACAATTCTTACTCACTTGTAAGAATTGTAAAAGATCCCTATGAAAATCCTTAAGATCTGGTCCAAATGCCCATGGAATTTGCATTTAGAAAAACAAATGGTCTTGATACATTTTGCACACCGTAATGGCATGAATGGGATACAATTTCAAAGCTGCTATGAAAATGTTACGTGATTTCCAAATGGAATTTGCATCCAGACAATGAAAAATTACAAGCTGTATGCCAATGAAGACCGTGGCAATCATAAATTGATCTAAAAGGTTCTTTTGTTGTCTTCCAGGGCTGGAATTTGCAAGAGCTGCTGTTGCCAAACAGTTTTCTATCCCGGAGTCGCCACTCACGTCAAAGGTACATATCCCCACCACTGTTCGCTGTTGAAACTGCCAAGGAACATATTCTGCAGCTGTAATGGAACAACATGTAGTGTTGTACATTTTCGTGTAGTACGGGAACCAGGTACCTTGTACCCTATCAAGGTTAAACACGGGTACCATTAAATGAAAAGCTTTACAATGTAAATGGACCGATCCAGTAAGCACCACCCCATAGCGTTCTGACCAATCACAGCCGTGATTTATGTCTGACGTGCGTGCACAAAAGTCCGACGTGCGTGCACAAAAGTCCGACGTGCGTGCACAAAAGTCCGACATGTGTGCACGCGCGTATGATGCGCGCGGCAGGAAAATGCAGTGTGGCATTGGAGAGGAGCACACGTGTGTTAATTTGCCCAGTGCGCATTGGGCGGAGCTTACTGGATCGGTCCATTGCAACATTGGCGAGTGTCATCTGTCGCGCGTTAAAATGCACATAAACATAAAATCTGTACGGTTTTCCATGTAGCCTGGTTTTCAATTTAAAAATTCCCCACAAATGGCAATCACATATTTCTTGTTCATTGTCTGATAAGCTACTAAGTAATTTTTAAAGTGGGTGACGGATACCCGATCCCATAATCTGGAACCAGATCCCATAATCTGGAACCGGTTCCTGATATCAGCGGTCGGGTACTTGGGTACCCAGTTCCAATCACAATCCTAAATGGAATAAATAGTTTCAGTGCTTGGAAAAAAAATGAGAAATACGTGAAAAGTTTATGTAGGCCTAAGCCTTAGCCTGCATGTTTTTTGTCAGTTAACATGCAGCACAGTTGCACCGAATTTCATGGCATTCAAACCAAGTAAAGTTGTGCTGTCAAAAGCAGGACACAACTTGTACTGTAAACATATTTGTACAGAGTTTGTACGTGAACGCCTGCTAAAACTGTGCATGCAAAGATAGACCCTTTTCATAAAGCGCCCTCACTGAGGGAAGGTGATCTTTGATAGTTGATACTCATGAGTAGACACTTTGTACTTCCATTGTCACTTAATTTAAATTACAAAACCTTTCCACAGTGTTGACATTTTTTTTCTAAGCAGTTAAGTTCTTCCTCATGAAGTTGTCAACTTTTTTTTTGTATAGTAATTGCGTCAGGGAAATGGAAACTTCCATGTAGATGTACAAAAATGTAGTAATCTATAAGCAGAACGCCTCAGTCGCGATCAGTACTTCTACAAATCATAAAATTGTTGTACACGTATTTCTTTGTTATAAAAAACAGATATTTAGCTGTTATGCCCAAACCTGTCTACACATCAGATTTCACTTTGTCTGTCTGGTTGTGCAACCCTGCTGTTCTTGCAGGTCAAATCAGTGTCATATCCCTGCAGGGAAGCAGGGGCGACTGAGTTCAAATCCTGGTGGTATATCTGATAGATTTATTAGATGGCAGGTTGAATTAAGATTTAAAGGTACTCATTTCATTTTGGCCAGACATTGTAATATGTTCATGAATCGTTTACATGTACCTAAATTATTTCAAAGGTATGGATCATATCATAATGTCTTACAATTGTAGAGAAATCATTGGAAAACCCTGTTTGTTTACATGTGAAGTGGCAGTAGTTTTTGGCCTTGTCTTAACGTACAGGTATTTCAAGCGTAGAATTTTGATCCAGACTGTCACCAAAGGCTGGATCTGAATACAGTGTAATTCACTGTGAGATACACTGTGAATATCAGGGCCCAATTTTATGGCTCTGCTTACCATTAGCGAAAAATCCCTGGTTACTGTAGCAGAAACGTCCACGCTTATGGTAAGCGTATTTCACAGGTTAACGAGGAATTTTGGCTTCTGCGCGGTTAGCACAAAATGGTGATCGTAAGCATGGAATTTTGTCGTTAGCAGAGCCATGAAATTGGGCCCAGCTCCCACGCTAGCTTCAGAATTAAACACATAGCGATCCCATGAAGAACAATTTGAAAAGAAATTAAGATGTGTGACTGGAATCGGCTCGGCATTTGGGACCACATTTTTGTGTCTGAAATTCTTTTGCATGGTTATTACACAAAAACAGCAAATTTCCAAGGTACCGGTGTCATATGAAAATCCGACTCCTTTGAAAATCGAACCCCTTTTGCCTATTATTGGTTAATCCCTTGCACATCACTCTCTCATGATCCTAATACTACCAATGAGTCCATATTTTATGGGGTCAGATATTCACGCTATACATACACATACCGATACAATGCGAACATTCATATTCAACTTTTTAATGGTCTTTTCAATTATCATTTTGTGGTAAACACGTGTCCAAATGGGCACTTTTTCCTCTCAAAGATGCTGTTTTTTAGAAATAATTTTGCCTGTAGCAATACTAATCTGTTTCGGAACTAATTTTTTATTTATGTCTTTTGTATTTTCGTGGATGTTTGTGTGAAAAAAAGTGTAAATTTGAATATGTGAAAAACTGAAATGATAAAGATCCGAATACGTGCGTGTGTACCTTGAATCTATAAGCAGTCCATTTGGAAGCAGGTTCTTATGCAAGATGGCCTCTGATAAAACCATGAATTAGTAAAACAAAAACGTGTACTTTTACACTTTTGAGATCCCTCTGAAATTCTGATTTCAAACCAGGCTGCTCGCTAATACAGTGTATGTTTATTTTACATTTTCTTTGTGAATTGCATTAACGTAGACTCATATTGTTTTTTGTTCCCCCCCCCCCCCAGGATGTTGTGTTGGGCTGTGGATGTTCAGGTGCAATCGAGATGGCGTTATTGGTGCTCGCCAACCCTGGAGATAATGTCCTGGTCCCATGGCCTGGGTTCTCAATCTATCGTACTCTGGCTGGATCCTACCAGTTTGAAGCCAGAGGTTATAAGCTGCTGGTATGTGAGGTTCACAATGTGTCTTGCTGTGGGAAATCTGGAGTCTTACTATGTATTTAAAGTTGCTGTCCCTTGTTTTGTCGTGAAAAATAGATTTGTATTTTAAATTGCCAAGTTTTTGTGCAACTTTCTACTCCTCTTCAATGTATGAACACTAGATTTGACATCTTTTTTTGGGTTAATTTTTGTTGAAAAGTGCACTTCTTTAAATGTTTCAAATTTTCCATGCCGTGATGTCTTTTCAGGAACAGCGTTCAGTGAAAGGGGTTTCTGTTCAAATTGTGAACCCAAAATGTGCTCCGTGAAAACGTTTTGTGAGAAAAGTTTGCTCATTGGCTTACTGACATGTACTGATGCACTGACGTGATCTCCAAAGACTTAAAAACAAAATTTAGAACAGCAAAATATCCAAAATTCAAGCAACTTGTTTTGCTGAAACAGCCCAGAATGACATCACATTTCTGGTCATGAACATGGAAATTCGCATTAGCATAAAAACAAAAAAGGAACCAAAATACCCTTGAAATTTTTTTTGATTTTTTTTTTTTTTTTAGTCCCACGATTTTACCTTGGTGATATGTATGTGGCCTATTTTTCGAGTAGTATAATAGGGGTGTAAGTGGCGACACCAATGTCAAAATAGTCCGCCCCCGAAAAAAAAACTCAATTTTTTTTCTGCGGCCAAAAATTTGTCGGCAACATTTGGAAAAAAAAAAAATTGAGCCCCTCCCCGAAACCAAATCTTTGGTGCGCCACTGTTTTGAAGGACACTTGGGTCTAGTTCAAACTTGTAATCTTTAAAATTGCTGACATTATATCCAGCCTGAGATTAATACATGTATTGTGGATCCATTCTTCTCACTTCAGCCAGAGAAGTCGTGGGAGGCAGATCTTGAACACATGGAATCCCTGATTGATGAGAAGACGGCTTGCATCGTCGTCAACAGTCCCTCCAACCCATGCGGAGGCGTCTTCACCAAAGAACATCTCCAAGACATCTGTGCAAGTAAGCATTGCCCTTAAATGTGACCTGTCACCACGAAATGAGCTTAAAGTTGGAAAGTGCCATTTTGCAGTACAGTGGGGAAAAGCCACCATTTGAAGGGGTGGTCGATTATTTTTGTTTTCAGATGAACATCAAACCATCTGTATTTTCATTGCCCGGTCACCTTGAATATGATTCCATGTATTAAAGGGAATATACATCATTTGCTTTTGCTGTAATTTTCAGAAATGGATGGAATTGGGGGGTTGGAAATATATAGCAAATATAGTTACACTGACTTTTTTGAGGTTTTGGGTTCGAAAATGCTATAAAAACCAACAAAAACAATCATTTTCCTGTAGTCTGGTTCCCTGACTCCATATAAGAAGAAACAGAGCAGTTTACATACATTGGGGAATTGTAAGGTCAGGGAACCAGTCTAGCTGGCTTGTACCCGTTCATAGGTGTGTAATCGATTGCAAACAAGTGCGATGGTCGATTGGGGCCAGTATTTGAAAAAAAGCCAGTTGTTTCCAACGCTGATCGGCCGATCAGCGTTGGAAATTGATACAAAAATACCACTTTTCTTGAAAATGACAGTTTACCAGGTGCCATGATTTTACAGGATGCTTTACACTGTCATTCACTAACAGTCCAGCAAGGTATTTTAAAATTATTTGGTAGTTTTATTTTTTGATGTTTGCAAATGTTGTATTTTCCCTTTAATCTACAAATGGACAATAACTACTGTGTTGTATTTCAACCATCTGTATGCAAACAATTAAATAGCATATGGTTGGTTACCCTAAATTTGCATACAAGCCATATTATGTCACTGTAGAATAAGTGCTTTGGTCAACTAATTTGTCACTTTTTCAAACCATATCACCCTAGATTTTTAACACAATGTAATTTTTAACACAATACACTTTTTTTTAACACAGTGTAATTATAATAAAATATATGTATGCCTAGAGTTTAACACTATCCCTCTACATGTAGATCCAGTTTCATTTGCATGATTCTTTCAGTAAATAGAAGTGCTACAGCAAGACAAAACATGCCACGTAAAGCTGGTCACAGGTGCACAAAATTATATTCAATTGATTCAGAATGACTAGGGCCTATTCACTGTAATTTCTTTTTATGTTTCTGGTTATACTCATTGGGCTGGATTTAGCCCATTCATTGGCATTATAGCATAAATCTATATCGATAGCACTGCACTGCACACCCACGAAAGTCAGTGAGTGAGTGAGTCATCGTGAGTGCTCTCAGTCAGTTAGTGAGATACATGTACCTGTACGTGCATGGTACATGTATATAAGATGGCAATAGTCTTGCTCTCTTGGACCAGCACTTCATGTACATTGTACAATGTACCTGCGCAAGGGTGCACCCCATAGACACATGACATATGAACATTCCCATAGGCACCAGTAATAAATCCCCATTCTTCAAAATTCTTTTAAAAGGTGTTCAGGCTGCACAGGAAAATGATGATCAACAAGTTATCTGTCATTTTCTTTTCAATTTTCGGTGGGTTGACCATTGACTTTTCGAGAAATTCTCATCCAAAGAAGACCACCCCTAAAACGAATGATGATTGGAAAACCATAAAAAGTAGCCATTTTGAAAATGATCCCTCCTCAACATGGCTAAGTAGCGTCACTTTCGGGCCCGATTGAATCCAAAATGCTGAGAAGTGGAAGCCCAAGTCCAGGACAGAGGTCTAGTGCCTCATGTCTTCATTTCCCAATTCCATGGCTCTCAGAACTCTCTAATAATAAATTTGATGTATAACTTTTATTCATGAGCTTGGCGGATGGTAGCCTTGGTCAATGCTCTCGTCGTTATTCGTCCCGTACGCGGTCAATCGTCGGCATATATCCTCACGCGCTATGCACATGCATGTAAAAATACAGCGTGAACAGCGACCTCACGCGGCCACTATTTTTATATGCAAATCAGTTGGGGACGATCGAGAGCCTTGGTTCAATCGTCCATGTGAGGTTTTGGGGGTGGTGCTCATTATGTTAATAGCCTTAGCTGACCTTAAATGTCGTTTTCTTATTGGTCAATCGTTGCGTGGAAACTTGCATAGTGAAACGTGGCACCGTACATAATCCATACACGTACACGTTGTGTGTCTCTGCACACGGCACCAATGCACAAAAACTGTGGTTCCTGTCACGTCCGCAAAAGGCGAATAGCTGCAAATAATTTGATGACGTCCGGATTTACCAAGGTGTGATTGGACACTCCACATATTAGCCCCGCCTACACTTACATGTATCTGTATTCGCATACGAGGTCGTGTGCTAGAAATCCAGCGCAAAATAAAGAAAAACATAAGCTTTTGCCGACGATTGAACCAAGGCTCTCGATCGTCCCCAACTGATTTGCATATAATAGTGGCCGCATGAGGTCGCTGTTCGCGCTGTATTTTTACATGCATGTGCATAGCGCGTGAGGATATATGCCGACGATTGACCGCGTACGGGACGAATAACGACGAGAGCATTGACCAAGGCTTGGCGGATGGATTTTTGGCCCATTAACTGGGGCATACCCCAGTTATCAGTGTTATCATTGTAACAATATGTAGATTTTAAAAGGTTTTTATGTTTTTACTTAACTTTTCTTTTTTAATGATTGGTAAGCGACTTAAATGCCAAATTAGGTTTTGCCCTTCACCGACGTTTTTTAACACTGTATACTCAGTGCGTTACCTCCCGAGTGAAAGTTGGAAAAAATCACTCGGGTGGGACTCGAACCCACGACCTCCTGCTTTCTAGTGCAGATGTCTTACCACTCGAAGGGCAAAACCTAATTTGATTTATATCACCCCGACGCAAAATTCCATCTTATAATGACTTAAATGTCATTTTGAACGATTTGGCGCTATATGTGATGATTATTATTATTTTTATTACCCACAAACAGAAAGTTAACCTCTGTGGGTGAGTGAAAATTGACTGCCCATTACAAGTATTTGTCTCTTGTTTTTCAGTTGCGGAGAGATATCATTTGCCCATCCTTTCTGATGAGGTCTATGCTGGTATGGTTTTCCCCGGCCACACTTTCCATTCCGTCGCGTCCATAGCCAAGAATGTCCCAGTACTGACATGTGGTGGGCTCGCCAAAAGGTGAGACATTTCAAACATACAAACCTGTACAAACAGTGCCCAAAAAGTTTGTTGCAATGCCAAAACTTTCCTTTTATACCCTAACCTTGGTAGGACAGATCATTTGTCATTTAATTGTCCTTTAAATGACAATTGTCTTTTAAATGACAATGAAGCAACAAAAATACTCAAAATCTAACGACGGGTACTTAAAAACTAACTGGATGGAGTTTTAGCTTTGTGAATGCTGTATATTCCGAGAAAACAATATCATAGGATCTTGATTTCAATTTAAAATTTGCCGAGTCATTTTTTGGAAGCACACCCGAAATCAGCATCCAGGACACGTTCTCATTCAGCCAACTGCAACCACGCGATGTCACACACGATGTCCTATCGACGCTTGCGCGCACCCATTCACGGATTCCCCAAATTACAGACCAATTACTAATGGAAATTTCCACTAATTTGGAGATGGCCTTCTGTTATTGTTTTCTTCAAAATGACAGCATGCCAGAAAGAATAATTTCACAGGGAGTTTAGTGCCATTACTATAAAACCAAATAATTTTGTCAGTTTCTTTTTGGATAGCTGCAAATGATCTACTCTGCCTATAACACCTACCTGTGCTTCCGCGAAGTGGAGTGATATTCACATTGAGAAATTAATTTTGTTGTAAATCACCCAGTTCAACCAAATATAATATCCTTTCAATTAATCTCTTGAAAAATGTATTTTGCATAGGGCATGTAGGGAAATTAGCTGATATTTCTCCCTTTTTTTGGGGGGGGGGCAAGTTTTCAGTGACCTACATTTGAGTAACAGCTACACTTACATGTACCTTTGTGACCAGATTGTGTTGTCACGGTTACTTTTCAGTTTTTAATTAGTTCCATTTATCTTACCAGACATACCATTCCATTTGATAAATGCATAAAGGATTTGCATTGTAATTAGATTGTTCATTGTAATTTAGCTGTCCCCTGGATGTGTTCTTTTTTTCCCCATAATCCTGTAATTCAATAATTCATTCACAACTCATTTTACTCTTGTGTAACAGCAGGTAATTTAATTGAGCTGATTAAGTGTTTATAAGACAACAGGTTGTGGTAATTAAATTCACATGGCAGTGGCCATACTCATGGGACTTTGTGTAAAACTGACAATGTAATTCTTCTGCGACACCAGTTTGCCCTTTAAACATACTGCTGCGGAGCATGAAACTCACAATTGATGATTGGAACTTGACAATTTGGGAAATTTACCAGCTGTCCACACTGTTGACTGCAGTCTGTGTAAGTTTTACAAAACAATTCCAATGGGAACACGGCTATCGACTATCATTCCGGCTTTTTCCTCCCGCCACTAAAAATTTCATTCCATCCTCATTTTTTACCCTGGAAGCCCACTGAAAATAGTCCGGCCCAATGCCAAATAATTAAATAAAACAATTATGAATAAATAACCTTAGAATTCTTGTCGTGATCACAGGTACCTTGTTCCAGGCTGGCGGCTAGGCTGGATTCTGATCCACGATCCCATGGATGCATTCAAGGAAGAGGTTAGATTATTACTTGGAAAATAGATTTTTCAAATGAAGTTTGAGGACTTATGATGTACATGTATACGAGGCTTCGCCTTGCCTGCTACCCAGGGGGGAGGCGGCCCTGCCTGTCCCCAGCTTCGCCGCCTGACTGCTTGCCAAAAAGTGCCTGATTTTGACATACAACATCACATATGCTTGGGTGGTTGCATTGTCAGTCAGCAACTGACAGGCATTGCATCACGTGACAGGTATTTTAAACAAGTAAATGTACATGTAGGACATCCGTAAATGCCAGATGGAATCATTTTGGCCTATTTACACCTGTACCACATTTTATTACACTGTATCTATACCCTGAAGAATCCATAAGACTATACAGTGCTGGGGCATTTTGAGGCGGTACAGGGAGTAACAGGCATGGTGGTTTCAGTTGGTACAGCTAGAGACCAATGGGTTAAAGACATTTCATGACAGGATGTTGTTTGTCCACTAGGTTCGACAGGGCCTGATGAACCTGGCAACCCGTATCCTCGGTCCCTGCACACTCGTCCAGGCGGCAATACCCAAGATCTTCACAGACACTCCCAGTGAGTTCTACACCAAAAGCATGGACGTGTTTCAGGTAAGGTTAAATTACTCTAAATTTATCGAGATGGTAGTACAGTCCCCATTGATGCAGCTTTTCTGGTGCATGTATACAAGTTTTTGAGTATCAGTTCTCATCATATGAAATATTTTCACTTTTTGGGCACCACACTTTATTTGTCACTTTTCAGTTCCTCTTCCTCCCGAAATTATTTCTTCCATGATCAGAAGGAACAACTATAGATGAAAAGATGCTTCTCCCACAGATGAAATTTTTCAGATTTTAATCTGAAATCAGATTTTTTTTACTTTTCCACTGAAATTTTTAGATTTTTTAATAATCCCACAAAAATGTTTATTTAACGATTTTTCCACAATTGTTTTTTTTTTGGTTATAATTTTAAAAAAAAAGTTCATAAAAAGTTAATGAAAATGGCACGAAAATTTTCACAAGTGTAGTAGTTTTAATCTCTTTTACCAGTCGTGAATTGAGTTATTCACACCTAGAAATACAAGCAGGCCAACGCTGATCAGAACTTTTTCCAGCTGGAGAAAAGGTTAAGTACTGACCTGTGACATGGAAAACTTCACTGGGTCCCACATTGATGCGCTGCGCTGCGCTGCACTGCACTGCACTGCGCGACGCTGTGGCAGCTCAGGCCCAAGGTCCAATTTCAGATTTGTTTTGCCAAGGCCAGTTTCATCTCTGTTCTCCAGCTGAAGAAAGAGTTTGAAGCATTGAGTTCTAAGAGCCACATACTACTCCAGTTGAGACAACATGCCAATGTAAAATTCCTTTCCCCCGCCCTTTTTATTTTTCAATCAAAATATGTACACCTTTCTTTCAACAAATTAACTTCTCAGGTCACATAAAGAGAAAAAAAAATTAAAAAGTGAAAGATCATTTTGATTAAAGTCATAAATGTGAATGAGTGTTTTACCCCTCTTTCATGTCTTTGTTATTTTATTTTTGCCAATTGCCCTTTCCTTTCCGATAAGATATGTTCACAGTAGATATAAAAAGAATTTCTCAAAACTACAGAATTCGTTCAATAAACCCTGTTTGTCAGTGTAAATGGTATTTATTAGCTCATTCAAAGCAGGATATGTAACTTGAATCTCAGGTACATAGTTCCTGGTACAGGTACCATCAGAAATTTTGCTTGGTACTCGATACCTGCAGAAAATGCTCAAAGTACCAGTCTGTCGAGGTTGTCAATCCTCTTTATCAGTTTATCAGAGTTCTATTTTTATCATCTTCTGAAACATATTGCATTGGTTGTTTTTCATGAGCTATAAAAGGCCCATTAACATGTAACCTAGACCCAAGCACTTACAAGTTGCCAAAAAAGAAAAACGATATAGATCACGATACAACATGTATGATCCAGTGGAAGACACAAGGTGGCAACCTGTAGCCCCGTTTTAGTCATATTTTCTGTTTTAATTTTTGGAGACTTTGTGTGAAGCCTTCAAGGGTTTTTTTTTTTGGAGGGGATCTAGGAAAGGGGGATATAGAATAGGCCAAAAAAAAAAGTCTCCGGTTTCTGGTATGGAGCTTGCCAAAAAAGTGGTGTGGCGACGCAGCTTTTTTTTTTTTTACCTGATTTTTTTGCTTCAAATGTCGGCTGATGACTGCAAATGGTGTCCGACTAAACTTAGTGCAAATATATGGGAGTCCAGAGAGGCCACATAAAGCTTATTCTCGACCATAACCCCATCTAAAAACACGTTAAAATTGTGCAGCAGCAGGATTCCAGTCAAACCAGTGAGTTTGGCGGTTTTGAGATATCATCTTTCATTGAAAAAAAAACTTTTTCATTTTGCCGACGCACATGGCTACAGCGACGCACGCGCATACCAGAAACCGGAGACTTTTTTTTTTTGGCCATATGTATGTCTTTTTTAATGAAATTGATTTTGGAAGTGTTTGTTGTATTCAAAATAATATAAAAAAACACTTGGAAAGCCTAGAAAAAACTGTTCCCAGAGCACACAAAATCCTATTCTTTTGATTCAGAATGGCTGTTCAATGGAAGTCTTGTCATGCATCTCATCTGGTCTACACAATGGAGTTTAACCCAATTATTGGTGTTACTTGGTAATCCTATAGGATAGCACTGCCCGGCTTTCTCCACTGACATTTAGTCAGTCAGTCAGTCAAAAAGTACAAAGATGACACTCCACTGGCCCTCTGGGACCAACAAAAAAACAGAAATGGAATTTTTTTTAGTGTAACTTAGCTTAGGCCAAAAAAATAAATAAATCGGTCTCTGGTCAGCGCGCGCGTCGATTTTAATCATGCGCATCGATCTTTTTTTTTTCCAAAATGTTCCGCGGGAGCTCCAACAGCGCCCTCTATTTCCGCACCTCCATTTTTTTTTACCAAAGAGCACCAAGGAATGGGAAATTGCACCAAGGCAAATGATCAAAAGCACCAAGGCAAATTATGGAGGACACCAATGTACATGAGGACACCAAAAAAGCAAAATAGTACCCACCTTGTCTGTACAATCCAAGCTTGAAGAAAAAAAGAAAAAGAAAAAGAAAAAAAAAAGCCGCGTGGCCGCGTCAATTCCGGAACTTTGGTCTGACCAGAGACCGAATATTTTTTTTTTGGCCTTACTGCCAAACTTTTGTTTTAACTAGTTTAGAGTTGTACATCATGATACATGAACATGTACAATAGTGCATTAGACATGTTAGATTTGTTATCATTTGTATGCAATTTTATTGCATCTCTGATAGCTGTTTCAGCTGGTGTTTTAAATAATTGTACTTTTTGAATGAAAAACTTAGACTTTGAAGTCATTGTAGTCAGTGATATTCATTGATTTGTCAAAATATTTTTAACTTTCTGCACACTTTTCTCCCTGAATAGGCCAATGCAGAGTTGATTTATGATGCTCTGTCACACATCCCCGGTTTGTTTCCGGTCATGCCATGCGGAGCCATGTATTTTATGGTAAGCGTAATAGTGATCTTTATTTTTAAATAGTTGGTTTGGCATTGATAGCCTAAATTAATGCATGTTTGTTAAGAAACCTGGCAGGCACTAGTGTGAGTATCACCCGTTATCCACGGAGAAAGACTCCTGTATAATCTCTGATATGTCTAGACATATACATATATGCAAGCCGCGCACCAGCCAATTGGAGTCGACTTTACTAAATTGTGACGTCATTTCATTCCTAAATCAGGACTAAATGGTTTGATTGGGCAATTGGAATGCAGGGTTCTGTAATGCAACAACAGCCGGGCGCATAATCGCGTAACATGATGCAGAGCGCGTGATGCAGGGTTTTTTATTCCATTGTCTACGATGCGCAGCGGGTGAATGACCGAAGACCCGATATGGAAAGCGCCCGCTGATTGGTCAAAATCTAGGAGGTCAAGAGGCGGGGTCTTGCCTAATTAATCGGCGAATCTGCTCACATATCATAAACCCATGGCATTCGCCATGGGTCTGTTACATAGACCTGGTGCGTTAATTCATTCGGATATCAAAATTCAGCTGTTTCTTCAACTGCAGCCAATGACATGCCAAGGGTTTGACTCCATTCTGTACAATAAATTGTAATAGGATGAATTTTGTACACCCTTGATTTGTTTTGGAAGTCCTGCAGTGGCGCACCCAGGATTTGGCTGGGGGGGGGGGGCTCACAATTTTTTTTTCTTTTTTCTTCACATTTGTGAAGTGTACATTTTTCAAAAAATGTTGCCTAACATTTTCGGCCGCAGAAAAATATGTGGGGTTTTTTTTTGGGGGGGGGGGGGGAGGGGGGGGGGGGAGAGACTATTTTGATGTTGGTGGCGCCACTTACACCCCTATTATACTACTCGAAAATAGGCCACATACATATCACCAAGGTCAAATCGTGGAACTAAAAAAAAAAATTACCAAGGCCCCCCCCCTCCCCCTTGGGTGTGCCACTGAAGTCCTGAGTCAATCAGAAATAAGTAACATATTTGGGTGAGTTATTTGGCAGTGTGATTTACAGTGACTGATCCCCAATTAACTAGACTAGTCCAGCCATAGTCGACGAGCATGAATTCAAAGAAAAACAGTCGAACAGTGATTAACCGTAGTTCTAGATCAGTTTTGCCTCAAGTTTGGTCCAATTTTTATCAAAAGCTTAGATCATGAATTTCTCAGGTCCTGAAGTCGCGCGGGTAGCAGAAAAAAAATAATTGGAACTGCTCTATCTGTCCATGTAAGATCAAGCTGTTTTCAGGAACTCAATATGACATTGACAGTCTATTTTTGCATTATTTTATTTGCGTAGTTTGGCATAGACATGGACAAGTTTGTAGGCTTCAACGATGACATGGAGTTTGTGACCAAGCTGGTAGAAGAAGAGTCAGTGTTCTGTCTCCCTGGAAAGGTTTGTCTCGTAGCTTATAGCTATAGTCCATCATTTGTAATTAGTGCATTTTGTTCGTTTGAAGCAACAAAAGAATTCAAAATCTAATAAAGGATACTAAGCAACTAACCTGATAAAGTTTCAGCTAAGCTTCAGCTGTACATTCCGAGAAAAACCAGCATTCTAAGATCTCAATTTCAAATCAAAAGTTACTGAATCATGTTTTGAATTGCAGCTATACGCGATGTCGCGCACTGATCCGACGAATTATAACAACCGCCGCGCGCGTGTGCGTCGTTCCAATACTTGCGCGCACTGCGCTGAATAACAAAACGAACTACTAATTTAAATTTTCCTACGGTGCTTCTTAAGAATCACCGTTGGAAATGCCTTCTTTCGTTGATTACTTCAAAATGACAGCTTCCCAGAAAGAATAATTTCACAGGGAGTTTAGTTCCCTTACTATCTTTCAACTAAGTATGTTTTTCAACAATAATTACGCCAGTTACTTTTCGGATGGCTGCAAATGATGGACTATAGCTTTAATTATTATACCATTTAAGTCTTTTATACAGACTGAAACGCTTCTGTTCTTTTCTGTTTCACTTGTTTGTGTGCGTGTTTAAGGATGTGTTTTGGAGAGAGTAGATATGACTCCTCAATCGTCACCGACACCACGAACTGACACTCACGCACAAGTGGGTGTCAGTTTGCAAAAACTGCTCATTCAACAATTTCAGTTTCACAAACTGATACCCATAGGGCTCGCGCTCACATCGGACACTGACGTGATATAGAATGATTTCGTTTACATGAACTGACACCCAAGCATGTTGTGGCAATACGGACAAAACGCTTTGTGTCAGTCAGTTCATGAAAACGAAAATGTATGGAGTGCACGCTAGAAGTGCCGCACTGTGCCAGGTGTCAGTTTGTGAAAACATAAATAATCCAGTTCTGTAAAATACACGCTCGTGCTGCGCACTCATGTGCAACTGAGTGTCAGTTTGTGGTGTTGGTGACGAAATGTATGGACTCGGTTTATGAACAGTGGATGGAACTTTGTGACCACTTTGACGGCCCCAGTGGGAGGGCACAGCATGCATTGCGCGCATGTGTGCCATATATGCAAGACTTATGTTTATTATGAATGTGCACAAACCCATGGCGTCAGTGCGCAAGTGTCAGGCACTTCGGCAAAGAATCAGTGGGTGCGTTCGTTAAGCTCACCCGGGTCGACACGGGTCAAAGCCCTGTGCCGTTCGATTAGCTCTGGCGTCATTCTCGGGGCTCACCCGGGTCAGCCACCACAAACCCTGCTTTTGGAGCAGAGTCAGTGGTGGAAATACGTCACGCATGCATTGTTCATTCCCTAGAAACGGCCAAATATGGCGGCTGGACAGCGGAAATCTCAAGTGGACTTCAAAGTTGACTTTATTTGAAGTCTATAGGTAATAATTTATTGAGTTCATTGCAACTTTTGTGGCCATAATTCCAGCCCGACTTTTGTAAGTTTTGGAATAATCTCAATCTAATACCCAGTCCGAAACGGGCGCTTTGTCAGTAGCCACGGCTACGGACATCTTGTGAACATCGTGATGGCCTGCGGTTTAGCATTCGATTAGTCTGGCTGTCGTTGCTGACCTGTCTGCCTTTCAGGCATGCAACTTTTCCTCGGATCAGCTGATTTCCTCTTTTTTTTACTTCGCATGTGTGCCATTAAAAATAGAAAAACACTGTACAAAGTCTTAGAAAGATTTGAATTTCCTCTTTTTTGGTGACTTCCCGGTCTCATGCCTGGCCTTTACCCGAGTCAGTCTGGGTAAGATAATCAAACGCATCCAATAGTTCCTGCCAGTGGCCTCCCACCTTGTAGTCATTGAGGGGGTACTTGTGCTCTAAGTCCATACAAAATCACATCCACCAAGGAAAACTGATTCAGCTGACCAAAATCATAGGTTTGTCCTGTGTCACTCTCGAGTCAAGGGTAATCGACGCAGTTACCGCAGTGTAGAATAGTTTGGGAGTGCTACCGGTACTTGACATGTTTTTTGCCCTTCTCACAGGGAAATTTTCAGGATACCTCAACTACGTTGGGAACATATCCCTCAGTTTGGCCATACTTTCATACGTTCTCATGGGGAACAATTGATAGATGCATTTAAAGGGAAAATACAACATTTGCAAACATCAAAAAATAAAACTACCAAATCATTTTGAAATACCTTGCTGGACTGTTAGTGAATGACAGTGTAAAGCATCCTGTAAAATCATGGCACCTGGTATACTGTCATGGTATTTTTGTATCAATTTCCAATGCTGATCGGCCGATCAGCGTTTGAAGAAACTGGCTTTTTTTTCAAATACTGGCCCCAATTGACCATCGCACTTGTTTGCAATCGATTACAAACCTATGAACGGGTACGAGCCAGCTAGACTGGTTCCCTGACCTTACAATTTCCCCAATGTATGTAAACTGCTCTGTTTCTTCTTATATGGAGTCAGGGAACCAGACTACAGGAAAATGATTGATTTTCTTGGTTTTTATAGCATTTTCAAACCCAAAACCTCAAAAAAGTCAGTGTAACTATATTTGCTATATATTTCCAACCCCCCCAATTCCATCCATTTCTGAAAATTACAGCAAAAGCAAATGATGTATATTCCCTTTAAACTATGTATGGTTAGAATTACCAATATGTGGCCCACTCCACGGTTCCATTTCATAGTATCTCCGACTGTTGCTAACTTCCGAGATTTAATTTCTGTTTTCCAGTGTTTTGAGTACCCCAACTTTGTGCGGATTGTCACATCTCTGCCCAAGGAAAAGACCGTGGCTGCCGTTGAACGGATCAAAGATTTTTGCGCAAGACACTATTGTGGCAGCGCTGACATGGCTGAAGGAAATGGAATAAAGTAGGCCAACGGAACAAAATGTACATGAACGATGAAATATATTATAATGTAATTTCCCTGTGTTGCTGTGTTTGACAAAGATTTGCAATGCAATGCAATGCATGTACATACATGTCTATATATACATCATCTTTCCCGATTTCCGTACAAAACATATACATGCAGGATTCATGATTTTGCGAAATGTACGTGGGCCGTTGTCAAAACTGACATGTTGTGTTTGAGATGCAGTGTCACCCGGAAAATGGGTTCCGTTTTTAAATTCACCGTTTTTTTAGCAATAAAAAAGTTACTTTCTTTCAAATGAGACATCAAACAAAGACATATTTGCTTTTGGAATAAGTACAACTGTTCAATAATTAAGTTCTTGAAGGGTGGACTGGTTCCCGCCCCCATCACAATTGATAATGTAGGGACTGGGAACCAGTCTACTTGCAGAGCGGACCTGTGTACAAAATCACTCCCCCCAAAAAACAAACAAAAAAACCCCACCTTTTCAGACGTTTGGGGCACCCAAACTAGCAAAACAATTGTTAACATAAAATATACAAGTAAAAGTTTGTTAGGAGAAAAAAAAGTGCATCTTAACTTGAGACAGTTGGGGTTTTTTGGCATGAGGGTTGAGAAAATTTTGCCACTGGAAATACCCATCGCCAGCATAATGTTACAAGCAGTGCATGGGCGTTGCTTACCAAGAGTTTAGGAGAAAACCCTTCACAAGCTACTCAGGTGGGACGTGAACCCTCATGCATGCTAGTGATGACATTGTAACAGTTCAACTATTGTCAGGTAGAGCAATGAAGAGTACTGCAGTTGATGAGTTCATTATATTTTGTGCATCAGGGTCGTGTAATTTTTGTTGTGAACAGCAAAGCCAAAATATGGAAGTTTTAATAAGATCTTTACCATTCCCTTAAGGGAGCTTGTACAAATATAACTACGTTACCACATTATATTTATTCAGACAACATTTTGAATGGATCAAAGCAGCATGTGTTTTTCTTTAAGTTGGGGCAACGTTTTTTTTGGCCTATCTTTTATTTAACTGAGGGAAAGGTTTAAGTTTTCATTGAAGTGTTTCAACTCGTAGCTTTTGAGTTTTTTTGGTTTATCATCATTTTACAGCATTTTAAGTTATTTTTAAATTTCCTATAATCTGGGAACTTGCAGTGCAAATTATTTTAAGTGGATTTTGTTTGTTTACAATAAGTTAACGATAGTTTTTACCTTATTATTAAAAAGTCTTGAGACTTTGCGGTGAAATATGTGTTATAAGTTACCAAAAGATGTTTATTTTGTGGTTCATTTTTCTGAAAACTTAATTACTGAAAACTGGTGTGCTTCAGAACGAATACTCAGAGCGTGCATATTTTTGTGTGTGCAAAAGAAATTATTACGTTTAATATTTTCGCTATGCTGCTTGTCCTAGATGAAATGGTAGTTATATTTTATTATTTTACAGAAATTGTGTGTATATTGTTCTGAAATCTAATACTTATACTGTCTCAAAGTAGAGATATCTAAATTATATTTCAACTCTTATGTTTTCACTTTCATTGTCAGCATAATTAAAATGTCCTTGCATGGGTATGTTTTTCTTGATATTGGTGGGTTTTTTTTAAGAAAAAAATTGAATTGCAGTGCAGATTTTGCTTTGAAATCCAGACTGGAGTATATCAGAATACATCATTTACCATGATTTATCGTGATGTGATATTTCCAGCTTTTATTTTACATGGAGCCGATTATCGTCCAGTGATCATTTTTCAGCATTTTGCCCCCACCCCCTTTAGTTCCATGACTATTAAAATAGCTTTGTTTTCATGTATTGCAGCTTTATAGAATTAGGGAAAACAAATCTTATTGACAAGTCGTCCAAACTGTTTCGTTATAATTCTACGTAAATACAAAACTAACATACCACTGAACGCATTGTGTACTATTTGTGAGGCAATTGTCATAGTATTTTTCGTATATTATTTGTCTTATTCTAAAATCACACGATTAAAAAATTAAACATTTTAACACTAACAGTGAACCACAGTAACCCTTTGATGATCTGGGTGCACATTTAGCAAAAAGAATATCCTTCTTGAATCAGGTCTGCAACATATTATTATACAAATAATGAATGTTTATAAGTGCAATGGTCAGAATAATTTCATTCGGTGACAGAGATGGATATTTGCCTCGTGGAATGTAACATTCCATCTATCACCGAATGACATTATCCTTGCCATTGCACGATGTGATGAAACATACAATCCTCATCATCTGATTGGTCAGAGCCACCAATCGTGCAATAGAACTTCTATTTACCATGGACTAGAACTTTTATTTTTGCACTGCAGCCGGGCCGTGGGTTGGAACTTGGGACGAATAATGCAATGACAAGTGATCAATGACCCACCAATCAGATGACGGGAATTTATTCAGACGTATAATACAAGTATAATTATTTGTGTCATTATGTGCGTATACGTTTGATTGAAATATGGAATTCTTTATTTTGGATACTCAAAACAGCATTTCATATTTTATTTATGTCGGGTTTACTGGTGTGTTGTATTTCAATGTATTTTTTGTTGTGCATTATACAAAGTTTGCTTTTACTTGTATTTGTGTAATTAGGGCAATTGTATTTGTTTTGTTCACAAGAAATTCCTTTCTCTGCATTTTAAATGATTCAATCCGACAATGTATCACTATCAGTCAATCAGTTGAGCAAGAAACTTGGTCAGTCATTCGGGGAGGCATTCAGTCAGTCAGTCAGTCAATCGCCAATCAATGGACCGATCCAGCAAGCTCCGCCCAGTGCGCACGTGGGCAAATTAACACGTGCTCCTCTCCAATGCCACGCTGCATTTTCCTGCCGCGCGCATCATACGCGCGTGCACGCATGTCGGACTTTTATGCACGCACGTCGGACATGAATCACGGCTGTGATTGGTCAGAACACCATGGGGCGGTGCTTACTGGATCGGTCCATTGGTCTGTCATTCATAGTCAGTCGGTCACATTGAATCATTTAACATTCACTAATCAATCTTGAAGTTTAACAAGTGCAAATTTTAACAATGCATGAAGGGTACCTGATTTCAAATCAAATGTCCTTTTAACATTAAGTTGTGTTTGCTGAAATATTATAGGCATTTATTGTCAAGTTTTAGTAGGACGCTTGTCCGAAACACTGATAAAAATAGTTTTCTTTTGCTTTTAAGTCCAACATATTCTATACAGTGTGTGATGCACTGATGCACCAGGTCACTGGTCTGTTGATTGAAGTACATGTAGTACATTTACACATTCAAATGCATGTGTGTGCTGCAGAATGTGTGATTTAGTTTCTAGATCAATTAAATATGAATCTATATACAAGTATTGTCACAGAGACACTAGAATGATGGTATCAGTTTTAAATAAGCCGAAAAAACGAACAATATAATGACTAATTCACAAATTGTTTCAGATGTGACAATTATCAACTATTAAAGTGTACAGGTTGTTAAGATGTAGGTGTTATTTTGCCTCGTAACTGAGTGAATAGAGTTTTGATTATTAACTGATCAGGGTTAATATTATTAAACTGAGCAGGGTTAATATTAACCCTATACCCTGACTTAAACCATTCACCCCTTGCTTCTCATATACTCAGCTGTTTAAAGTTTTCCCCAATAGTTTATCCCTCCTTAACAACATACATGTATGTAATGATTATTTCAATAAAGTGTTGAGGAAATGAAACGTCCAAAACTCTTGTGTAAGTAGTGTTTTTTGGAAGTTGACTGCAAGTTATTTATTCTTCATGGCTATCCTTTGAATTTTACGAAAGCCCATTAGCGCCACTGCAAGTATATATGTTACAGATTATTTAATTCGTTATTACGGATTACTAATTCGTTATAACGGATTACTAATTCGTTATAACGGATTATTTAATTCGTTATTACGGATTATTAATTCGTTATTACGGATTATTAATTCGTTATTACGGATTATTAATTCGTTATTACGGATTATTTAATTCGTTATTAACGGATTATTTAATTCGTTATTACGGATTATTAATTCGTTATTACGGATTACTAATTCGTTATAACGGATTATTTAATTCGTTATTACGGATTATTAATTCGTTATTACGGATTATTAATTCGTTATTACGGATTATTAATTCGTTATTACGAATTATTAATTCGTTATTACGAATTAGGTCTGATGTTCTCACACTTGGAGAGCACGTGACCTAGGCGGCGCTATCTTTGCTTACAACGTTTGCACTCCTGTGCCATACTTGCCGAGTATGACTCAGAACGTATGAGTAATTCGTAATAACGAATTAATAATCCGTAATAACGAATTAAATAATCCGTAATAACGAATTAATAATCCGTAATAACGAATTAAATAATCCGTAATAACGAATTAATAATCCGTAATAACGAATTAAATAATCCGTTATAACGAATTAAATAATCCGTAATAACGAATTAATAATCCGTAATAACGAATTAGTAATCCGTAATAACGAATTAATAATCCGTTATAACGAATTAATAATCCGTTATAACGAATTAGTAATCCGTAATAACGAATTAATAATCCGTAATAACGAATTAAATAATCCGTTATAACGAATTAATAATCCGTAATAACGAATTAAATAATCCGTAATAACGAATTAATAATCCGTAATAACGAATAGAAATGTTAACATTTGAGCATTTAGTTGGAGTTGCCTTTTTTTTGTATTGTTTTCCAGAAGTTTTTGGGAAACTTTCAGTTCGGCTGACTACTTCCCCTGGGGTTATCGCCATCGGTGTGTATAATAATTTGCTAGCACGCACACGTGCAAATATTCGCTCGTATCCCTCCCCCCCCCCCCCCCCCCCCCCCCCCTGCAAACAGGGGGGGGGGGGGGGGGGGGCACCGGGTACGAGCGAAGTGCTAATAGACTGGACGTTATTGGGCTACTGACGGCGCCCTTTCATACACATACATTGTTGTACTAACTTGAGCTTCATCATGGAAAGACACACCATGTTCAAAGAAGATTCTGCCGTGACCGAGACTCGTCGAAGAATGCCTTCGAATTCACCAGAAAACTCGGAAATGAACACTTCAGTTCCCAGCGAGTCGGTTCTAGACAAGGCCTTTGATACATTTTGCAAGGTTAACACCGTCAATCTTGTGCAGTTCCTCAGTTTTGCAGTGACCATCGGATCGCTCGTTTACGAATTTCGCCCTCCGCCACCAGCAGAGGGTGGTTCGTATTTCTCCGACAAGCGCAACTTCTTCAACCAGTATTTCGTCAAGCTGGCATGGGGCTGGACTATGGCCATCTACACACCATTCGTCGTGCTCAGCGGTCTTCAAAGTCCTGCAAAGATCGGCCAAATATTCAGGGGGTTGGTGCGAGTTCTAGCCGTTGGCACCGCCGCTTGGTACTGGTGGGTGGAGATCGTGTTTCACCGGGTTATGCAAGTGACGGGGGCGTGTGTTGGCAACGAGAGTTTGACCGCAGTGCGCGCCTGCATCAAGGCCGGACACTACTGGGACGGATACGACATCTCCGGACATTGCTTCCTGTTAATATACAGTGCACTGTTAATCCATGAGGAGCTGCGAATCGTTAGAAAAAGGGTCATAACAATGAACAAACGGGGTCGTATATCTAATGAGCTATTGCAAAACAATGCCACTATTCCCGCTGCTAATGTCACTGTCAGTTACGATTCGCTTGTGAGTTTTCTTCAGAAGCTGTTCACGGTTCTCCTGATTATGCTAGAGTTGTTATGGATACTGATGGTGATGATGACGTCCATTTACTTCCACGTTTGGAGTCATAAACTCCTCGGAACACTGATTGCAATTGTGTCCTGGCATTGCACCTACAACCTTTGGTATAAAGCAATGGTTTTCCCAGGTTAATGCTTGTAAGGACTCCCATTTTAAGTTACATGGAGATGTATCATTATATAATTTTATGTGATTCTTTATTTAAACTGATAATCACTGATTTTATGTGTAATCTCAGGCACCATTGAATAACTTTGGGGTGGATCCTATGTGCTTGTTGAAAAGTGCCAATAATATGTGGACATTGTAGTATTGAAGGGGTAAAGTCTACAAAGGTTTTTGGAAAGAATGTTGCATCCTGACACCACTTGTTTTCATCATATATTATCTTAATGAAGGTCAGTCATTGCAAAAATGTTGAAAATACAAGAATTCCAATTTTGTCAGGAAATACTTTTAACCCTAACGTCCTAAGGGCTGTTTGGGGGTCAAGGACCAAATACTACAGAATACTGCATGTGTTACACTCGACTCTCCATAGACTTAGTACACAGCATAAGAAGTGACGTCTAGATACTACATTCTTGATGGATTTTGTTTTCAAAATTCTCCCACAGGAAAAACCCTTCCCTTATGTTTAGTAGCCTAAACGTTAGCAATTACAGTATCAAAGTCTTACAGGTAATTTGTATTGGACTTGTCACATGAAATAAGGCAAACATGTTTGTATTATGCACAGACAAGTCAGAGTGAAGCATCTAGACTTCCAAATTGGACAGTGATGATTATTACCAATAGACCCCTCTCATAGACGGCCATCTTGGTGGGTAAATTACAACTGCATGGTCAACGCCACCAGGTACATGTATGGTTGTGCGCAGTATGCAAAATATTCTAAGCACACGTGCATGTTTCACCAAATTTCTTCAAAATATGGCACAGCCGATGCGAGTCATGAAAATTTGACTCCCAAAATGCTGATGCATGTGACAATCTGTAGGCAGTGACGTCATATGAGAAGGAAGGGTCTATACAAGGACACTCCCATGCCTACATATGATGCATAAGTAGTATACCACACAATCCATTCCCCTCACTTGTGCATCTAGAACTTCGCAAACAGTTTAAGATTAGCATTCAGATGATGAGCATTCAGCAACCAAAAATGTTAATGTGATGATGCACTTGGTCAGTCTTCTTTACCAGTCAACACTTGAACAAGACATAAAGCACATTCACCCAAAGTTGCACAATTAATGGGTACAAAGACACTGAAGAGTATTCAGTAAAAAGGAGCTGTTTATTAATAACTTCTAGGAGATTGACAATGACAATTGCTGTTTACAAAATAAACAGGCGTTTACAAACTATAAAACAGCAGGTACTAGGCACAGGAAACCAAGACTTGGCAGTAGATAGCTAAAGTAAAATACCTTTTTTATATAAATAAAATGCGACCTTTGGAAACCTGTACCAAAAAGTTTGTGTAAAATAACATTATTTTTCATTCCTGTAAACTACCTGACCCATGTAACATTATTGCAAGACGACAAAGATCTTGCTGGACACTCGCTCATTACAGTTGTGGCAAAGAAGTGACCTACCCTGCCCCTTTTGTGTTGGAAGTAGAAAACCCCTGTCATAAAACTCTTACAACTGATTGTACTTGTAATTCAAGAAAACGTATTTAATTACTTCTTTTGGGGGTCATATTTCATATTAACCATCCTAGTCTTCTGCACTTCACATCCCTTCAAGTTCTACAAAACCACTTTTTGCCCAGTGTTAGCACCCGCACTTACTGGAGTATGGATAGCACTTCAAGTTCAACACTTTAAGGCTTCATATATCCCTTCATCTGAATTATTTGAAAGGGTTTTACTTATTCCTCTGAATAGTAACTTCCTACTAGGACGGATAAAGTAGTACGTACATTTTTTGCGGGTTTACAAGATTTAGCAATTTGTTGGTTTATTAGTTTTTTTTCATGAGATAATGGAAACCATTTGCATGGTTAGATGATTCTTGTGTAAGTTGTAATTTTATTCTAAAAAAGTATGAAATTATGGTTGTGCAAATGTTAAAATACAGTTTTCAGTAGTTTTCTTTTTTGATAAAATACATATACATGTACAAAGATTCTAATAACAAACGTACATGTTCATGTATACATAATTTATTGCGTTCCTGAGTGATAATTGTAGCTCTAATATAGAGTACGTTAGGGTTTTTCGGACCAAGTTATTGTGAAAATAATGGAATTCTTGTCTTCATTTCGTGTACCTACATTATGAGCTCTGTGCACAAGTACCTTTCAAATGACCAGATAAGGAGAGTTGGGGTGACCTAGACTGGTTCTCAGTCCATTCACTGCATATTTCGAATGATCCAAAGTTATTGGGGGTGGGTCAGTGTTTCCCCTGGCTAATGAACTGAGCGAGGTGGTAACAATTCAAGTTGATGATTGAAATGAAATTTACGCAGTCTGCAAACTGAAAAGAATGCAGCGCTCCCAAAAATGCGCGATGATTCCAAAAACACATCAAAATTGTGAGTTCTTGATACATGGAGGTAAAGGAAAACGCTCATATATTGCACAAAATGAAAATTTTTCAATTGATATTTCCTTTTTTGCCAATCTTCACAGCGAGGTGGTGATATTGGCAAAAATTGAGCGAGGTGGTCACTGAAAGTAGCGAGGTGGGCCACCTCACATTTGAATGGGCAGGGGAAACACTGGGGTGGGTATTAGTCTGCGAGCCCATCGCCAGTTAAATTCCAACATATTCGCTCTACGACGACACCTGACGGTCACACTCGAAGACACTATGCCTCGCTTTTTGCACATTGAGGATAAAGAAATCGGGTGTATTCTTTGCGTGCGAACCAGTCCCGTATGCACACGCTGTGTCCCCACCGATCCCGTCCAAGGAGCTCTCAAAAGTGTTAAAAATTTGCCCTCTTTTGTTGGCGCACGGAGCCCATAGGAAAGAGATGCATGTATGTCCATATTACAGTTTTTGAATTCTGATTCCTGTTTGTGTTCCAGGGTCCATGGGATTAGTTTTCTTAGAAGGACATTTTGTGCAACTTTCTACTCCTCTTAAATATAGGAAAACCAGTTGTCATCTATTTTAAATTAGTTTTATTGAAATTATTATGTACTTCATCAAGCATTAAAATAACGTACCCGTGCTTTTCTGGACAAATGAGGTCACTGTTGCTGTGATGTCATTTCAGGAAGACACTGTTCAGTTTAGGGTTTTTCTGTTGAAATTGTGAACTCAAAAATGTGCTCATTGAAAAAAAAATGTGAGGAATGTTTGCTCATTTGCTGAATGCCATGTACTGACAACAACACCAAAGAAAAGAAAACTTAGGACAGCAAAATATCCCAAATTCTGGCAACTTCTGGTGATGAAATAGATTTAACAATGCGGTTTTTGCCTGAAATGACATCACACTTTTGCTCATGAGTATGGAAATTTGCATAAGCATAAAAACCAAAAAGGCACCAAAATACCCTTAGAAATGGAAAAACGAAAATTGAATATTAGGTTAAAAGGGACACAAAGGTCCATTTTGAAGAATTACATTCAACACATTACATTGCATGGGCTCTTTAAACAGCGCAGTTGGTCAGCTTCTCTGATCAATTTCAAACATTTAAATCAAAATCTTTCAAATAAATTAATCTTTGGAATCTTAAGAGCTTAATTTAAATCCTGTATAATATTTCTCATGCATTCATTGCTGGAAAAAGGAAAAAAATACAATCATGATACATGAAGATAAAATTAATTTGCAAGAAGGACGTGTAAGCTTTACCAATCATATACAAGAACATACGCAACCCTTTTCACATCAATAAGCCCCCAAAAGTCTTTGGTTCCTGGTATGGAGCTTGCCCCAAAATTGGTGCGGCAACGCGTTTTTTCCCCCCTATAGGTCTACTTTTGTTATCTTCAAATGTTGGCTTGAGGTGGATCTTGAGGTGACCTTAGTAAGGCCATTAGGCTTGAGAATTCTGCACCCACGTACGATCTCGACCGACACGAACGTTTTTTGGGCCATTTGGATAGCCAAGACAAATATGAGAAAACGGTAGTAACGTTAGACCATGCAGCGACATCCGCACCGTGCATGAGCTGCCGTGCTGGTCATTAGTCTGCTCCCTTACATATTACTGTAATTAAAAAGCGTTTACAGGTTCCAGATACACGACTGACGCTCCCTCAGTCTGGCTTCCAGACACAAAATTACAAAATTACAACACTGTCTGCAAATGGTGCCCGACTAAATTTAGTGCAAAATATATGGGAGCCCAGAGAGGCCACATAAAGCTTAAATCGCAACCCCATCTAAAAACATGTTAAAATTTTGCAGCAGCAGGTTTCTAGTCAAACCACAAACCAGTGAGTTTGGCGGTTTTGAGCCATCATCTCACATTGAAAAAAAAAACACGTTTTAATATTTCCAAAGCGCACGGCTACAGCAACACACACAGACCAGAAACCAGAGACTTTTATTTTGGCCCAACGGATTTTTTAACGTACCAGTAAATGCAGTACTAATCCTGCAGCTTTTCACGGCCTTTACTGTAAAGAGGAGGTGCATGCAGTGACAGGCGTGGGGTTGCAAAGGGCGATTTCTTAAGGTTACGTAACACTTTATTTTGAATGAAACTTGATGCACACAGACATGTTCACACAGGCAGGCGAAATCTCTGAAAATTGTTTCTTCCGTTTGGGAAACCCTCTTCCAACTTTCAAGGTTATTTCCCTAATTATTATGATCGAAGTATGTCCTAAAAATCGTTGTGATATGTTCATTTAATAATTTTCGTTGAAATAGGAAAAATAGGCCTGGGTATGTGCATTTTTAGGAGTTGTAACACTGGTGTTTGCAATATCTGTCAATCTTTTCAAACCTCATGAATATGTATAGGTTCCTTTCCATTATGGTGTTCAGTAAAATTTGCATAAAAGCCTCCTTCATGCGTTATTAATAATTGATAAATATCACCCTTTTTGCCGGCTTCCATTGGTCGATACCGAAACCCACACCAAGTCACGCCAATTGAGGCTAATAAATATGCAAATATGCGCTTCGTCATTGTGTTGCTGGGCCGAAATCGGTCATCTATAATGGAGTTTGGTCGGAAAAAATCCTCGAAATTTTCCTTGGAGATAGGTCAAGGTGTAACACTAGCGTTTGCAATAACAGATTAAGCTGAAATTTCAAATATACTTAGATGATATCTACGTACGTAATCAGATTAGCTTTGCTTGACAACCGGCAGGCTTTGGCGTTCGCAACCACAAGGCTGGTGAATGCCTCATTTTACATTATATTATATCTGACCATTTTATTGATAGCAGAAGTGAGTGACGCAGTGACAGTTTTTTGCATTGAGTAAAGCATCCTGTAAAAAGGTTTATAGAGATAGAAAATAGAAAATACCAGAAGGCAATATAAAGATTGCAATAAAAAGTTACTTTCCAATGAATCACTTTTTCCGTACAAACATGTAAACGCCAACACCCGCTGCCAAAACGGCTGAAACTCCGAGCACCCAAGGCGTGGCACGTCTGACCTTGTACCTTATGAGGGGTGCCAACATTCCCCAAAATAGACTGTTCGCGTGCAGGCAGGTCTTACGAAAGCTCTCTCGCTGCAAAACGCGTTGGTAGTACTTCTCTATGTAGGGCCGCTTGCCGTCTACCCAGAAATAGGAGTAGCCGATAAAGAACAGTCGGTGGAGAAGGGTCGCGAGGTAGATGTCGGCCACGGTGAAGTGTGGACCGCAGAGCCACGGCTGTTCATCTAACGGAACGTCTGTTCAAGAAAAATAGAAAAACAAAATGAGATAATCATGGGGTTTGCAGTTGCACCATGAATTCAAATCTCTTTCGTGACTGTGTGTGGTTCTGAATAGAAACAGTTTGGTAACTCAACGTTTCGAGGCAGTGGTGGGACTAAGAGATTTCAAAATCCGGTTATCCAATTGTTTTTTTAACCGAATGATTATCCAATGTCACCAAAAGCTCAGAACTGACGAGTGAGGCACCCTATGCAATGCACTCCACAATGACTGGGAATAGTTTGCGAGACTCAATGACACACTGGGCCTTTTGTAATGTTGCAGAAATTTCAAGTTAAACTCGCTCGATCCCCCCGGCACACTGGCAGTATTTATACAGTCAGTTGGTAAACACACTTTTCAGTTTACCTGAAATCAACAATGACCTCATTTGACCCCTAGATGACATTTGACCTCAAATGTCTCAAGTCATCTTAAGTCCCAACCTCGTCTCCAGGGTGTCGTGCAGTACGCGCCCATCACTACCCGCTCTCTCACCCTGGTATTGGATCATTTGCATGTGCAAGATTTTTGAACATGTATGCAAATGAGGAATAGTCTGGTGCGTGCATGTGTGTTACATAAACGTCTGTTTTTGTATGCGGCGTCTGGGGTAAAAACAGAATCAATTCGTCGCAGCACGAGCATGGCTTCAGTTAAACTGTTACAATCTTATCGAGACAACACGCAGTATCACATTTCACATTAGTATGAACAAATTGAACAGGAAATGAGTATTTTCGAGAAGGCGTGGACGTTATGATCGCAAAAACACGTACTGCACGTTGGAATAACAACACCAAGTGCACGATATAAATCCATTACTAGCCAATTGCGGTATCGAATCAGGATACAGGAAGAAAGTTTCCTATCCAGGGCTTACTATTGGAAACGAGGTTGGAAATAAAGTAAGCACTGGGGACGAGGTTGCTTAAGTCCCCCTACCCAAAGATTATTGTCACCAAGCTTGGTTGAGAATGAAGTCTGACTTGTTATATATATGACAGCACTTTTCAGTTTAACCTAACCAAAAACAACAATGACCTCATTTGACCCCTAGATGACCTTTGACCTCAAATGTCTCAAAGTCATCTGAAGTCCCCCTACCAAAAGATTATTGTCACCAAGTTTGGCTGAGATTGAAGTCTGACTTTTCATAGGACAGCACTAAACAGTTAACCTAACCAAAATGGAACACACGGACACACAGACACACAGAAGTAATACACTATCACACGCCCAGCTGTTTTCTTTGGTATAGGTTACAATAATAGAAAGCTTAATTTTTTATGGCTGGTTTCGAATATCCCCGTTTTCAAAATCCAAACCAAATACTGGAATTCAAACCGAATTTTAAAAATCTGGATTTAATCCCACCACCGGTTTAAACCTGACGATGAATAGTGCATATTGTTCAAAACATTGATGCATATCTGTAATGCAAGACACTGAACATGTATGCATGCCTCAGTTATCTTTTCAACTAGTGGACAACAATATACAAAAGATCCTATAAAATTCATCAGTTCATGTAGCATTGGTTATCTTTCATTAACTTAAGGTGAAGTGATTTTCATGAGAGGTTTTCCAAAGTTTTTTGTTCATGGGGTTGGGTGGGGGTTGAGTATCAAGGACAATGAACAACTGAACTTGTGTCTCATTTTCAAACAGAGTTATTGTTTAGCACACGCACACAAACTTTATCACATATGTACATGAATGAATACAAGTTTGATAGTGCCAAGGAGTTTTGCTTTGGGAATGCTTAGCAAATCTAATAATGGTTCAATATGAGGCTAATTAGGGACCGTGACCATTCAGCCCCGGTATGAAAAGGGCCCCCCGGTAAGCTCGTCCCCTCCCAAGAAGTCCTCTCGTACCATCCCAGCTACCGGCCCAAGAGCTGATCCGGTTGCTAATCAGGAACTCCTCTATCCTGGGGCCTATTGTTTGCAAGTATTGACACATGTAATATATTCCAGAAGAAACCTGCTTGTGGTTTTCATCTCTCAGCGCGAAACAATAGCACACTTTCGTCGGCACAGATCAAAACCCTGCCATGTGGTTTCGCGCACAATGGGACCGTAAATTAAAAAGGCGTTTGGAAGGATTTTATCTTTAATCCAGTAAATCTGCTATTGTTTTGCTCTGGATGTTCTCTGAAGGGCAATAAATTGATGCGCCTGACTGACTTCAAAACTTCTGGTCAGACAGGACCATGTACCGGACAAGACTGGGCTGAAGACCGGACTGGCTCTGGACCGGACGAGGTACCGGGGGGCCAATTTTCATACCAGGGCTGAATGGTCACGGTCCCTTACCTCGATGCTCGTTGCTGGCCTTGGCCAATTCAGCCTCCACCTCAGTGAGGGCGCTCTCCACCGCATCCAGGTGGTCCCTGAGCATCTGCTCATCCTTCAGCTGCTCAAGTCTTTGAGACAGCGCAGTGGCCTTGTTCAGGTACTCGTATCGTAAGTCCTTGTACTTCTCCGAGTACCGCCTTGCTTTGTTGATGATGGCAGTGAGAGCTTCTGTGGATGAAATATGTGAGACATTTTACAATTGTTGACTGTTGTAATGTAGGATGTGACATTTTTAACACTATGGCCTCGTGGCCTCGTGGTTAAGGGCACTGATTTATGGTCTGCGGGTAAAGCTGCAGGTTGTGGGTTCGAGTCCTGGCGGGGTCATGCTGCGTGTGCCCTTGGGCAAGGCACTTTGTCACTCATTGCTTCTCTTCACCCAGGAGTAAATGGGTACCTGTGAGGGCAGAGATGGTTATTGTGATTGAATTAGCTTCCTTGCGCCTAACAGGCTGCATCGAGCTGTATACTTCTCAGGGAGCTGAGATGGTATTTGGAATGTTTCATGTGCCCAATGAGCAGGGGTAATAATGATGTAGCGCCTTGAGCACCAGTCCTGGTGGATACGTGCGCTTTATAAATATCCACTATAACATCCACTATAACACCCAAAGCACCCCAGGCAAACTGAGGGTGCTATGTGCCCCGATGGGGTTAAAAACAATAAATGGTTGCAACTCAAAAAGATAAATGGTTGCAACTTATGAGAGAAACAAATAAACTCACTGCGATGTAACCTTTGATAACTGAAGGTTTTGTTGTCCTGCCGGACATGAGACTGAGCGTTTGACGTTGCAGTTCTCATTGCGCAAAGCTAGCCTGCCAGCAGGTTCCACACCAAACCGCAATGTGCGCGGTGTATGACATGCATTTTTTCAAACACGTTGCCGTCCTAGACCAATGAAATAATAGTATCCAAGCACACAATATATGAATACTACTAGTTATACCACGAGCGGGAGTGGACCACAGAATAATGTAAGTGTCAGCCAAGTGGCATATGGAACACACATGCACTACATTTTCTGTGCGCCACAAGTGCGAAATGGGATAACGAATTTATCCTCAAGCAGACTTGACACACAGTAAAAGATTGAACATGTACGCGGCTGTACACAAACTCTTTATCGGTTATCCTATTTTTCACGTACGTCCAGCAGGAATGGCGCGTGCATCTTAGAATAGCGCAATATTTGGGTGGCATGGGTGGCTTGTGCGTAAAGCGCTCGCCCCTCACCAAGGTGACCACGGTTCGAATCCTGGCCGCGGATCACACGTGAGTAGAGTTGTGCGTTGGTTCTCTCCTGTCCTCGGAGAGTTTTTCTCCGGGCCCTCCGGTTTTCCTCCCTCAGGAAAAATCAAACACTTCTGATCTCAGGCTGTGCTCCGTGGTCATATATGGGTCGATGTGGCCGGCAGCCATAGGCCCCTTTACGTGCCAGCGGCCCGACCACGTTGTAGCCGCGTCCTTCGCAATTTAGCATCCCAGCTGCGAGTAAGGATGATTAGCCTCCCAAATTATTATTATTATTACTACTATTATTATGATACGCAGAGTGGGATATGGACCGTGATACGTGGGATAATACCACACTGTGTTTCCATAGATCGACCAATCAAGATGGAGGATTCAAGTTTGCTTGGAGATAATACATGTAACATGTATCCGTCACAAAACATGGAAACCGTAAAATCCTAGCATATTTTGCGAGTAAGGATGTAAATTTCTAGCATATTTTTCCGGATATACATTTTTGTACAAAACGCTGTGAAGCATTCTTGCTAGTATGAAAGGGGTTTGTCCCGGGTCCAACAAAGGGATTTTGGGTTGTGTGAAAGGGCCTATTCCGGTTTTAACACAGTGAAAACCATTCGCTCGTACCCCCCGCCCTGCAAACAGGACGCTGGGATACTCTGATGAATTCACGCCCTGATTGGTTGGATTTCGCGTGACCAGTGACCTGCGCGTCATCAAGGTCATGACTCTACATGGTTTGAAATGGCCGTTAAGACTGATTCATTACTCTTTTATTCCAGTTTAGAGATGTTTTTTTTCTCGTTGAAAAAGCGTAATAACGTAGGAAATTCTGTAAACTTATCTGTGTTGTAAATTTACAGTTCCCGCTACTCGCTCGGGCTCCGTTTCGAATCACGAACAGTCGGATTGCATTATGCGACGCTCAAAATTTTGTCCACATGGTCCCCAATAAAACAGACATCACATCCGGTATGGAATGCGCGCAATTCTATGGAAAGTTTCAGATAGCATTTGAGCACATCGTCTGAATGCGGTCTTGAACAGCTGCAGCCAGATGCTTTATACATAGGTCATAGGCCATTTCCTTCACAAGTTTCTGTGAAGCTCATCAGAGTATCCCAGCGTCCTGTTTGCAGGGCGGGGGGTACGAGCGAATGAAAACCAAAGAATTGTTTCTTTAGTTGTTAAGTGTTGTCCATTTTCAATAAAATATTCACATGTGACAAATTTCTAAAATCGACGTACTTTCTAATTGGGCTGCACTTGCGAAGTTCTTGAATCCTTTGGTATACCGTGGGTTTGCAATGGTCCCCAGAGAAATCACCTCTATTTCAAATGTCTTGAAGAGCAGCAGAAACTGACTGCATTTCTGGCCTTCTGCTGACTTTTCATCGGGGAACAGCGGAGGAACTGCAAAGAAACCCCAAAAAACAGACGTCAAGGAAAAATAGGAGAATAGTTGCCCTTGGAAGACAACCAAATCCCAAAATACCAAAATACATTACTGCTTTTGTCTACCCTACACTTTGGAAGTATCGTAAAAAGAATTATATTCACAGAAAATTTTCAAGTTACCGGTAAATCATGTTCAGTATGTAAAAATCTCTCAGTCTTGAATCTATTGCAAAATAGATATCAGCAAATATAACATAGTTTGAGGGTGGACAGTCGATATTCACTTCCCAAGGTCTTGGAAGTTGACAAACTAATTCCCTCAACTTCCAAATTGACACAGCAACTTTTGATTTGAAATCAATATCCTAGAATCTGGTTTTCTCAGAAAATCCAGAATTCACTGAGCTAAACCTTCATCAGGTTAGTTGTTAGGCACCCTTCTTTTAGATTTTCAGCACTTTTGAACGGACATAATGCACAAATTACATATGATGGACTATATCTTTCACAAAAGGACATTCATGTGCTTCTCGCTACCTTCAAATTTACATCACTTTGTTTTATTTTCTGTATAAAAAATAATTCAAGAACACTTTGTTTGAAAAGATCCAATACGACATGAAACTTGGCTGACGAAAAACTCATCAAAAATTTGGGCCGGCATTTGTTTTGCATGTTTATATGCAAATTCAACTCACGATCGGGAGTGATCTTGTCGACAAACCCAATGATGGCTTCGGAATCGATGAATTTGGTTCCTCCCTCGACTGCCAGGCCTGGCACCGTCATGAGGGGATGGATGCGCACGTACCAGGGCTCCAATTGTTCCTCCGCATGGATCTCCACCTCCACACTCTTATACTTGACATTCTTCTCCGCAAATGCCAATCTCGCCTGCAGTGTCATTAAAGGGATGATACATCATAAAATTGCTTTTGGTTTAATTTTCAGAAATGGATGGAATCGGGGGGTTGGAAATATATAGCAAATATAGTTACACTGACTTTTTTGAGGTTTTGGGTTCGAAAATGCTATAAAAACCAAGAAAAACAATCGTTTTCCTGTAGTCTGGTTCCCAGACTCCATATATGAAGAAACAGAGCAATTTACATACATTGGGGAATTGTAAGGTCAGGGAACCAGTCTAGCTGGCTTGTACTCGTTCCTAGGTGTGTAATCGATTGCAAACAAGTGCGATGGTCTATTGGGGCCAGTATTTAAAGAAAAGCCAGTTTTTTCCAACGCTGGTCGGCCGACCAGCGTTGGAAATTGATACAAAAATACCACTTTTCTTGAAAATGACAGTATACCAGGTGCCATGATTTTACAGGATGCTTTACACTGTCATTCACTACCAGTCCAGCAAGGTATTGCAAAATGATTTGGTAGTTTTATTTTTTGATGTTTGCAAATGTTGTATTTTCCCTTTAAGAAGGTTAAAAAAATACACCATGAAACCATTGCCATCAATATGAACACACTACTATTACACATATTCAGCTAACAGCCTAAGAAGCTGGTTTGTACCACACGGATACTATGCAATTGCAGAGCAATTGGGGGGGGGGGGGGTGTTCAACAGCTCTCCAGAGGTGTTGGTATATGAATTCTATCAAAACACGTGATTCTTTTAAAACTAGTTAATGCAGAATTATCGTTTCCCTGTATACTTTACCCTTTGTGAAAAGAAGGACATTTGAGCATGATACAGGGTTAGGGCCATCGCCAATCTGACTGATTCTTGTTCGCCCTTTCAGAATTATATGACAACTTTACTGGAACACTAATTTCTGAAGTCCTCGGTGTGCCTAAGGTGAAAAGAAAATGAGGATACAAGTTTATTGTCTTGTGGTTTAAGTATTCCAAGATATGTGTACTTCAACTGAGCATACACAAATGACTACATGTACATGTATAGCCAAGTGTTGATGTTTTATATGCCCTAGTCTCATAAATGTGGCCAATTTACTGGACTACCTCCGCAAATATAGGCCACACTTGGAACATGCACCTGAAAATATAGAACAAAGTTCCGAAAGATTTCCATATACGAAGTTCACTCAACACTCTGTGTACAAACCCTTTGAGAGTGGACTGAAAACTTGTAAGTGTTTTCTAAGAAAATGCTTGTATTTTCTCACTGCTCAAATTGACTTTGATGACATGAAATTGCTTTCTGGGGGCTTTTTAGTCAATACAGAGGAAAATTAGTGAACTTCGCATATGGTAATCTTGCCCAAAGTTCTACATGTACATTTTCGGGCCGGGTAGGCCTTTATGTTCCAAGTGTGGCCTTTGAATAAGGGAATAAATGTGTGCTCCGGAGGTTTTTATCACTCTGTTTAAGACCACTTAGAGTCTGGGTGCTGATAATTACCCAGGCCGGAGGCGAGGGTAATTATCAGCACCCAGACTATAAGTGGTCTTAAATAGAGTGATAAATACCGACGGAGCACATATTTATTCCCATTCAAAAATACCTTTTCGGTAAAAAAAATATCATATAATTCGTTCAAAATATCCCGATTTTGTTCAACAAATTCACTTTATGCTTTTTGAAACATCCCTCTTGCAAAATAATGGAGTGTTCAGCTGGCAAGTAAGATGTAAACAACCCTTTTATGGAGATTGATGCGCGCGTATCATGTTCTGCGCGATATTGCGCAGAATGCACCTGGCGCGTTGCGTTTTGAATTTAGAACTATAAAATTCTGACTCCCTGGTAGTGTTGCGCATGCCTACGTGAGGATTGTGAACGTTCAACCAATGAAACGATAAGAGGCACTGGATTTTTAGGAGTCCACATTTTATTGTGACACTGGAAAAGTGTTTAAAACCAGCTAGCCATGTCTTTATCATCCGTTTAAGACCGGCCACGTGACGGGCTCTCGACCAATAGGAATGCGTAAACTGTGTAAGTATTTATGAATTACATTTATTTACAAATGTACATGTGCGACTAGAGCCCCATACATGTAGTTCTAGGGGTAGGGTAGACCCACTACAATGTAACTGGGGTGCTACGTGCGGCAGCGCCGTACGTACATGTCCGTACATGTACATTTATACTTGTAGACAACAGCCCAGTACGTGCATGCACACGTACGTCCGCGCGGCGGTGTGCAAGCACGTACTGGGCTGTTGTCCAAAAACACGAGGTCATACGTCACAGACTATTTATGCATATTCATGAGTTACAGCACGGCCGCCATTTTGAAATCGCATGGGGGAGCATTTTCGGGACGATATTTGTGGAAGATGATGACTGAAAGTCGTCTTTTGGCCAGATGGATGAAAATATTGAGACCAAAGAACGTTTTTTTGAAAAGGTATGAGTTGCTCTACGACTAAGAACCTTAACTGTGGAAATTTTTGTCCTGGATGAAAAAATAATCTCGATCAAAAGATGTAGCAAAATCGCTACATCAGCGGCCAAAAAAATTCAGTCTTTTTGGAAGCATTCAGCGTCTTGCCGTACTACAGAGCTTGCGATAGTACTGTATGGCCAGACGCAGTCGGGCTAGGGGCTAGCCTATTCTATATGTTCCTACTAGTACTAGTGTGGCTTTTATGTACGACTAGGGGTAGTGGTACACCCACTAACTGGGGCGCTACACCAAATCCCAAATGTCAGACAACATGGAAAAGGAGTTTTACTAGCGCCCCACTTGGTGGGTCTAGCAGGTACGTAGGCGTAGCACGATAAGCATTAAAACACAACACTCCCGGCTCCCAACTTGCTGCCCAAGCAAAACAGTGACAACCTGAAAGAAACAGACAATTAAATTCCGCAAAGAATATTCAACCTAGCTTGGGTAACTCCAGCTGACATGTTCCATGATATTCATTCACATGTAACATGTGAATGAATATGGAAGTTGGAACATCTCACTGCAGCTGGAGTTACTCAAGCTAATTCAACCACAGTTCAGAGAAAAAAACTTGATATGACCACTGCACTGTGACCGTCGAACAGTAAGGACTAAGATGTAAAACTAAAGAGCAAGAGTTCCACATGTACAACTTGTACAGTGCTCACCGGAGTTGGGCACAATCTTTGGACTTCTCAGATTATAAGCTGAGTGATAGTGATATGATAAACAAGAAAACTAGGCCGGCGCGCGCTGGGGTTGTATTGTACAACTTACAGCTGTTGCGTCGAGTCGTACGATGTCACATGAAGGGAACCTTGGAAATATCTAATAAATTATTCGGCTACATTATTGATTTTTTTATTTTTGAAAGGATATATTGACGAATAAAGAATTATAACGAAATCATAGTGTATGTTTTTTTTTCTTAAATGCTGTTCAAAATTAATATCCCATATTTCATTCTGAGACAGTGTTACCCTTTCAACCAAATGGTTTTGCCGAGCCGCTTGAGGTCAACAAACTTTTCTGAACACTCCACGTGCATCCGAGGTTGTGTTACAAAATGGCGTCCCCAGTAAAGCAGCCAGCAGTGCTGGACGCACGTTTCTCAGTCCTCCCTGATGCCGAGCTCATCAAGCAGGGCGCCGAAGCCAAAGTGTATCGTGGGAAATTCTTAGGGAGATCCTGCGTGGTGAAACAGCGCTTCAAGAAAAAATATCGCCACCCAGTATTGGATGAGAAACTGACACAAAGGCGAACAGCACAGGAAGTGCGCTCGCTTGTTCGGTGCAGGAAAGCTGGTCAGTATTTACGCACAGGGTGACCGTATTAATAATTAAAGGTCATTGCCAAGTTCTGCCGAAGGCACTTCAAAATATCTGTCAGATTTATCAAAAATCTGCCAAATTCCCCAGAATTACTAAAAAAAAAAGAAACAATTCCATACTAGTACTAGGCCACCACTCATATTCCATTCCAAAGAGTGCAAAATTTCTTATTAATGGCATGCTGTCACTTTTTCTGTCATGGCCAATAGACTTCGTGCAGGAGGTCTGAGTGGTAGTCCAGTATGGAATTTTTCGTTGCAGTATTGCCACAATTATTAAAGGTTCAAACTACATTGTAAACAGTCTATAGCCATGATAGCCAGATAAAGATGTTGTGAAATTTTGTAAATTTCAGGCAAAACGAGCTAGTTGCGCGAAGTAGCCCGGTTTCCAGTGAACCTCAGCATTTATAGACCATCCAGCCTGACCCTTTATATGCAAGGAAAGATTGAAGCTTTTTTAAACAAATGTACAATTTTTCTTCCAATTTGCTGTTTTTCTGTCAGTTCCTTTTTTGCAGAATTCTGCCACAAATCTGCCAAAAAAATTGATTCTGTCAATGTGTGTCATAAAAAATTATTTTCTGTCAAACTCGTTTTTTAACAAAAAATCTTTCAAAGTTTATAGCAAAAAATCGGCTAAAACGGTCACCATGATTTACTTGTCTGTGAAGGGCAAAATGCATTATTATGAGCAAATACAGGTCTAATTTCCTCTTCTTGTAGTTGTACCGGTTACAAATTTTGAATTGGAAATCTAAACATTGAAGGAAATTACACCTGAAAACGTTATTTGATTCTTTCCGGGTACTGTTGCAAAAATACCATGATTATGATCTTCAACTACACGTACATGTATTATTAAAGTTCTGCCTTCAGTCCTTTGCTAACTCTATTATGTTTCAATCATTTTGTTTTCATGGAAAGGAATTTCAACGCCAACTGTCTACTTTGTCAACTATGTTGAATTCTGTATCTACATGGAGGACATAGTCAACTCAGTCACTGTGAGAGAGCACATAGAAAACATCCAGCACACAACAGGCTCGCTTGAAGAACTTTTCCAGCTTGCTGAGACAATCGGCCAAATACTGGCCACGATGCACAGGAATGATGTCATCCATGGTGATCTGACAACATCCAATATGTTACTACAGCAACCGCCTCCGCCATCAGAGTCAAACGTCCATCCCTCCTCCGTCGTTATGATTGACTTTGGGCTGAGCCAGGTATCAGGGTTGGCAGAGGATAAGGGGGTTGACTTGTACGTCTTAGAGAGGGCCTTCTTGAGCACACATCCAAACACTGAGGAAGTCTTCGATCGGGTGCTTAGGGCGTACAGGGAATCCTATAAAAAGTCTGAAGAAGTGCTGAAGAAACTAGACGAGATCAGACAACGAGGTAGAAAGAGAGTCATGGTGGGCTGATGCTCTGTGGGAGTTACAACCCATCTGATCAGTTGATGGTCATTGGCCACATACTTTACATACATGAAGCTGCCTCATCTATGATCCTGTACCCTTCCATAATGTATGGTCTTGTAAAAACCAGTTCCTATTTGTACTTTACATGGAAGTGAAAGCTACGGAAATTTCATAACACATTATTGTAGTTTACTGGGGGATGGAGTCGAGTCCATCACAAGTCCCTGCAAGTCCATCACAATTCCTGCAGTCCCAATTCAAATCACAAGCTATTCAAATGAGCTTTGGCAACAACATTTGCTTGTTATTGTTCATCCATTGTTTCTTGTGACTGCCTGACTGGACTTGTGCATGGACCCGTGAACTACTTGTGACTGGATTTGTGACTGACTTGTGGGTAGACTCGACTACAACCCTGGTTACATTGTGATTTTCACTGTTAATACCCTAACCAATTCATTTTGACTTAAATTTTGTGTGAAAATATCTTATGAGCTGAAGATGACTCGGTTGGATTTTAGTACATAAATATTAAGTATTATATACAACACCTTAATAAAATCCCTTCATCTGATTGGTGGGTCATTGATCACATGCACATGCAATTGAATTATTTGTATCAACGCACAGCGCAGCCGCACAGCAAAAAGAACAAAAGTTCCATTCAACGGTAAATATGACATTTGATTGCATAGTCACTTTCAACCTCTGACCAATCAAATGTGATGAGGATTCATTCACGTGTTGAATGTTATGATGAATGTTTCACATTTTTTGCCAGGGAAAGATTATTTGCCATCGTTGACAGATGGAATGTTCAATTCCACTCTGCTTCACCTCATGGAATGGAACATTCCATCTTTCACATCATGGAATTATTCTTACTATTGCACTCACAAACATTGATTGTTAGTATACCATGATTATTGGACAGTTTATCATTCATGATGTTGGTAAGATATGGAAAAACTGTGGATACACAATGCCGAGCTCTTCAACTTAGATACACCATGTTCTTCCACTTACATGTAATTGGGGAAAAAAGGATTACTGAAATTGATCGATGCTATCAGAAGTTATGCATGATATATTAAAAAAAAACATTATTTCAGTTGAACATGAAATGCTTAATGCTTTGAAGCTATTCAGCCGAGTGAGAACCAGAGATTACACACAGGGGTCGTTTTAGAAAATAAAAGTAACATGCACATCTAAGATTTTTCCTTGAAAATGGGCTGAAAAACAGAAAACTTTGCATGCACCGTACCCGTAGGCAAAATTTTACATGCACAGAGCCAAAGTCACATGCAGTCATGCATCTGTGCATTATACTGCACAGTCATTCAAATACAAATTAGATTTTAAAAAATTGAGTCAAGACTGAAACATTTATAAGTTTTACTTACAGATTTTGTTGTTGTCTATACATGTATAAGGAAAAAAAATAAGTCTTTTTCTGAAATGGTGATAGTGTTTAGGTCTGTTTTCTTTTGACAAATTTTGTTCATTCATGGAGGTAGGAAAAACTCCATTGTTCATTCTATTTAAAAGATAATCTTTTTTGCATATAAGTAAAATGATCAGTGGTGGAAAGAGTAGGCCTATGCAAATTACGTGACATTCTCACAGTTACGTTCAATAACATGCACTTGATTCCTATATTATTGTATTGAATGGAGCGAGCCCCTTTTAATTCTAACTTGGTAACTTTCTTTTTGACACACCCTGTAGTTGGAAAGATAGGCAAAAGTAAGATATGAGCGTTCACACAACTACATGTTGAAAACTTGCAATTTTGTGGAATTGTCATGCAAATAAATTTCAGGGTGAATAACATTGGTTCCCCCCCCCCCCCCATCAAAAATGAAGAATAGTTGTTGGAGCGCTACAATGTAGTTGTCACCTCAGTTATTCGTGTATTTTTAAATACATGCAGTTGCTTCACACGCATGTGTTTTTAAGTCTGAAACTATAGCGTGGGACCTTATACATGTGGGGCCGTATCATAAGTCCGACGCCTCATAGGTCCGACGCCTCCTAAGTCCGAAATTTCGGACTTATGAGGCGTCGGACTTGTGAGGGATAACATTTATTTATTCCGCCTCATAGGTCCGACGCCTCATAGGTCCGACGCCTCAAGAGTCAGACAACGGAAAAACGAGGCATTTAATTTGTCGGACTTACGAGGCGTCGGAGCTATGAGGCGTCGGAGCTATGAGGCGTCGGACTTATGAGGCGTCGGACCTATGAGGCGTCGGACTTATGGGCCTTTATTTGGTTAGGGGATGCGATTTTGTCGGCCCCATACATGTATTACCCAACGAAATGTCACTAATGTGATATTCGTTTTGATGGCTTTGTTCACCGCTGCAAATATAGGCAAGGCAGACAATCGCTGCGCGTCCAATGTGAACAAATGGGTTGCCAACATTTCCCCGTAAATAAAAGACATGGATTTATTTGATCCATCATCAAGCCTTTGAAATACCGCCATGGCAGTAAACAATACGAAACACCAGATTTGGGCTTTTTCCAAACGAAAGTATTCATTAAATTTGAAGTATAACAATTTGAGTAATACATCTTTTCATTTCTTGATATAGGTTGGTGGGTTTAAAGCATAAGCCTATTAATGCGTGGGTAGCTTTGGCAACTTTATGGGCAAATCGACGGATTTGACTACATGTACAATGTACTTTCGTTCCTGAGCGTCTTCAGTATTTGACTACATGTACCGAAGATATTTCCTAGAATATGGCTACCAAGAGGCCCAAAAGCAACATTTAGCAGCTTAGGGTGCCCCTCCACAGGCAGAGACAGAAATTGGCAATTCAGAGAGCTCGGAGGTTCTAACTTCTGCATGGGTTAGACCCCCAAGAAAAGCGAGCAAGCAGGAATTAGGGTCACCATGATCTGTCCCTTACTCTTTGGCAACGGAGCCGGTATCGCCAGCTTCTCCACATCGGCAGTCTATGACTACCGATACGCGTGCCTCCAGTTATGTCACGCATGTCCACATCATTATGTCTTGATGGTGCAAAAGAAGATGCAAAAGAAGAATTGCAACCCTACCTTGTGCCCACCCCATGTAACATCCGCCTTTAAAGACATTTTGTTCGTCGCTGGCGTCCATGATCGACTTCGGGAATCTCACGATCATGTACATTTGTACTACGCTCGTCGATACTTCTTGTACAGCTGTTCAACGCTTTTATTGACCCGTCTGCACCTGATGAGGAGATACACAAGTCTTTGGTCTTGGATCATGTTTCATCCGCACTCGTCCTCCTTGGCTCAGCAAGTGAAGTTGTAGAGTTAAACCGCCAACGAGCGTTTGGTGAAATGCTAGACAAACAATCTGACTCCATCAAGAAGAACGCCTCATCGTCTGATTTCTTGTTTGATGGATCCATCCTTAAAGATATCGAGGATGTCAAAAAGCTAGTAAACTCTCCTCCAAGGTGACAATCATTCGCCTGTAGGGGTAACTACTGGTCCCCCTATGTTGCAGCCATGTCTCGCAGAGGCTAAAGTCAACGGTCTTTCCGGAAGCTTCCATGAAGCAAGCGACAAACCAGCAAAAGATACTCCAAAAAAGAAGATTAGATCAGATGCTTGCATCAACAGGACATCTCACGTTTTTACGTCCCCGCTGAATAAAATTAACAAAAGACAGTGGGATCTACAAGAAGTAGAAGGTAACCGTTTTTGTTTTGTTTTGTTTTGTTTTGTTTTTTTAAATACCTGTTCAGTTTCATGTTCCGGTAACATTGTGTACATACACTCACCCAGGATGCCATCATTTCACAACAGGTAAAAAAATATGATTTCCGAAGGTGCAATTCGCGTAGTTCAACCAAAGTAAGGCCAGTTAATTTCAAGGTTATTTCAAGCTCTGAAGAAAACAGGCGATCGTCGCCCAATTATAAACATGAAGCAACGTGAAGTACGTGGCTTACGAACACTTTCTAGATGAAAGTGATAGAATCCAATTCAAACTGGCGATTATCTGTGCTCCATCGACTTGAAGGATGCATACTTCACGATTCCCATACACAACGAACATCACAACATCACAAATACCTGAGCGTTCAATGGCAGGACCAACTTTACCAGTTTGTGTACCTACCCTTCGGTCTTTTAAGTGCTCCCGAACATTAACCAAGGTTCTAAAGCATGGCTACTCATTTACAATAAGGTATTCGATGTCAGTTCTACTTCGACGACATTCTCAATTCTCATCATGGGAGGGTCGTCAGAGGAATGCCAGGAGCATGTCAACAAGTCGTTTAAAACTTGAAGATTTGGGTTTCTTCATAAATTAGGAAAGTGGAATCTCATTCCATCTTGCAGTATTGTAAACGTGTAAGTTTCAAAAGAGGTGACAAAATAACGCACCCATGTCTCTCCAAACTACAAGAGTCATCAGTAACAGTATGGGCCATATGGCCAGTTTAATCGGCAAGACGTCAGTCACCATGAACTGTCCTTCCAACTCCTTTATTTTACCGCCAAGTACAGGACAAGATCGCAGCCCTGCAGTAAGAGAACTCTTACGAGACAAGACTCCCTTGTACAGAGATGGGTGGCACGCGTAGAACAGTAATACACTGGGATGGAGGGGGGGGGGTGGACTCGGGAAGAATCAACACATAACATCAACTAACTTACAGCTCCTAGCAGCCCAATTCGGTCTTCAGTCTCTTTCAGAAGATAGAAGTCCACGTCCGGCTTCAGATGGCCAGCTCGATGGCCCTAGCGTATCTACAACAAATAAATACAAATAAATGAATGAAATTTGCTGTAACTGGTAAGTTGACGTTACATTCCCTGCCCCAAATGAAATAGCTCATTCGATTTCCATTTTTGTTTTTTATATGTAACGCCCCATCAAAGTCAAATAACGACTTAGATCTTGGCACTCTCCACGAGACACAGCTTGGTGATTAGACCCGGTCTTGACCTCCACCTGTTGGACGTTACCCTCATGGTCTGGGTAGCTTTGGCAGACTCTCCCAAAGGCCAATGACCGCGAGACACCTAGTCATCCGCCACCAGGACCAGATCACCAACTTGAAGATTCTGTACCCGCTGCATCCACTTCTGACGAAGTTGCAATAGGGGCAGCTACTCTCGCAGCCAGCGCTTCCGAAATTGGTCTGCAAGGTACTGGGCGTTGCGCCAGCGCCGACGGCTGTATGCATCTACCTTCTGAAACAGATCTGGAGCAAGCTGGGATTAGCCCTCAACAGCAACAAATGGTTTGGTGTTAGAGGCTCGTCGTCACCTGGATCAAAACTCAGTGGGGTCAGTGGTCTGGCATTAGGAACTGCTTCAACCTCTGCCATCAAGGTAAGCACAATTTCATCAGACATCACCTGCTCCTTCAATAAACACCTCAAGATCTTGCTCACAGACCGTATCATTCTCTCTCGCTGATTTTCTACGTACAGCTGCAGTAGAAAATCGCTAACCCTCAACTGATTCAGGTTGTCTAGACTTTCCCGCAGCTCAAGCTCTCCCAAGACGAAATTTGTGCCATTATCACTCACGATTATCTGTGGCGTGCCCCTTCTTGCGATAAATCGTCGAAGCTCGTTAATTGATGAAAGCATCGGTATCTAGAGAGTGAGTTACTTCAAGGTGGACTGCCCGCATCGATACACATGTAATAAGATGCATCCATTCCATTTAAAGTGACTCCGGCCTTGCTGCACATAGATGGGACCGAAGTAGTCAACACCGACCAATGTGAACTCTAGCCGCAGGTAGGTCAGCCATGAACTGTTGTCTCAATGGAGCACTCCTCTTCTTGCACTCGAAGCAGTTGCTAATGAAACGTCTAACAGCTGCGCCACCTTTGACGACCTAGAACGTCTCCCTCAGCGACAACCAATTCATTCCACCACCTGAGTGCCCAACTAGCAAGGGATGGTGAACGATAATGAGCACTGTACTGTCACCTTTTGGTTGCTGGGAAGAATAATCGGGTGTTTCATCTCCTGATCAATTGGTGCATTTCTAGGGCGACCGCCTAATCGCAAGGTACCGGCCCTCCATCAAGATAGGATTCAGTTTTTGAAGAGTGAACTGTTGCCCCTGGACTCCTTTCCGCAGGTGGCAGGTTCCTGCTTAGGTGAGCGAAGTGTATCTACATGTATCTCCTTGGGAAATGTTTGACGCTGCACGTACCTGATTATTCCACTTTCTGAACTCCGGCAAGAGCTAAGCAACCCTTCTCTTCAGTCGGTTCCATGACGAGTACTCAAGGGCGGATCCAGAACACAATTTTTTGGGGGCCAAAAATGTTTTTGGTCCCCCAAAAAGTGGGTCAAAAAAATTACGGCGTGGGGTTCGGGGCCCGCTTAAGGGCCCCGAAATTTTTTTGGATTCTAGATGCTCTGTGGTGCGATCTGAGGCAATTTCTGATCACTTTAACCAATGTTTTTTGAGGAAAAGATGGTGGTGTACTCATTGTCTGCCTTTATTGCGATGTCACATAAAAAAAAAAAAATTGGTTTCGTTTTGGGGGGGGGGGCCATGGCCCCCTTTGGCCCCCCCTGGATCCGCCCTTGCGAGTACTTGGTCAGGAATTCATCAATCTTTGGCTTCTCCCGCACTTAGGCTGTCTGCGTCACTACTCTCTTGATGTCAGGATCCCTGTTAAGAGCATCACTGATCGGCAAGATGTCAGTGTTCGGTACAGTACTCTGCAGGACAACTGGAGGTATTGGCCAATGATACTCGTTCATCATCAGGAACTGCGGCCCCTTTAACCAGCGGCCATCTTTGATCATCCTTCCGAACTGAGCCCCTGGACCCTCTATCTGCCGGGTTGGATTTAGAGTTAACATATCGCCACTGTGAATCACCATTGGCATCTTGGATCCTTGCGACCCGATTTGCTACGAAGGTGCGGGAGCGCCTACTCTCATTTCGTATATGTATTGCAGAACCTAAGTTGAATCAGTCCAGAACACGATGTCGGCGATGGGCAGTCTCAGCTGTTCTTGAACCATTTTGCTGAGCTGAACTGATTGGACTAGCTGCTGTAAGCTCCAACCTCGGTATGGATATGGACTTTTTAGTACACAGCCTTGTCTTTTCAATGATGAAGGAACAGTCAATCCTCCCTGATCCATCCGCTGTCCGTAGGTAAGCCACACAGCTGCGTATCCACGCTTGGAGGCGTTTTAAAAGAAATGCAGCCGACTGACTGCCGTATTGTCTACCTTCTTTGGCCTCATACACCTTGCGATAGTGAGAGCCTCCAATCTTGGCAAGTCATCCAACCAGTGCTAGTAAACAATTTTCGCTCCTCAATCTTCTCGTCCAAACCTAGACCCTTGCTGCCGACATCCTGAAGTAATATCTAGGCTGGAAGGATGAATGGTGCTAGGAATCCCAGTGTGTCACATGACGAGCTGACAGCTGACAGGATGCCTATCCGGGTGGCAGGCCTTTCCGTCAGTCTTGAACCCAAAGGTGTCAGACTCTGCATTCCAATGTATTACCAAGTGTACGCTCGAGCGGCAAGTCCTCCAAATCCAATACAGATGTTGCTCTCTCGCTTGCCGGAATAGCTGACAGAACCTCCCGGTTATTGCTGATCCATTTCCTCAGTCTAAATCCACCCTTGCCTAGCAGATCGATAAGCTGTCTACCAAGGTTGATGCCGGCTTCCGCACAACTCACTTATACCAGAAGGTCATCAACGTAAAAATTGTCACATACTGCTGTGAAAGCGGACTCCCTAAATTCAGCGCCATTGTCATCTGTCGTTTTGTTCAGAGCGAATCCTGCACAGCTGGGTGAGGATGTTGCCCTAAACAAATGAACCAGCATCTGTGTGAGCTTTCAAACGAATTCGGCCGGATTCCTGGTAGCCTATCAGGCGCTGACCCGGGGGGGGACCCCCCAGCTCTGTCAAAAAAAAAAATTCCCATGCAAATTCCAAAAAAATAAGTCGGAACCCCCCCCCCCCCCCCCCCCCCGCTGTGACACCCAACAAAAGTTATATTGGCATAATGATTGCCTGTTCAAAATACGGTACACCATTCTGTAATCTAGTGTTAATAATCATCGAATTTGAACAGCGCCCCCTATTGAAATATTTTCAAATAATGTTACTGGGCACAATTAATTTTGGTATGGGCTTCAGCCGAACACTAAATAGTGCCTAATTAGCCCGTTAAAGGCACCCAATTTTTCACTGCACTATTGTAACCCAATTAGAGGCAGTGATATACGTAGCAGAAATGAACACATTACTACAATAGTACAGTGAACATGGTCACTTTAATGGGCTAATTAGGCACTAATTATTGTTGTGCTGAAGCCTATACCAAAGTTAAGTGAGCCCAGCAACATAATCTCGTAGATTATGAAATAAAATTGAGGGTTTTTGGCAACATGTGCGGCACACTTTGTTTTAAATAGGCAGTGATATGCACAGTTAAAAAGAATGCATTTTAATAGTGAAGTAAAAATAGGGTCACTTTAACGGGCTAATCAGGTACTAATTGGTATTCGTGTTCCATAATGTGCCATCGGCGTTTCATTGTTCAGCTCTGAAAGGAATCATTTTGGTCGATTACATGTAAGACTTGCGCAATTGCGTGCAAGACTTCTTGCAACACGGCCAGAGCTGATTGTGCACTCGCACTTGTTTTCACATCTGATCATTATTTTCAAGGTCTGAAGACCAATGACATACTGAGACTTGGGTCATGGAAGAGTGGTGTTTTCAAGAACAATTTTTATAAATGGAGTATGTAATGGTCAATTACCTCTCAAACGTCACCAGAGGTCAAATATGAAATGCCTCCAGATCTGAAAATGTTCTTCATGGCACGAAGAATCAACATTCGAAGGTCACGGCTTTAGTCGCGAAGTGCACAACTGTATCAGATATTTGATCTTGAAAACCACACTATTGGGGCCGCATAGGCTATTGTTATCCCCTATCGACCCCCCCCCCCTCCCATCGGCGACAGCCCCCCCCCCCCCCCCATGAAACCTTGTCGCCCCCAGTCGCCCCCCCCCCCCCACTGAGATTTTGAGTTTCTAAAAAAATTATCATTGATCTACATGACGCCCCCCCCCCCCATGAAATGTTCCCCCCCAGCGCCCCCCAATGAAAAATTCCTAGCTACGCCACTTAGGCAGAGCTTTATATGACCAACCCAAATCTCATTTGAATGACGGTGAACACCACACCCGAATATCTTCAGACGGCGATTTCTCCAACCCAAATCTCATTTGAATAAGAACGCCACACTGAATATCTACAGACAGCGCTTTCTATGACCAACCCAAATCTCATTTGTATGCTTTAAACACCAACCTGCATATCTTCAGACAGCGCTCTCTATGACCAACCCAAATCTCATTTTTATATGAACACCGACCTGAATTTCTTTAGACGGCGCTTTCTATGACCAACCCAAATCTCATCTGAATGTGAACGCCTACCCCAGTATGTATGATGTTCAACAAAGCCGCAGCTGGGTAGAGCGCCCTGTGCAGAACTTCTTATAAGTTTCTACGTTGCTGCCGTACTATGTTCGTTCAAAACAAGCAACACTACTAGAGCTAATGTGCTTCCCGAAGCACGGATATCAGCCTAAATTGCCGGTTTATCGGTTTGTTTGAATCCTGACTCGCACTGACCACAAGCTGCGCTAAATGTGGCTGAGATCGGCACAAGAATTTAAGAGAAAAAACTATGAATATCTGACATTAAGACCGCCGAAACATTACAAAAATTAGCTGCCAAGACAATACATGAAACAGTAGTTAATGCCAGTAGATTAATCCATAAAAACACTCAAAAATTCACCACAGCACTCGTGTTATTTATTGGCCTCCGTACTTTTTAATATCCACGGTGGTGGAACATACATGTATATCTCTTTACACAGGTGGCACTGCTGCTTTAACAGACCAAAAGTGTGCAGTGTCAAGGCCACATAGCAGTTCAGGGCAAAGTCTGTGGAGAGTGTGGCACTGTATGTCACACAACATCCACAGTATCGTGGTGGTTTGAAACCTTCCCAGAATTCCTACGTGTTTATATTGTTTTTTTATGTGTGTTTGAAAAATGAAAAACTTGAAATAACTCAACAACAAGATAAGTCAGGAATATGAAATTTGAGAATTGGAGATAAAAAAATACACTGAACAGGGCTGCAAAGATTTAAAATGTAAAACAGCTTTTTATTTGTTTTCATAAAATGACCCCTACTGACCATTAATAGGTGACCACTGGCCAAATTCTGTGAACAACTTTTGTGAGGCTTGGTCTAAAGATACAACTGACCAAGTTTGACATCAATTGGGTCAAGACTGTGGGAGAAGAAGCATTTTGTAAATATTCATTAAATGACCTCTAGTGCCCCTTTAATGACCAGTGGCCGGATTTTACGAACATGGCTATAGGTAGGGCATGTGACAAGGTTTAATTTGGCCGAGTTTGTTTGAAATCGGCTGAATAGTTTAGGAGTTATGACAATTTTTATATTGGTCACGTGACCGTTTGCCCGAAGAAAGAAAGAAAGAAAGAAAGAAAGAAAGAAAGAAAGAAACTGGACGATCACAGTATATCAGCGTGCTCCGCACGGCTGATATAAAGAAACTGGACGATAACAGTATATCAGCGTGCTGCGCACGGCTGATATAAATACCACTCAATGTCATTCTGTCGGATTAGTCGCTTGTGTATAGTCAGCACCGACGATCATGGCCATGCCTGTGGGCCAACCACCGGTATCAGACGGGGGCTTTCAGGGCTGGATCGCCGTCCTGACCTTGTTGGTCAGAAACATGATTTGGATCGGGATCACCAAAGGTCTAGGAGTCATGCTGCCCACACTGCAAGACCAACTGGCGTCGGATACTTGGGTCTTCGGTTGGATTGTGGCAATGGTTATCGCCGTGAGTGGAGTTATAGGTAGGCCAACATAAAAACTGCATGCACGGGGGTAAACCCCGTTTTCTTTTCTTTTTACATTTTGGCTTAATAGGACCGGCCGTACTAGCTAGTACGACCGATCCATGCCGATTCTTTTTTCTTTTTTTTACATTTTGGCTTGGATCGATCGCAGTTGTGCTTGGAAATGTACTTTTGCATTCGATATAAAGCAAAGCCGTGATTTTTTTTCAGTATGACGGGCGATGTGGGTGTTACGCGCACCAACTCTAATTTGGGTCATTGCTACAGTGTGACCGCCGGATCCAAGCCAAAATGTCAAGAGACTTCTTCCGTCCCAGTTCTGGGTCTAGACCTTTGCCGTGTTTTGTTTTCAGTGTGAGTGTGATGTGGGAGACTGTTACGCCCCCAAATTATTTGGGTTATTGCTAGTACGACCGATCAAAACAATGTCCTTAATTTGTATGACGGTGCTGAAAAATGAATGATGCCGGGCCCATGATTAACGAACACTCACGAGACTCCCTTCAATATGGCGATAGTATTTTGCCTGTTATAATAATCGTATATACTGCCACAGTTGTCACACATGTTGCTTTCCTTGAATCAAAGTTGAAAAAGTAAGGTCATTATTAATACACTGCTATTGAATTGCCCATTGCTATTGAACAGCCCATTAGGCCCTAGTCGAGACCCTGCTATTTTGGAGTAGTATCAATGCACATGACATTCCTCAAACAAGTCACGCTTGCTTTCGTTCAATTCAATTCCCCCGAGGCCACGCCACTGCTTATATTGGCACTATAGTAGCCGCAAGGTAATTTTATTGTGAGGGGGGGGGGGGGGGGGTAAAAAGTTCGTGAAAAGGGTACCCACGCACTAACAGATATTTGTCATGGACTTACTGGTAGTCTATAGGAAATCCTCGATTTGTACCATAAACATGTGTACATGCAAGTGGTCCCTTATGGGGTAGAAAACACAATAGAACATCATGAAGGAACTTCATCAGGCTGGTAAAATTTCAACTTTGTAAATGAATTTTCTATAAACACAGCCAATTGCTAACGTAGTTTCGAAACGTAAAAGAAACTACGTAAGTAATTGGCTGTGCTTATTGAAAATTCATTACAAAGTCACAATAGAACAATATACCCCAAGGGGAAGTCTTTAGAAATCAATAGACTATACTGCGATATTTCAAAAATTGTTAGGCATGAAGAGGCATTTTCGAGTAGTGATATAATAGTAATATATTTGTTCCCATATTTGGGTATATTTGATATTATTTTATTTTTTGAAAAGTTTATTTTGGTAATTGTACTTACACTTCCCGACTTCAATAACATTTTCTTAAGCATATAAGTGACTGAATGATAACGAGGACATAGTAACAATCCAAAATGGCTAATATTACACCCTAAAGTTGTGCGCATTTACCTTGTCTCCAGATATCATCAAGTAGTCTTGCCAAACCTTAGTAACGATGAACTTTAAATTCACCATGTTGCTTACTGTTACAGCAACCCTATTCAAAACCCTATGGGAAAATCATGTGAACAAAGATTGTGGGATAAACCGGGGCAAAAACGAGGTGTCCGTATATTGGGCTAAAAGCTAGTTGAAGGGTTGCCTAACGTGGGAGACTTGAATAAGTTCCTGGAAATTCCCAAAAATTATTGGTAACAACGTTCTGACATAAACATAACTATTGTAAGCAACAATAGGGCCTAATCTTTTATTTTGGGAAATTTCCTTGAAGTTGTTCAAATCCCCAGTGTTAAGCAACCCTTCGCCTAATTTTAAGCTCAATATACGGACACCTCATTTTCCCCGTTTTCCTTTTTTGGCCTAAAAATCAAGATGTCATCATTTTTCACACATGTTTATTATTGTTGGGGTAACTGTGCTATAGTAAGTAACTTAGTGAACTTGAAGCTCATCAATACTGACGTTTGGCGAGACTACTTGATGATATATGGAGACAAGGTAAATGCGCGCAACTTTAGGTTGTAATAGTAGCCATTTTGGATTGTTACTATGTCCTCGTAATCATGCAGTCACCTATATGCTTAAGAAAATGTTATTGAAGTCAGGAAGTGTAAGCAGAATCACCAAAATAAACTTTTTAAAAAATAAAATATTAAAAAATATACCCAATATCGGAACAAAAATATTATTACAGGTATTAAAGATTTATGCAAATTAGGCATACTTCCGCTTAAAATCTAGCTTGGTAACCATCCTTTCCGGATTCAGCACCCCCGAATTAGGTAAAATAGCTATGTTACCAACTTCTACTAAAAAAATGCCTCTTCGTGCCCTAAATGAGCCCTTTTTTTAAAGGAAACGCTATGGAGTTTGAGATTTCAATAGAAACAAAGAAAACAAAAGAAGGGAATCAAAGGTCTTCCCCGCAAGTATATTACGTATGTAAGGCTGCGTGTGAACACGGTAGTATTCTCGTTCCTTAATTTACTGTGGGGACTACACACGAGTTGTCCGATGGTACCAAGTGGACCGAAGACGCTATGGGGACAGCAGAAAGTCCACACAACTCGATCAATTACCCTAACAAGGAAAAACTTCCACAAAACGCGGTGACAGCTCGCCAACGCAACATGCACACACACGCAGTCTTACCTTCCATACCATCTGTGGATATTCCTTTGTATTTGTGCAGTTAGGAAACACCGAAGAAAACAAATCATTTTACTCGCACTGTGAACACTCTTTCAACCCAACTTTTCAGTCAAAATTTCCTTGAGTGTTCCTCTTCATTATTCGAAAAATAAACCCAACCCAAACTGCTTCCAAACCTGTGTTTCCAGAGAGGGTTTAATTGTTGCTGTGATGGGACACTCTGGATCGAATTTTTTCTTGTTCTTTACTTGATAAAAAACAACACCCATTTTTGTCATTTTGACAGCTCCTTTTTCAGGAATAGTAAACAGACGATTTGGCGTTGGTTTTGTCATAATGACGTGTGGCATCATGATTGGCGTAGCTCCGATTGTTGGGTCCTTTGTTAAAACGACTGCTCAACTTGCCGTGGTGTACATGCTCTTAGCAGGTAGGCAGCGTATACTCTATTGTTTTTGCAGTAAGAAAACAAAGACTATGGTTTTTACCAAAATGCCTCAAAAACAAAAAAGAAAAACAATTCCGGTATCATTGTTTACCCAAAAATCCTACTCTGAAAAAAAATGAAAAAAATATGTGAATGTATTTTATTTAGTTTACACAAGGTTGTGTAATGATTTGCATAGGCTTGAAACATCTTCAAAATTTCCGGTACACAACTGTACTAATCTTTGATTCTATGAGTATGAACTACAACTGTCGTGTCACAAAATATGCCGTGACACTAGGCAAGCAGAGGTACATTTGGTTCTGGACTAATTAAGACATGTAAGAAGTGCAGGAGACATGTAGGATTCATTAAAAATGAATAGTGGGACTACCGGGATTTATGATAATAACCACTATATGACCCATAATTGACACGTTTTTTCAAAAAATGGCTCATGGTGTTCCCATGGTGTTCATCCCCATGGTGATCATCCCTCATGGTGTTCCCATGGTGTTTATTCCCATGGTGTTTCCATGGTGTTAATCTCCATGGTGTTCATCCCCATGGTGTTCAACCCCATGGTGTTCATCCCCATGGTGTTCATCCCCATGCCCCATCATTGGCGCTTTTTTATGGTGGTTTAACAGGTTTATGAAACCGCATGGTGGTGCCATGGTGTTACAATAGCTGTCCATGGTGTTCCTATGGGACACTATGGCGATACGTTAACTATCCATGGTGTTCAAATGGGCCACCATGCATTTTAAGAGACCACATGGTGGGGTCATGGGTTACAGTAGCTGTCCATGGTGTTCCCATGGGACACCATGGCGTTTCTTTAGCTGTCCATGGTGTTCCCATGGGACACCGTGGTGTTTTAAGAGATCGCCATGGTGTCAAGTTAAGAGACCACCATGGTATTTAAAGAGACCACCATGAGACCACATGGCGGTGCCATGGGGTTACAGTAGCTGATCATGGTGTTCCCATGGGACACCATGGTGTTTCTTTAGCTTTCCATGGTGTTCCCATGGGAAACCATGGTGTTTTAAGAGATCGCCATGGTGTTTTAAGAGATCGCCATGGTGTTTTAAGAAATCGCCATGTGTATCCTTTTGATTCTCATGGGTCCCCATGGGGTCCCATGGGGATCCCATGGCTTCGCCATGGGACATTTTTTGTAAGGGTTACCATTCACAAGAAGGATACAAAACAATAGAGAACTATTTTGGGTATGGCTAGAATAATTAACAGTTGTTGACTGCTGTGATGTGAGGGCGGTTCGCCTCGGGTGGGAGTTATGCGCCCGAGGGGGATAAAACGTACGGCATATCCCACATTACAGCAGTCAACAATTATAAGTGTTGTGTTATGCCAATAATTCAAAAAGATGCATGGTTATAACTTACTTTGCAAGATAATCAAATCACTGGGGTGTCATTTTTGATAACTGCGCAGTCTTACTTCTCCGGCGCGCTAGCTTCTCCGGGCGGATTTGGTGCCATAGAGCACGTTAACAGTGCACGTTACAGATGAGCATGATGTATATACATTGTACATGCTCATGTATACTTTTCCTCAGGATAGGTTCTGAAGTCTTTCAAGTCCATATATAACACAGTGTGGGACACCCAAGAATGTGTTACGTAACATTTCATGTGGGTTATTGCTCAAGCTATTGAGGAGTATGGTCATTCCATGGTCTTGCAAGCATTCTGATTTGAGCGTCATGTGTGTACGTGTGTTCATGGAAAAATTATTAAGAAAGAACTCCTTGATAAGTCTGTTGCACGGTACCCTCTGGAGACATGTGCACAATAAGAAACAAAAGATTGTATACGTCTACACAGGGCAATTTCTATATGTGAACACGTCTCCACAAGGCTATCACGAAATAGATATGGATTAAAATTTACTCAAAAACTGAAAAATTTCCCAAGGTGTGTTGATAAGTCGCAAAATGAGGTATTTTTATTGAGGGATAGTAAGTCCAAATTTCAGCCCAGGAAATTCATTCTGGTTAAAATAGGAGCGTATTGAAAGTACACTATAAAGAAATGACTCCCCTAGGATACAAATTTCAGTAAGGGTGGTCAGCTGTGTTCCTTGCTCGGCGTTCGTGGTCCATCACATGTCAAATTTGTCTTTATTTTTGCAGCCACGGTTTAAAATAAATGTGCCCCCTTCAATTTTTGTTGGTTTTGGGAGTTGTGCGCGCCACAAAAATTCTTGAGTCGACTGGTACCTTAACAAATATCCTTACCTTACGTGCACCAGTACAACCCAAAAGAACTCGGCACACAAATAATGTTGGCGAAAATTTTGCGCCTGCGTGTTGAAGCGAAATTTACCCCGGAGAAGTGACACTGGACATCAACCGGTAGCTATTCCTTATTTAAAGCCATTGATTGGATCACCTCTGCGCGTGCGCAGCATTATTTTTTTATACTTCAAACACTCCTCGCAGATTTGTGCGTGAAATTTGAACACATGGCTATCGAAAAACTGACTGTATACCATGACTAGTAGGCAAAAACGCCAGTGTCTCCACGTAGGCAATATTCAAGCATTTCAACTTCAGTCATGATAGGTTTCAAATAATGAAAAATGCCCCTCTCTTTATTGATAGTTGCCAGAGATACTTTCGAAATCAGCGGAAAATTGAAGCTGATCACCACACAAACTTCTCGTTAGTAGTAAAACTTGTTGCCATTTTGCAATATGCTGGCTACGCGCTAAAACTATGGTTGGATTTTGTATTCATATTGTTTTCTCGGAATACACACCATCTCACTGAGCTGAAACTTCATGAGGTTAGTTGTTCAGCACCCTTCTTTAGATTTTGAGCAAACGATTACAAATGATGGACGTTACCTTTAAGCCAAATTTAAAAATAAAATGAAAGTGAGGCTACAGTGAATCAATAAATAGTCGGGCAAAAAAAAATAAAAAAATAGAACACAACAAAAATGGTCAACTTGTGCAGAAGGGCCATAGATATTGACTGCAGGCACTGTAATGCGCGAAAGCCCTACATGCGCCCCTCATGGGCGCATCGCGCACAGTGTACCGGTATATGAAGGTCATCAACGCAGTGTATAATGTGTGTATGATGTTCATTGTAGGATGCGCTCGAGTTTAACTCACCGGATAGACTCGGGTTGAGGCAGACGGGTAAGCCATGCGAGCGAGAAGGGCAAATCTAACGCTCAAACGCGCGGGCCATCATCTACTTCCGGACCGCCCGCAGAGCGCATGTACCCTGCCAATTATAGTCCATTGTCTACGGATTATCTATGGCAGGCCACTAATGGTCACTAATCCCTACCGGCCACCTGCACCAATTACAGTCCCCATTGTCCGAGGGCCACAGCAGGCTGTTCATTACCGTTATATTGCACAACTCGTAGCGATATGTTTATAACTATACTGTATTGACATTTTATATTTTCCCCATACATTATGCAATCTTTCCCATGCATTAGGTCAAACTGTACTCGGTTCCTTTCCCCAACCCTATTCCTATTTATTCTCATCCATACAAAAGGTCAAACTGAGCACGAATTTCGTACCCCCTGACTCAATATTCATATCATAATTTCTATACATATATTCATGTAACATTTTCATAATTCTTTAGCAAGATCAGACTGTGTCATCAAGACTACCTACACTACTATGTTACAACAGCATTTGTCCATGTTTTTTTAAATTAATATTCGATGTCTTAAATTGCCGTTTCGTTCAGAACGGCAGTTTGTATAAGGCAGACCCTATTAAAGGACGTAAGACACAGGCCTTGTAATAATTGAAAAAAAAAATCAATAAATAAAACGGGGATGACATGCCGAACGCAATTTTACTTCGTAGTTGGGGTGAACATTTTAGCAATTCGCATGCTCTTAATAACCTCTCTTGTGTCCGCATCACAAAGAGTGAATACGGCGTTGAAATGCATTAAAAACTGCTTGACAGTCATTTTCATGGTCAGCTATATTTGATGCATATAGTTTTTAAAGCAGGGCGTTTAGAGCAGCTACCGTGCTACAGATGAGCTATTGCCAAGTTCAATTCATTTGAGTTCGGCACGGACGTGACACGGCGTTTAGTCTTAATCTCGTTTCCCCCCCCCCCTAATGATTACAAGTTATGCAAACTGCACTTTGGTATTTACAATTATATTTCAATCGAAAATGCATCGTTACATGAATTCATGGATTTACACCGTTATATGTCAGGTGTCGGTTTGGGAGTATCGAACGTTGTCGCCAAGGAGGCTGTAGGTCGACGCTTTACCAAGAACTACGCGACCGCCAGCGGCATCGCCCGGACCGGTTACTCCATCGGACTCTTCGTGTTCGCACCTCTGGTACAGCTTTTACTCAACACATACGGATGGCGAGGGAGTATGATGCTTATTGGCGGGATCTGCTTGCACTTTGCCGCGTGTGGCGCCCTCCTCCTCACTCCCAGACGGGTTACCCAGTCAACAACAACGGAGTATCAGAGCATCTCTGATCAGGGGTCCAATTCTGAAACGCACCAGACTAATATCGCACTCAATTGCAGTGGATTGCGTGGAATTCTTATCAGGAACTTTGATTTAAGGTTGTTGGTTAATGCACGCTTCTGGGCCCTGACACTCTTGATGTGCTGTACCATATTTGCTGACGATATGTGGATGATCTACTTCGTGTCGTTAGCGCAATCCAACGGATTTTCCAATGAGGAGGCGGGATTGTTCGTGGCAATCGCAGGGGTGGGCAGTCTGCTCGCCAAAGTCTGCCAGGGACCTCTCACTGACCGCGGAGTTATATCTTGCTGGAGTTTGACGTCCATATTCATTGTCATTGGCTCTGCGACGTACTGCGCAACTCCTTGGCTCACATCCTATTGGGCAATGATGGTATCGGCGTTGATAGTGTTATTTTCTAGCGGTGTTATTACCTGTCAGACAGATGTTCTGATCAAGCTTGTATTGGGTGTAGAGTTGCTGTCGGGTGCCTTCGCATGGATAGGGCTGCTCACAGCAACTTTTTCATTCACTATGGGATTTCTTCCCGGTAGGTTGCCGCTTTCATCTATTTTAGGAACATGGTCATTATAGCAAAATTAACGAAGTTAACAAATTGACCAAAGATAACAAAATCACAAAATGGTACGGTAGAATTAAAGTTAGTACTTAGGACCTACGTCAATGGCCATAATTGTCTTTAACAGTAAACGCTAGAGAAAAAAAACCATACAGTTAACTTTTTGCAAAGTTACCCCCAATATACCAAAGTATACCCAATATACCAAAGTTTCATTTTACCAGGGTAGCCACATCAGTTGTCAAAGAACTGTTTTCTATGGGGGGGGGGGGGGGGCTACATAAACTCCCCAAGTAAAGCACATAGCTTTACAATACATATACATTAACATACATATTGGAAAAGAACGCAAACAATGGGAAATTAAATTGTAACGTGAATATCTGTTAATCTATTTCATTTAAGAATCATGTAATCATATTGATATCGGTATTACATTTTGAAGAGTACCTCTGAAGCCTTTGTTCTGTGTGTAACTTGTATTTTCAGGCTTGCTGTACGACCTAACGGGAAGTTATACTGCTGGCTTTACGATGGTAGGCGTTGTTCACGCCCTGCCCATTGTTCCACTCGCACTGCTGAGGAACTTCCACGACAGCGCCAAGTAAAAACGAGGCAAAACCTCGAATCACTTTTATTAGCATGCAGGGTGGTTTGTGCGAAGATATTCGTCAAGCTCTTGCGGCAAGGATGAAAAATTTTAACATAATATCAATAATGTATTACATTAATAAATATTTTGATTACCCCCACCCGAAAAATCCAAAAAGTGACCTGAGTAATCATATGAACCAGAATGATATACAATATAGAAATTAGTTAAACCTTTATACAGTATACCCCAATTTACAGTATTTAATGTCGAGTTACGGGTTTTTTTCCCATTACACGTAATTTGTATATGCCCTCATTTGCATGTGACCCCGACAGAGTACAAAGTGTATTTCTCGGCTGGAGATTTAGTGCCACAATGATTTCAGAATTCAAGTATTTTGTTTCCAGAGATCTTTTATTTCAGTAATTAGTTTTTGATCGCTTTTACAAATGGATGAGGTTTCATGTACTTCATATAGTTTTCGAGCTGGGCGTTGTAATATTATTTAGACTCGTTTCAGAAGGCTTTGGATCTTGTTGCTGGGTGGAGAGCCCATACGGACGTGCACAAATTGTTGTCGATTTCTTGCTATGAGTCACCATGGTGCTATTACATGATTTGCATCTCGCCGGGGTTTGTAACAATTTTGACATCATGGTGGATCGCGATCGATCCTCACCCATCTCTATATTTTGTATAATGGGTCAGTGACATTATGTAGATGTTGTTGGGAGGACAATAGTGATAAGATCCACCTCCTGAACACTCGGGGAATATTTAGAGCTTTGGGAATTTTAGAAATATTTAATGAATAATTAATTGCTGGAATTAACTACAAAATCAAAGGATTTGGAGAACCATTCACAAGGATTGGATACTATTTACTACTGAAAGTACTAGGTCTAATGGAATTCTATCTTGTCTATCCGCGTCTGTCTGTTGGTCAGTCGTTCGGTCGGTTTGTGTCTGTTTCTGCCTGTTGGTTGTTGTTGTTTTTTTCTGTCCATCGTTATCTATGTATCTGTCATAAGGTTCTATCTTGGGACTCCTTTTATTCCCTGTATACATTAATGATTTTGATGAATCCTCAGTGGTATTTTCTTTTATTCTTTTTTGCTGATGACAGTAATCTGTTCTAGAGCCACAATGATGTAAATGTACTTTTTGATACGATTTATTATGAGATGAAAAAAGTATCTGCCTGGATCAAAGCAAATAAGTTGTCTCTTAATATTAAAAAACTAAGTATTTGTTATTCAGTAATAGGAAGTACTGTCAGCCGTTTTCAATCTGTATTGATAATACTAATATTATAACTAGAGGTTCGCGTTTGTTGTTACAAACGCAGAGTGGTCGGGCACGCAGTTTGTTCATTGTTCATTGGTGACTGGTTTTAACTGGTTTAACTGGTTCAACTGGTATGAACTGGTTTTGAACTGGTTTAACTGGTATGAACTGGGCAACTGGTTTAACTGGTTTCTAACTGGGCAACTGGTTTAACTGGTTTCTAACTGGTTTCAAACTGGTATGAACTGGGCAACTGGTGTAACTGGTTTCTAACTGGGCCACTGGATGAACTGGTTTCTAACTGGTTTCAACTGGTGCCAATAAGTTTAACTGGTATGAACTGGGCAACTGGTGTAACTGGTTTTCAACTGGTTAACTGGTGTGAACTGGTTTAACTGGTATGAAGTTTCCAACTGGTTCAACTGGTTTCCTACTGGTTTTACTGGTGAACATAGTTTCCAACTGGTTTCCAACTGGTTCACAAATGACATGAGCTGTTGCCAACTGGTTTGGAACTGTGAAGTCGTTTTGAATTGGTCTGTAGTTGGCATCAAACTGTCGTTAGCGGGTTGAAATGGTCTTGAACAGGCGGGCTGAGATCTGTGGGTTGCTTCAAGGGCGAATACATGTAGTTTGTTGAATATATCCAGATACATATTTTGTTATTGATAATAAAGAGTGATTATCCGGAAACAAGTATTACAAATGAGACAAAGGGGAGCAAAATGTTTTGGCAAATACTGTACGTTGTATATATTTGACACTATTTACAAAATGTGTATCATCATAATAAATGAAATATTATAATAGGCTTTTCTACGAAAGCCCATTAGCGCCACTGCAAGTACATATGTTGCGGATTATTTAATTCGTTATTACGGATTATTAATTCGTTATTACGGATTACTAATTCGTTATAACGGATTATTAATTCGTTATTACGGATTATTTAATTCGTTATTACGGATTACTAATTCGTTATTACGGATTATTTAATTCGTTATTACGGATTATTAACTCGTTATTACGGATTATTAATTCGTTATTACGGATTATTTAATTCGTTATTACGGATTACTAATTCGTTATAACGGATTATTTAATTCGTTATTACGGATTATTAATTCGTTATTACGGATTAATAATTCGTTATAACGGATTATTAATTCGTTATTACGGATTATTAATTCGTTATTACGGATTATTTAATTCGTTATTACGGATTAGTAATTCGTTATTACGAATTACTCATACGTTCTGAGTCATTACTCGGCAAGTATGGCACAGGAGTGCAAACGTTGTATGCAAAGATAGCGCCGCCTAGCGGCGCTATATACACAGGCCCCTGGTCACGTGCTCTCCACGTGTGAGAACATCAGACCTAATTCGTAATAACGAATTAATAATTCGTAATAACGAATTAAATAATCCGTAATAACGAATTAATAATCCGTAATAACGAATTAATAATCCGTAATAACGAATTAAATAATCCGTTATAACGAATTAATAATCCGTAATAACGAATTAATAATCCGTAATAACGAATTACATAATCTGTAACATATATACTTGCAGTGGCGCTAATGGGCTTTCGTACTTTTCAAATAAATAGATGCAGAAGTCTTGAACCATGAAAAACTATCAAGATGGTGGTGGAAGTTATTTTACACTAGATTTTTACAAGATTTTTTTGATGGCTAGATGATTTTCCACAATCCAACTTACATGTAAATTTGAATGTTGAGGATAAAAGAGGGAAGGTTTTGGTTTGAGTTTAATGCCTCTCGTTTCATAATTAGGCCACAATCCACGCTAAAACAGTAAAGCTAGCCTATTCGTTTAAATTATGAAACTCGTCTCAATATTTCGGTGAGTAAATTTACAGGAAACTTCAATGGCTTGATAAATCCAGGGCAAATAACATTCAGTCTCAGATCATCATAATATTGACAAAAAAATGGAGAAATGTACAGACCTGGGGAAACAGGTCCTGAGAAGCACAGAACTTTCATGTACTGGTCAAGTTTTATCGAATCAAAGATGAAAAACATCAAAGCTGTAACACTGAAGCCTTGCAGAAATAACGTCACTGTTTTGATATCCAGTTTGCGTGCTTCAAATGGTTATAACAATTACACTCTGAGTCACTTAATTTGCTGCAGATTGTTCCTATATATACACGTGCTTCTTCAGTGTCTCCTGAGCCTTTTCCCGTCACTGTCGCACCGGTCTCTGTTGCAAGTTAACTCCTCTCCTCACGTATCGATTGACTGTTCCGTTGTGTCCATGGCTCCCTGTCATTGAGAACAAACCGAAAACAAATTAAAAAGTAAGAAAAGCAAACCCTCCAAAAAACCCTTAAGAACAAAGATGGTCTGGGCTGAATAAGACAGCTCTAGTTGTACTTTCAGAAACCACCACTTTGTCAGGATTTTGCTTTTAATATGTTCAGTCTTAACATTATTAAAAGTAGCCTGATGAACTTCTGCAATGCCGAAGAAATTGTGATCCACAATTAATTTGTATCCTAATACCACCAATATTTCATTTACCTTGCTTTATGCAATACTTTTCTGATCCCTGAAATTATTAAAGGTGTGCTGTTTCTTGCATTTTATGGGAATACGACAGAATTAACGAGGAGTCCAAACTCATATACATGTATTCCTCATTGGGATTGCTTCGAGTATTTATTATGTAGGACTAGTCGTGCTTGTAAATGTACAAAATGTATAATACTTGGATATGACTATGAGCTTTATTTTCTCACCAGCATGGCCAGCTGATCACAAACAAAGCTTAAGCATGTTTAAGCAAATAATGATATCAAACATAAAATGTAGTGCAAATGTGACAGAATCTATGCTGTACAACGGATACGAATAAAAAAAAGCTGGGTATTTGAAACATTCAGTACAAACTTACCAGTAAGGCCTACAACAAACTGTAGGTTTGAAAGAACAGGGCTCCAGAAACGAAAGGTTCTGTCCAAATTCTCTCCCATTCCGCAAAGACCATGGTGCTGCAGGAATATTAACTCTGACTAATAAGCTGTATGTTTACAGACATGTGTGATGCTTTTGGACGCGGATTTGGAACTGAATACAATACATGTAATCAGTGTTTTTTCGAGAAGACGATGTACATTTGTGCCTGCTCCGTCTTTAACCATTTTGAATGAGTAGTAGAACTGAACTGCATGCAGGCTAGCGCAATGTGGCCTAACGGTTTTTCTGGTTGAGGCAAGGTCATATTTACATGTACAGTATATGCTGTGTGCTGACCACTAGCTTAGTACGTGTGTCAAAGGGCATGAAGTGACCTTGCGCAAGACTGGACAGTGTAAGTCATATACATGTACAGTATATGTTGTGTGGAATGTACATGCACAATACATTCCCACACAGTATATCGCTGCACGGGTGGGGGGGGGGGGGGGGGGGGGGAAGAGTCCATCATATTATTGAACCGCAACCGCGACAAACATGATGTGCAGTCTTGAATCATGTTGGCTGGTTTTCTACTGAAAATCTTAAGTCAATTTCCCATTGAAATTCTTCTCTTCAGTTCTCAATTATAAGCTCAAAACTGAAAAACAATTAATGATCGACCATCTCACAACAAGAATTGCCATGGTTTCTTCAACACGTTTCAACTGGCTGTTGACACAACAAGAATTGCCAGTTGATAAACTCTTTTTTCAACTGGTTTCAACTGGTTCCTGTTGGCACAACAAGAATTGCCAGTTGGTAACTGGTAAGTTCAACTGGTTTCAACTGGTTCTGCTGAATCCAGTTGAGCTACCAGTTGAAACCAGTTGAATCGAACAGGTACCAGTTGGACACCAGTTAATCCCAGTTAATCCCAGTTAACACCAGTTGAAATTGTAACTGGTTTCAACTGGAATTTTCACCTGGGTTGCTGCCGTTCAAAACGAAGGAACACTAATACTTGTGTCATTCTGTCGGATTAGTCGCCTGTGTATATAGTCAGCACCGACGATCATGGCCAAGCCTGGTATGGGCCAACCACCAGTGTCAGACGGGGGCTTTCAGGGCTGGATCGCCGTCCTGACCTTGTTGGTCAGAAACATGATTTGGATCGGGATCACCAAAGGTCTGGGTGTCATGCTGCCCACACTGCAAGACCAACTGGCGTCGGATACTTGGGTCCTCGGTTGGATTGCGGCAATGGTTATCACCGTGAGTGGAATAATAGGTAGGCCAACATCCATCCATGCCGATTTTTTGTTGTTGACATATCATCCCCCAATCTTTTATCTATGTGCATGTACACAACACGGAGGTACAATTTCACGTTCAATTCAGTTTTCCACATTTTTTTCGCAAAAAGTTTTTCCCTGTCTCTGAGAAAAAACAATGCCCAAATAAAATCTCAGCTCCGAAAAGCCTTTCCAGAGAATGATTGATAGCCGCATTGTTCAAATTGATACTGTTGCGTTCCCTAATAGCAGTTCATGAAACATTATTAGAGTCAACAATAATTCAATAAGTTGGAGGGAAACAGAGCTTTGGGGTGACAGTCACACATGTCAATACACTGATTTATTCATCTCTTCACTTTACATAATGTTGTTAGATTTCATCAACCTATAGGGTTTCTCCTTTTGATAGTCTTTGGTAGCGTTATAGAGATAACAGGTTGGCGTCTACAAAGTCTATACAATGGCAAAACCATGTCAACCAATACGAACTGAGTGGGCACCGGCACGGTACGGGTTATCGACGGCCAGACCGAAGCGGGAGCGGTCCGCTACGGTGACCGGGAGGCAACGGTAACTGGACGGGGCCAGCAAGTGTACCAGGCCGCACTACAGTTTGAACCAAAGTGTGCATGTGGCGTATCGGGTATCCAAGGTCAATCGAGGCACTATGCACCAAGGATAGTGTTTATGACAAGACCGGGCTAGCATAGCTGAACTACGGGGGAATGGCTACGGGGAGCCGGCTGACCACAGCGGGAGCGCGCACAGTGGGCCGGGTCAAGGTCAAACTGCGCCAAAATTGGTTCGAGTCGCTGATTGGACTAATATTAAGCATCTAGGGGTTTTCTGACCCGAGAAAGACAGTGAGCATAATTTCCAAACGCTGTGACGTCATTAAAACGCTGAATTTTGATTGGCTGACATAATACGCACATTTACACTGTTTTTTTAATGAGGAGAATGTTCATATAACTTTTATAATTTAATTTTAAGTTCTGAAATTGTTATACAATTGTATTTAAATGATTTTTGTATGTCATTATGCAACAATGTTTTCTCATTCTCCTTAACCATAATGATGCCACGTTCGATCCTTGTTCCCGAATATAATATTTCGGAATCTAACGAGTAGCCTAAACAAATTTCGGAAGAGTAGAATAGACCTGTTTTAAACAAAATTTCTTGTTGTGTTAGGATCATGAACAAATAAAGAAAATGTATTTTGATTGAACTTAAGGACTGGCTCTCATTCTTTTTTTACCTGTTATTTTTTTTTGGCGTTTTATTTACTGTAAATTATTCACGCCAGTTTGTTATGTCCATTTAACAGTTTACAATAATGCTTGTACAATATATGAGCGCGTCAAAAAATAGTTTTAAATCAAATCGGTTAAGCAGCAGAGTTGTACATATTTACTCTATGCAATAATTGAAAATAAAGCACGTGATATGTTGATGAGACACCAAGTATTTGAGACACCAAGTACATTGTAATTTCAACTGCGCAATCAGACATCTAATAGGGGTATCATATTACACAACACCGACTTTTCCGGCGAGCGCAGCCTTGCTCGGGTGTCGTGTTTCTCAGTGAAGCGCGCCACATGTAATATGGAGTTCAGAAAAGGGGCGAAAACGTACGGTGATCGCTTCAGAAAAACTGCTCTAAAATCGTGTATCGCAGGTTGTCGCAGCTAAATTTGGTACCAAAATTATGCAAACAAGTTGCTCTATTAGAAATAAGAAGACTTTAGGCAGCAATCGACGGCAATCCTTAGTTTCCGAATTGCTGAACACAGGAATCGTAAATTTCATGTCAATTTTGACACAATTGTCAGTATTTATTCATAAAAACATTCAACAAAAATAAAAACTGATTTAATTTCCTTTAAATATGAACTATAAACTAGTGTCAAGTGAAAATTTAGCTCCGTAGCTCAATGCAAATTGTCTGATTTTGCTTTATGAAGATTTCTGCAACTATTCACATTTTATGGCCGATTTCTTTGGATTTGCATAACTTTAAGGGGTCATGACAAGTCAATATACATATTTTTTGCTTAATTTCCCCATAAAATGGTCCGATGGGGTATGAGCAACCACAAAAGTGTCGAAAAAATGAAAACTAGCAGGGTCACGTTTCACCCTTCATTACTCGGACACTCTCGATAGAAGTGACATTTAATTGAATGTACACGAACCATCGGTACCGATGGTTCGTGTACAAACCAGAATGAGCCAATAAGACAACAGCGCCGATGGTTTGTGCACTGATAGATACAACCAATGAGAGAGCAAACAATCACTGGTGGTCAACGGCCCAGTGGCCTTGCCTAGCTCAGCTATCAGTGAGATTTACGTAACGTTGCGTAACAAAGTGTATGTGGGGAAACTGTGGTCAGGGCCCTGGCCCTGCACAAGGCCATGCATGTGCATGCTATCTTAATATGTTAATGCAACCATAGAGCTTGTCCTTGCTCTAATGATGTAACGTACACTTTGTACAGTTGAAACCTTATATTTATTGCTTTTCCAGACATTAAGGTTTGCTGCATGCACTATAATATATTACTTGGACATGGTTGTATAGCAAGGACCTATAATTGTACCATGGAGGAAGGAATAGAAAAATACAACTTGGAAAACGATAATCTAAACGAGAATATGCTGAAATGTAGCGCCCACACAGTAAATCGTGACGTAATAAACAGGACTCGTTTATGCAACTCTGCATCGGGAGTCCTGTTAATTACGTCACGATTTACTGTGTTTTGTTTGCTGCCCGCAACGACGACTTTTACCCAAATTGCACGTTCGGGTCGAAACAGGCATGACAGGACTTAAAAAAACAGCTCTCAAAAGTACCTTTTGTACTCATTTTATGACAGAAACAATAGTCGTTTTTATTTCATCACACCTTAGGCTACATATACCCGAAAAATGACGGATATGTCTACGAGCATTCCACAACCTCTTTAAGTAATCGTAATTCACATTCCAAGGGAATCTAGTATCATTAAATGAATACAAGGATGGAATTATCTGCTACGTCGTTAGATTTACCAAATTGTAGTGTTGCTACATACTTCAGGGTATCCTCACTTATCACAACATAATCTTGGTCAACATTATCGAAGTTCCAAGTTCAATTTTCATATTCAATATCGACAGCACTAGTGAAAGAACGTGTGCACTGTTTGCATTTACTCCAGCAGCGTATCCAGCTTTTGATGTCGGGGGGGGGGGGGCAACCGCACATCCGCGCCGAAATGTGGACATGTTTTTTTTCTCCGGACACTTGCCCTCCGTAAAATCAAAAAGCGGGGGGGGGGGGGGGGGGAGGGGGAGGGGGAGGGGGGAGGGGGGGGGGGGGGGGGGGGAGGGGGAGGGGGAGGGGGTCTGGTACCTATCTTCCAAATGGGGGCGCTCTTCAAAACTTACCATTATTATGTATACTATATTATTATATGGACAATTTCACGGCGCATTGTAATGGTTGTTGAGCGGGTTTTCTTTGGTAGGATTGATGTCAGAAGAACTCTATAAACACTTCAAATCATTGCTGAAAAAAAAAATTGTCAAAAAAATTCGCCAGGGGGGGCAAAGTGCCCCCCGCCCCCCTACTGGATACGCCACTGATTTACTCACTAAAGACAAGACTCCGCGGGCATTCACTGAATGCGCAATGCCATGCCATATAATCTCCATAACACTCAGAACTCATCGTACTACTCCTGCTGCTAGGTTGGACATAATACACCCCTCCCCGAAAAAAAAACTATATACTATGTTCGCACGAAAAGCAATTTAATGTCAAATATACTTAAACTAATATTTTAACATTTTTTATTGAAAATTAAATTTATCATTGAAGACAAAAAGACTTTAAGTTATACCCATGCACTCCTTGCGATTTACGTGTTTATTACTCAAACTTGCTAATCAAAACTTACTTATAATTAAGGACTCTTTTATCGATATCAGCTTTACTTAGTTTTGTTGTCTTTTTATGACGTAAATACTGCACGTTCCATTTACAAGTTATGTATTTAAGTATTTAGCACTGAAATGAATTAAGTGCACATGATGAATCTGTTTTATGAGTGATATCCAAATACTTTATGTATCATTAACTCAATTATATATGATGTTGTCTTTACTCATTTTCTTTGTGTGGATGAAACTTAATAAATTAAGTTTAATTCACATTTTAACATTGCATGTTTTTTAAACTGAAATAATAGTTTTAAGCTATATGTAATTATTTAATTGGTTTAATATGAATTCAGTCAGGGTTCATTTTTTTGTGTAGTGTTACATGAAGGCAGCTTTCAAGCATTTTCATGCGCTTGTGAAAAAAAGGGGATTTGAATGGAAGAGGGCTGTCTTTACAAAATATTGGGTGGGTGGGGGGGGGATACCCTCCATACCCCCCCCCCCTGTCTGGCTACGTCTATGGCACAACTTCCATCGCGTCGCGCTTCAACATAACAGTTCATAACAGATGATCTTGAAACTGAAACTATTCAATCTGAAAATTCGAACATGGATAATTCTGAAGATTCGGAAATAGAAAACCGTGGAACTGAATTTACCAGGATGAGGACGAAGATTTCGAGGAAGACGATTTGGAAACCGGAACAGAGGAAGAGGAAGACCAATTATCGGATGAGGATGAGTCTAGTTCTGAAATGGAAGACGACAATGCAACATACCGAGACTGGTTGGAAGATGCCAAAAATGTGACTGGGGAAGTGTGGAGTGAAAAAGATGAAATGTACGTCAACGGCGGTATGGGTGGAGATCAATTAAGCCAAGGGAAAAACCAATAGGAAGACACTCTAGACAGTCAAGCAAATCTTTTTCGACACCTACAAGGATTTTTTTGTCAAGTTACCTACATATCTGAAAGGGCATGATACTCATTCAAGGTATTGTGGAAGATCTCGAAGAAAGAGTAAATAAAGGCATTACAGTGAACGAAGCCCTGAACAGAGTAATGCATAAACACCGGACCAAATTTGACGGACTGTTCCAACAAGATGAAGTGGCAAATGAAGAGGAAGACAGTGATGATTAAAGACTTGCGGGGCTTAGTGTCAGACTTTTGTATTTTTTTGTAATAATCTATGGATGTGCCTTTGGTAGATAAACAAAATAATATATAAAATACATGTAGTTACCTCTCTGAGTCGATCTATTTCCTCCAATTCAGAAGGACTTGGATAAGGATCTAGACTCCATCACGATCAAATGCTTTCCCTATACATGTCTAGCTCCCGCTTGAACATGTCAAAGATGTCAGTAAAGATCGTTCGCGTCCGTAACGTACTTACACTTGAATCAAAGTGAAGAACGTGTACGCAACCATTGCGTCTGATTCGTTTTTGATCCCACAGGGCCATACTATTATCTATGCTATGTTCAAAAATACATCTTTACATTAGCCTGTCGCGGATAATATAATGGTCTGTTTAATGGCACACGTCTCGTGGATATATATACCAACCCTTCGTTCTTTTGTTTGGAGTCGTCTGCAGACGTGCTTTTAAATTAGGAACTGCCAACACGGTATAACTGACCAAGCCTTGTATGAATCGTTGGAACAAACGTGAGAAAAGAACTTATTTGCACATTTGCCAAAAAATGACCACTGGAGTCCACTAGGTGACCTTTGACCCTACATGGTGGTTACTTAAGATAGGACATAGGTCAAGGAAGATCCTGCTCAACTTTGACTGAAATCGGCCACAAAATTTGGCAGATATAGCAAAATGACCACTGAGTGACCACTGAGATTCCCACTTCCTGAAATCTACTGAAAATGTTGTACAGGGTATGGGCTGTATAAGCATGTAATTGACGAAAATTGTTAAAAGAATGTGAAGAATTTGGCCAAAATAAAATGCGTTTAATCTGTTTCAGTGAAATGAGCCCTACTAACCACTAGGTGACCATTTAGCACAAAACAAATTACCAATACTGACCATTAGGTCAGTATTGCAACGAGTGAGTGAAGTCCATATTATAGCTCTCGGATCATTATCAATTTCGATTTGGTCCTCTATTTATTCATTAGGTCTTATATTTATTCGTTGGGTCATATATTTATTCGTTTGTCCTTATCTGTATTCGTTTGGTCTTACATTTATTCATGTGGTTGTATATTTATTTGTGGTCTGATATTTATTCGTTTTGTCTTTATTCGTTTGGTAATTAAGTCATAAAGGGCGCCCCGTACACTACGGGGCAGGTTTATTGCACATTACAATGCTTCCAGTCAGACAGACTTCTAACTGGCACTATCAATGGTGTCTCAAATAAAGTGCTGCATTTGACCTCTTTCGTAGAGGCCTTGTTTGCTCAGGTCATCCATTGCAATGACGTAGTGACATTATTTACAACTGGATAGAAGACATCTTGGCCTTTTCCCTTGTACAGGGTGAGTCCAAAAAAAGCGGAACCCAAACCCCAAAAATTATATTTCATGTTTAAAAAAATATGTAGCACCAAACGTAATCATGACTGGAAAGCCAATTTCATAAGCTACTTTTAGGCCAAAAAAATATATATTCGGTCTCTGGTCAGACCAAAGTTCCGGAATTGACGCGGCCACGCGGCTTTTTTTTTTTTTTTTCTTTTTTTTTTCTTAAAGCTTGGATTGTACATACAAGGTAGGTACTATTTTGTTTTTTTGGTGTCCTCATGTGCATTGGTGTCCTCCATAATTTGCCTTGGTACTTTCGATCATTTGCCTTGGTGCAATTTCCCATTCCTTGGTGCTCTTTGGTTAAAAAAAATTGAGGAGGTGCGGAAATAGAGGGCGCTGTTGGAGCTACCACGGAACATTTTGAAAAAAAAAAAAGATCGACACGCATGATTAAAATCGACGCGCGCGCTGACCAGAGACCGACTTATTTTTTTGTTGGCCTTAGATGAACAAAATACTGAAATTGGTCAATCCGTTCAAAGCATATCACCATTTAAACACAATGGCCCTAAAACCTGTCTCGTCCAAAAAAAAATGCGATTTCAAGAATCGTCGTCACAATTGTCTTTAAACATCACCAGCGATAAAATCTCAGTTTAAACGTTTAAATATTCAACAAAGTCTTTTTGAAGGCCCGTCTTTTAAAAAAAGTAGATTTTATAAATTATATTGTTTGCCTAACCGGGGTTGTTAATAATGATATTGTGCACTACAGGTGGTGACAGTTGTTGAAACAAGTATTCTGTGTCATTTTCTTTGTTGTTCCAAACAGTCAAAACACACAATAATTTTTGGTTTTTTGGACGAGAAAGGTTTTAGGGTCGTTGTGTTTGAATGGTGATATTCTTTAAACGGATTGAGCAATTTCAGTATTGTTTCATCTTAAAGTAGCTTATGAAATTGGCTTTCCAGTCATTATTATTTTTGGTGCTACATATTTTTTTAAATATGAAATATATTTTTTGGGGTTTGGGTTCCGCGTTTTGTCTGACTCACCCTGTAGTTGCTTCTTTCCGAGATATTCAGTACATTTCTGATAACTCACATATAGGCAGACAAGGTAAACCTTAGCAAACATAGAAAGGTTTTGTGTGCACGCCTCAGCCAGAAGGTTTTATTAATCATAACGTCTAGCACCATACTAATGTGCATGCAGCATAATATAATACTGTGTTGCATGCATAATATATATGCATTGTTTGTGCACAATATGGACTGAATATTTCAGAAAAAGAGCAACTACATGGACCATAACAGTTTGCTGATCGAAGCAATGGTATTTTCTGCCTTCGAATGTAGAATAGAAGATCTTTCAGAGTTGCTGACTCGAGTCATGTGACTTGGACTCGAGTCGGACTCGAGTCGCTATTTTTGTTACTTTTGACTTGACTTGTAAATACCAGCTTTGACTTGTGACTTGACTTGGACTTGCAAACAATGACTTGTGACTTGACTTGGGATTGCAAAAAATGACTTGTTACCAACCAAAGTCAGACGTAATGGTTGAACAAACTTTGAAAGGAACCTTTCATGAAAAGAAAGCAGGCCTTTGTCAATTGCATGTAAAATACCGGATAGCCTAACCCATTGGTAGGCGTTTAGTATACATGACAATTGAACAATAAAGTGTTAGTATACTACATGTAATCGAGTGAGCGAAGTCTTTTTTTCATGTCATTCCAACATTTATTTCTACAATGTAAAGTAAATTTATTAAAGTATACAAAGGGCTAATATCCGACAGATATGTAATAAACTACAAGAATAGTAATGGCAACACATTGAAAAGGGGAATTAAGGAGGCATGTTCAAAATAACTCGTAAGTTGACGCCAGGTTCTTTTAGCTTATTACAGCTGGACAAAATAATGAGCAACTTGACGTGTTCTTGGACAAAGATACTTGTGACTTGACTTGTGTTTAGACCAAATGACTTGTGACTTGACTTGTGACTGGACCTAATGACTTGTGACTTGACTTGTTACTCGACCTAATGACTTGTGACTTGACTTGGACTTGCAAACAATGACTTGTGACTTGACTTGGACTTAAAATGACTTGCTGCCACCTCTGAGATCTCCACAAGATTTGAATCCGAATGAAATCCCCCCCCCCCAAAAAAAAAATCGATTGTTTTGTGGGAGATCACCAAGTGAATCCAAATATGGTGAATCGCAGATGTTTCCTATGCTCAGCAGCTATAGGTACTGCAAATATTAATAATCTTGAAGAACTATAGAGGCCATATAACATTAAGGCCGTATCAGCTGAATTGCTGTACTGATTTTTAATGAGGCGGAAAGAACCATCCTTTTTAGATTACGCCTTAAAATGTACGCCTTTAAAATGGTATTAAAATTAGAGGATTTAGGACTGTTAGGGATTTCCCGGTTGTATGTTACCTTTTGGGGACGTACATTATTAATTATATATTATTAATTATTTTCTGTTTTAGCCTCTGAAGAAGAACTTGCTAAGTTCGCAACGTCAGGCCACATTAATTTTAAGATTATTAATTATAGTTAATTCCTATATAATTCCCCGAGTACATTGCTACGTTATGGCGAAATTCTGGATCGATTAATGGTATTGTTATTGACTTGTCATGTTGTTGTTTTTATTTAGCTTATGGTTGTTTTCTTGATAGACTGGTGTCAAGCACTCACCAGTTTTTGTTTATGTTTATAATGTTACTTTAAATTAATATTATTGTATACTCTTACTGTTTAAACATTTCTAACCTTTTACTAACCTTTTTATAGTTCAGCTTAGGCATTTCTTTCTTAATTCATGCGATATTGCATTATTTTACATTTCCAGCTATGCCTTTTTTGACATGTTCCTTTTAGTATTGTGTGCTGGCTTGTACATACAAGGTACATGTCTTCCTTACATCATTCAATTTTCGCTTAAAGCTTTTCCCCTTTTTACGGTTGTTGTTTAGCTTTCATACTGTACCTGTTTATAATCGTTCTTGTATTTCTGTACCTTCTTTGTTATTTATCTTCAGGGGACTCGCTCACGACAAGCTGTGCTTTTCGTGGGTCCCCTGCATCTCTTGCCGGTGTTATTCTGATGTTTGTTTTCATAATGAATCATAATAAAAAACAAACAAAATAAAATCAATGCATTGAGATGAAATAAAGTAAAGTAAAGAAAGTCAAGTTAGCTAATAATTTTTCTGTCATTTTCGCCAGCTCCTTTTTCAGGAATATTGAACAGACGATTTGGCGTAGGTTATGTCATAATGGCGTGTGGCATCATGATTGGCGTAGCTCCGATTGTTGGGTCTTTTGTTGAAACAGCTGCTCAACTTGCCGTGGTGTACATCTTAGCAGGTAGGTCAACAAAAACACTAGAGGGGTTGCAGGAACAACCACACGGTGTTGGGCTATCTTTTGGATTTTATGGCAAGAAATTAACCAAAGTTTGCTTAAAAACACTAACATTCTATAATGACAGTAAGATAATTGTCAATGGCAAGTCGATTCCCGTAAAAAAGCAAAATCAGATCTCCTACAGTTGATTTGATATTGATTTTCAAATATTAATGTAATTTGGTGGTCTCAAATGCACGCCTATGCTGCTGCTGTGTAAACATAATAAAAATGCATTCATTCACAAGCCCCGAAGTATCTTCAAAACCTGATTTCATTTCACAAACCTAAATATGCCACTCGCTCTTCGCTAGACTCAACCCTTGTAACTGTGCCTAAAACCAGAACTTGTACCGGCGATAAAGTGTTTCAAGCCGCTGGACCATGCCACGAGGCCAAAATCTGGGGCGTTTTCAAAAGGTCTTCTCAACACACCTGTTCGTCTAATTTCTTGTATTGCTTTGTACGTACTTTGTTTTGTTACTGATGTTCCGATATTGAGTCTCATTGTTCTGTAATTTATTACATATATATATTGCCTTTTACATCGCTGTGTTCCTTGAAGGGCGCTTCATAAGTGCCTAATTGTATTGTATTGTATCATGACGTTATAACAAAAAAAAAACACATCTTCAGTGTGTTGTGCATTCATGTATTGACAATTGAAGTTCATAAATGTTTTAATGTTGACAAACAGTTATGGAGAAGAATCTCGTCGTGTGTGTGTGTGTGTGTGTGAGCTTTGGTGGTGTGTGCGAGTTTGAAACGTTGTGATCTGATACACCGTGCCCTCTGGAGACATGCACACAATAGGGAACAAAATATTGTCTACGTCTCCACAGGATAATTTCTATTATATAACTGACATACAGATCCTAGTCATTTGATTGGTGGAACTCACATCACTCAAAAAGTACTATCCGCCCATGGGGAATGGGAAATACTATTCAACAGTTATAATAGGATCATGACGCGGTATTTGTGTGCAAATCACTGATCTCTATATAAAGACTGGATAGCTAATAAAGAGCTGCACAATTTATGAATTTGATGCCATATTGGTGAGACCGGCTGGTGATCTACAAAGGACAAGTTGCCGTTTTTATAGACAGCATGATTTCTTTTGTAACGTCGCGGTTCACTTGACTTATATTTTGACCACCACCACTGACCAAACTACAGTTTTTCTAACGTCGTGGTTATTAAAATGCTGCAAATATCACTTTTTCGGCGTTTTTGAAATAATAATCACTACGGAAATGTGTCCCTTTTAGAACATCATAATATGTGTACGTGACCAAAATGCGCGTCAACTTTTGATACAACGAGCGCGTATTTACGCGTAGAACGTTCGTATTATACGCGGCCATCTTCGTGAGACCGGGGGCGAATTGGTCAATATGCAAAGTCTACTGTGTGAATGTTGTATACATATCCGCTATCCAGTCTTTATATAGAGATCAGTGGTGCAAATGCATGCTGGTGTGCGCGTTCAGCGTTGCGCGTAGTGCGTATTGTTCCAAAGAGCCAGCGCTACAGCGTTGGGTTCATTCATTTTCGTGCAGGGGTATTTGGAAGAGAGAAATACATTTTCCCTCAGTTTTCTATTGAAAAAAAGTTCAAATATATCAAATGACAAGGATCTATATGTCAGTTATATAAAACAAATATTGAGTGGCTTTAAATTGTGAAATGGGAGGAATATTTTGGCTCCGTAAAATCTGGACTTTTCCAGCTCACTCGGCTTCGCCTCGTAAAATGGAAAAGTCCAGATTTTACCTTGCGATAATATTCCTCCCATTTCACGCTGAGCCACTCAATATTTGTATATTATACAATATTTGTATATTACACAAATATTGAATGCTTCGAGTGGTGTAGTAAAACTAGCCTCCCTCGGTGATCCATGGACCAATCTATTTTCCCGAGGCGAAGCCGAGGGAAAATAGAATGGTCCATGGATCACCTAGGGAGGCTAGTTTTACTTAATAATAATAATAATATTAATTAATTAATTCTTATATAGCGCATTACATCGTTGACACAATCTCAATGCGCTTTACAAAGTTAATAAAACAAATGTCATTAAATACACTAAAAAGCTCATTAAAAATACTAATACATCACCAATCTATTGATTTAAATACCAAGTAAAACTCATTAAAAATACATTAAAACTACAATCAGTCAATCATCATGAATGTTATTTAAAAACCTGACGGAAGTAATACGTTTTTAGTGCTGACTTAAAAGATAAACAAGAAGGTGCGTTCCGAATAAAATAAGGAAGCCTTTTCCATACACTGGGTGCTGCTGCTGAAAAGGCACGCATGCCATAATGATTTTGATTGAAACGGGGCTGGACTAAGCGTGTTTCATTGGAGGAGCGAGTGGCTATAGAACTTTCCCGAACTGTCAACAAATCTAACAAATAACCAGGTGCGTGTTTATGTAAGATTTTATAAACCAAGATAAGGATCTTGAACTCAATACGCTGTGCCACAGGAATCCAGTGAAGACTTTGGAGAACAGGGGTAATGTGCTGATATTTCTTAGTATGGGTAATAAGACGAGCGGCTGAGTTTTGAACTAATTGTAGCCTATGGATTAAAAAGTCAGGAAGGCCATAAAGCAGGCTAATGCAATAATCCAGCCGTGACGTAATGAAGGCATGAATAAGTCGTTCAGTAGTGGTGCGATCTAAAACTTCACCACGAGATAAAGCATTCAATATTTGTTCTATAACACTTCACCCACAGATTCTGCTTGATTTTAATATTTTACATTATTTAAATCTGAACACAGTTGAAATAAACTTCAATTTCAACACAAAATTGGTGGAAAATATATTTCTCTCTTAAAAACTAACCCTTCACGAAATGTTTGAACCCAAGTCTGCGGCGCGCTGTCTTTGGAATAATACGCGCAACGCGCACACCAGCATGCATTTGCACACAAATACCGCGCCGTGGAAATAGTACTTTGGTTGCTAATGGTATAGTACTTTGGTTGCTATGCGCATAGTACTTTCTGCCGTGCACAGAAAGATAGCAAAATTAGAAAGTAACATGTGACTCGCTCTCGGCCAATCAAGACACAGAATCTGTGGGTGAGGTGTTATAATATACAAATATTGAATGCTTCGAGTGGTGTAGTAAAACTAGCCTCCCGAGGTGATCCATGGACCATTCTATTTTCCCGAGGCGAAGCCGAGGGAAATAGAATGGTCCATGGATCACCGAGGGAGGCTAGTTTTACTTCACCACGAGATAAAGCATTCAATATTTGTTTTATAACACTTCACTCACAGATTCTGCTTGATTTTAATATTTTAAATTATTCAAATCTGAACACATTTGAAATAAACTTCAATTTCAATACAAAATTGGTGGAAAATGGATTTCTCTCTTAAAAACTACCCCTTCACGAAAAGTTTGAACCCAAGTCTGCGGCGCCCTCTCTTTGGAATAATACGCGCTACGCACAACGCGTAATGCGCACACCAGCATGCATTTGCACACAAATACCGCGCCGTGGAAATAGTACTTTGGTTGCTAATGGTATAGTACTTTGGTTGCTATGCGCATAGTACTTTTGGTCGTGCACAGAAAGATAGCAAAATTAGAAAGTAACATGTGACTCGCTCTCGGCCAATCAAGACACGGAATCTGTGGGTGAGGTGTTATAACAATGAATACGTCTCCACAAGGTTATCACGAAATAGATATATGGATTTTACTCAAAAACTGGGAACAAATAACCAGGTGCGTGTTTATGTAAGATTTTATAAACCAAGATAAGGATCTTGAACTCAATACGCTGTGCCACAGGAATCCAGTGAAGACTTTGGAGAACAGGGGTAATGTGCTGATATTTCTTAGTATGGGTAATAAGACGAGCGGCTGAGTTTTGAACTAATTGTAGCCTATGGATTAAAAAGTCAGGAAGGCCATAAAGCAGGCTAATGCAATAATCCAGCCGTGACGTAATGAAGGCATGAATAAGTCGTTCAGTAGTGGTGCGATCTAAAACTTCACCACGAGATAAAGCATTCAATATTTGTTCTATAACACTTCACCCACAGATTCTGCTTGATTTTAATATTTTACATTATTTAAATCTGAACACAGTTGAAATAAACTTCAATTTCAACACAAAATTGGTGGAAAATATATTTCTCTCTTAAAAACTAACCCTTCACGAAATGTTTGAACCCAAGTCTGCGGCGCGCTGTCTTTGGAATAATACGCGCAACGCGCACACCAGCATGCATTTGCACACAAATACCGCGCCGTGGAAATAGTACTTTGGTTGCTAATGGTATAGTACTTTGGTTGCTATGCGCATAGTACTTTTGGCCGTGCACAGAAAGATAGCAAAATTAGAAAGTAACATGTGACTCGCTCTCGGCCAATCAAGACACAGAATCTGTGGGTGAGGTTTTATAATATACAAATATTGAATGCTTCGAGTGGTGTAGTAAAACTAGCCTCCTGAGGTGATCCATGGACCATTCTATTTTCCCGAGGCAAAGCCGAGGGAAAATAGAATGGTCCATGGATCACCGAGGGAGGCTAGTTTTACTTCACCACGAGATAAAGCATTCAATATTTGTTTTATAACACTTCACTCACAGATTCTGCTTGATTTTAATATTTTAAATTATTCAAATCTGAACACATTTGAAATAAACTTCAATTTCAATACAAAATTGGTGGAAAATGGATTTCTCTCTTAAAAACTACCCCTTCACGAAAAGTTTGAACCCAAGTCTGCGGCGCCCTCTCTTTGGAATAATACGCGCTACGCACAACGCGTAATGCGCACACCAGCATGCATTTGCACACAGATACCGCGCCGTGGAAATAGTACTTTGGTTGCTAATGGTATAGTACTTTGGTTGCTATGCGCATAGTACTTTTGGTCGTGCACAGAAAGATAGCAAAATTAGAAAGTAACATGTGACTCGCTCTCGGCCAATCAAGACACGGAATCTGTGGGAGGGGTGTTATAACAATGAATACGTCTCCACAAGGTTATCACGAAATAGATATATGGATTTTACTCAAAAACTGGGAATTTCCAAGATGGGTTGATTTGTCGCAAATGCAAGAGTTTTAGAAAAGGGATATTAAGTCCAAATTTCAGCCAAGGAAATTAATTCTTGCATTTTGAAACTACACTTTTAAACTCGAAAACTTAACTACACGTGAACAAACACATTTCTTGTGTGTGTGTGAGCTTCCGTAGTGCGCGTGAGTTTGAAAAGTCGTGCGCGTGGTTGGCTTGAAACGCCGCGCGCGTGAGTTTGAAACGTCGTGTGCGTGAGATTGAACTCACGCACAGGACGGAAGCTCGCACACACGACGTTTAAGCTCAAACACTCGGCGTTTCAAACTCACGCACACGATGTATGCCTGTCCGTTTTAGAACACCATAAAACAGGGCTCTGCGCTTAATGACACGGCCACTGTTACTGAAAAAAAACTCACTGGCAAAGCTGTGATACACGCGTGGAATGGTATACAAATATTGAGTGGCTCAGCGTGGAATGGGAGGAATATTATCGCAAGGTAAAATCTGGACTTTTCCATTTCACGAGGCGAAGCCGAGTGAAATGGAAAAGTCCAGGTTTTACCGAGCGATAATATTCCTCCCATTTCACAATTTAAAGCCACTCAATATTTGTTTTATATAACTGACATATAGATCCTTGTCATTTGATATATTTGAACTTTTATTTCAATACAAACCTGGAGGAAAATGTATTTGTCTCTTCCAAACCACCCCTTCACGAAAATGTTTGAACCCAACGCTGTAGCGCTGGCTCTTTGGAACAATACGCGCTACGCGCAACGCTGAACGCGCACACCAGCATGCATTTGCACACAAATACCACGTCATGATCCTAACTGTTGAATAGTATTTCCCATTCTTCATGGGCGGATAGTACTTTTTGAGCCGCGGCGTGAATGGGAGCAATAACGAATGCCACGTGATGTGAGTTCCACCAATCAAATGACAAGGATCTGTATGTCGGTTATATAAAACAGTATAATACACCCCCAAAATGTCCACCAACCAACTAACCAACCCACCAACCTAAGCAGCTCAAGCCCACGACGTGTTTCACACCGCCGTGGGAAAAATAACAATAGACAATTCGTACAAAACTTGTTGGGCTGAAGACCAACTTGTTTTTCTTAAGAAGTTGCTACTCCTCTTAAATGTGTGAAACTATTTGACATCCCTTTTTGGTGAATTTCATTGAAAAGTGCACTTCTTTAGACATCTAAAATTGCCCATGCTTTTCCGGACAACCGAGGGCGATGTTGCTGTGATGGCATTGAAGGAATTAGACACTGTTCACTGTAGGGGCTTTCTGTTCAAATTGTGAACCTGAAATTTTGCTCATTGAAAACAATTGTTACAAAAGTTTGCCCATTGGCCTACTGCCATGTACTGACACAACAACGAATCGCCAAATAAAAGAACATTTGTGACAGCAAAACACCCACAATTCTGGCAACGTTTGATGCTCAAAAATAGCTGTGACGTTGAGGTTTCTGTCTAAAATGACATCACACTTTTGCTATTGAATATGGAAATTGCATAAGCATAAAAACCAAAAAGGCACCAAAACACCCTTGAAAATGGCAAAAAAATAATTGAAAATAAGGTCAAGTGGGACACAAAGCTGCATTTTTAAGGATTGCATTAATAAATACATTACATGTGCTCTTTCATTGGGTGATAGGGCTCAACCCCGTGAAACCGTGAAAATTCAACCACTATTTGCTGTCTCTATCAAATCTGCCAAAGGCCGTTACATGAGCTTGCTGACTAGTCTTGTTGACAGGAAGATTAATTTTGCATCCCCCCGAGTTTGCATGGCATTTTCCATGCATGGTTCCAGAATCGTATTATAGTTTGTAAAATGGGCCAAATTCACTCAACTACATTTGTATTTGCTGTCAATGGTTAGGGGCTCTGACCACTTATGTTACTATGTTGGAATGAGGAACTTGTGGAGTATACAATTTTTTGAATAACACACGTTGGAATAATTAAACAATTACTTAAAACTGACAACTGCTAAAGTAATCCGAATTCGTTACTTCTGTTATTTTAAAATTGACATTCATACCTGAACAAAACACGAACAACCAAATAATATATAAATTCACAAAAACAAACGCCATGCGTCTAGTTCAGTTCATGTGTTGTTTTTGTTTGCTTTACTTCATGCTTAAATTTATAATAAATACAATTCCATTGTAATGTTATAGGGCCCATATCTATGAGAACGGACATTATGACAAACTATGATCGATCAAATAAATAATACGTTTTTAAAAACTCACATTTCCTACAGGTACAAGTAATTCAGTGCGTTGAATGTTGAAATCTATCAGTCTCATGAAACTACCGTTTCATCTATTGACTTTTTCCAAATGATACAAGTTGTAAAAACCACTCTTTGTTAACAGCAATTACATTTCAATCTAAAATGCATCGTACATGAAAACATGGAAATATTTATACTTTTTCTATACGTCAGGTGTCGGTTTGGAAGTATCGTGCGTTGTCGCCAAGGAGGCTGTAGGTCGACGCTTTACCAAGAACTACGCGACCGCCAGCGGCATCGGCCGGACCGGTTACTCCATTGGACTCTTCGTGTTCGCACCTCTGGTTCAGCTTTTACTCGACACCTACGGATGGCGAGGGAGTATGATGCTTATTGGCGGGATCTGCTTGCACTTTGCCATGTGTGGGGCCCTCCTCGTCACTTCAAACCAGGATAAGCCCCAGTCAACGGAGTATCAGAGAATCTCTGATCAGGAATCCAATTCTCAAACGAACCAGACTAATCTTGCGCACCGTTGCAGTGAATTACGCGAGAGTCTTCTCTGGAACTTTGATTTAAGGCTGTTGGTTAATGCACGCTTCTGGGCCCTGGCACTCTTGATGTGCTGTACCATATTTGCTGACGATATGTGGATAATCTACTTCGTGTCGCAAGCGCAATCCAACGGGTTTTCCACTGAGGACGCGGGATTGTTCGTGGCAGTCGGAGGGGTGGGCAGCCTGGTCGCCAAAGTCTGCCAGGGACCTCTCACTGACCGCGGAGTGATTTCTAGCTGGAGTTTGACGGGCACGTTCATCATCATTGGCTCTGCTACGTACTGTGCAACTCCTTGGCTCACATCCTATTGGGCAATGATGGTATCTGCATCGATGGTGTTATTTTGTGGCGGCCTTATTACCTGTCAGACTGATGTTCTGATTAAGCTTATATTGGGTGTAGAGTTGCTGTCGGGTGCCTTCGCATGGATGGCGCTGCTTACATCAACTTTGGCATTCACTATGGGATTTTTTCCTGGTAAGATTCCGCATGCCTTTCTTTGAAGATCATGGTATTAAATTAAAGCAAAATGATTGAAGTTAACAACTTGACTAACGCTACCCGCCGTGAAAACTGAATTTCCCCACAAAATGTAGTGTACACAAAGCAAAATGATTGAAGTTAACAACTTGACCAAAGACAACAAAGTCACCAAATGACAGTTAGAATTAAAGTCAGTATATACTTACATCAGTGGCCATAGGCCCTATAGTCGTTGTCAAAAACAAACACTAAGTACAGAAACAGAACCAGACAGTTACCATTTACAAAAAAAACCCAATGCAAAATGAAAATCTACATGTACACTTTTCGCCTATGCCATGCAGCTTGAATACATGTATACTTTTAATCTATTCCATTTAGGAATCATGTAATTATTGATATCAGTATTGCATTTTGAAGAGTACCTCTGAAGCCTTTGTTCTGTGCGCAACTTGTTTTTTTTTCTTTTCTTTTTTTCTTCAGGCTTGCTGTACGACCTAACGGGAAGTTATACTGTTAGCTTTACGATGGTAGGCGTTGTTCAGGCCCTGCCCATTGTCCCACTCGCACTGCTGAGGTACTTCCATGACAGCGCCAAATAGGCACAACCTCAACCTCGTTACCAGGGTGTCGAGCAGTAGGCCTACGCTCCGATCCCACCACTACCTTTTCTCTCACCCTGGTATTGGATCATTTGCATATCCAATAATTTTGGATACGTATGCAAATTAAGAATAGTCTGGTGCATGCCTGTGCTTTACATCAGCGTTTGTTCTTGTATGTGGTGTCTGGGGTAAAAACAGAAATAATTGGTCGCGGCGTGAGTTACGAAAACACTAAAACAAATTCAAATTTAAAATGTTACAGTATTTTCCAACCAATTTGAAGTATCACATTTCATATTAATATGAGCATTCCATATTAATATGAGCGTATTGCAAAGCAAAAGGATTATTTTTAAGAAGGTGTGGACATAATAATTCCACGAACGTGAAAACACGATATACACGTTGAAAATAACACCAAGTACACGATACAAATCCTTTACCTGCTAATTGCGCTATCCATCAGGATACAAGAGGCAAGTTCCCATCCCAGGGCTTACTATTGGAAACGAGGTTGAAAACAAAGTCAGCCCAAATCGGCCACAAATCGGCCACAAAAATTGGCAGATATAGCAAAATTACCACTGAGTGACCACTGAGATTCCTACTTCCTGAAATCTACTGAACATGTTGTACAGGGTATGGGGTAAGCATGTAGTTGACGAAAATTGTTCAAAGAATGTGAAGAATTAGGCCAAAATAAAATGCGTTTTATCTGTTTCAGTGAAATGAGCCCTACTAACCACTCGGTGACCATTCAGCCAAATTGTGTATACACCCTATATGAGGCTTGGACCAGAGATGTTACTGAGCCAGTTTGACATTTATTGGATTAAGAGTTGGGGGAAGATGCATTTCGTAATTTTGAAGAAAATTACCAATACTGACCATTAGGTCAGTATTGCAACGAGTGAGTGAAGTCCATATTATAGCTCTCGGATCATTATCAATAATGCCCTATAATATCAATGGTCCTATATTTATTCGTTTGGTCCTATATTTATTCATTTGTCCTTATCTTTATTCGTTTGGTCTTACATTTATTCATTTGGTCGTATACTAGTTTGTGGTCTGATATTTATTCGTTTGGTCTTTGTTCGTTTGATAATTAGGTCATAAAGGGCGCCTCGTACACTACGGGGCAGGTCTATTACACGTTACAATGCTTCCAGTCAGACAGACTTCTAACTGGCACTATCAATGGTGTCTCAAATAAAGTGCTGATTTTGACCTCTTTCGTAGAGGCCTTGTTTGCTCTAGCCTTGGTCAAGGCGCTAGTTGTTCGGCCGTAACGCGGTAAACGATATCTTCGCTAGCGCTATGCATGCACTGGTCATATGTCTATGCATGCAGCGCATTAAAAATACAGCGCGAACAGCGACCTCACGCGGCCACTATTTTTATGCAAATCATTGGACCCAATCTAGCGCCTTGGTTCAATCGTCCATGTGAGGTTTTGGGGGTGGTGCTCATTATGTTAACAGCCTTAGCTGACCTTAAATGTGGTTTTCTTATTGGTCGATCGTTGCGTGGAAACTTGCATAGTGAAACGTGGCACCGTACATAATCCATACACGTACACGTTGTGTGTCTCTGCACACGGCACCAATGCACAAAAACTGTGGTTCCTGTCACGTCCGCAAAAGGCGAATAGCTGCAAATAATTTGATGACGTCCGGATTGACCAAGGTGTGATTGGACACTTCACATGTTAGCCCCGCCTACACTTATCTGTATTCGCATACGAGGTCGTGCGCTAGAAATCCAGCGCAAAATATAGAAAAACATTTCGCTCGTACCCACCGCCCTGCAAACAGGACGCTGGGATACTTTGATCAGCTTCACAAAATCTTGTGATTAAGGAAATTGCCTATGACCTATGTATAAAGCATCAGGCTGCAGCTGTTCAAGACCGCATTTACACAATGTGCTCAAATGCTATCCGAAACTTCCCATAGAATTACGTACATTCCATACCGGTTGTGATTTCTGTTTCATTGCGAACCATGTGGAACAAAATTTTGAGCGTCGCATATGCAATCCGACCGTTCGTGACTCGAAACGGAGCCTGAGCGAGTGACGGGAATTGTAAATTTACAACTCAGATAAGTTTTACAGAATTTCCTATATTATTACGCTTTTTCAACGAGAAAAAACCATCTCTAAACTGGAATAAAAGAGTAATGAATCAGTCTTAACGGCTGTTTCAAACCATGCAGAATCATGACCTTGATGACGCGCAGGTCACTGGTCACGCAAAATCCAACCAATCAGAGCGCGAATTTATCAGAGTATCCCAGCGTCCTGTTTGCAGGGCGGGGGATACGAGCGAAGAAAAACATAAGCTTTTGCCGATGATTGAACCAAGGCGCTAGATTGGGTCCAACTGATTTGCATAGAAATGGTGGCCGCGTGAGGTCGCTGTTCGCGCTGTATTTTTAATGCACCGCATGAATAGCGCTAGCGAGGATATCGTTTACCGCGCTACGGCCGGGATGAATAACAACTAGCGCCTTGACCAAGGCTATGTTTGCTCAGGTCATCCATCTCAAGGACGTAGTGACATTATTTACAATTGGATAGAAGACATCTTGGCCTTTTCCCTTGTACAGGGTGAGTCAAAAAAAAGCGGAACCCAAACCCCAAAAATTATATTTCATGTTTAAAAACATATGTAGCACCAAACATAATTATGACTGGAAAGCCAATTTCATAAGCTACTTTTAGATGAACAAAATAATGAAATTGGTAGATCCGTTCAAAGGATATCACCATTTGATCACAATGGCCCTAAAACCTGTCTCGTCCAAAAAAAAGATGCGATTTCAAGAATCGTCGTCACAATTGTCTTTAAACATCACCAGCGATAAAATCTCAGTTTAAACGTTTAAATATTCAACAAAGTCTTTTTAAAGGCCCGTCTTTAAAAAAAGAAGAAGTAGATTTTATAAATTATATTGTTTGCCTAACCAGGGTTGTTAATAAAGATATTGTGCACTACAGGTGGTGACAGTTGTCGAAAGTTGAAAGTATTCTGTGTCATTTTCTTTGTTGTTCCAAACAGTCAAAACAAGCAATAAATTGCTTTTTTGGACGAGAAAGGTTTTAGGGTCGTTGCGTTTAAATGGTGATATTCTTTGAACGGATTGAGCAATTTCAGTATTTTTTCATCTAAAAATAGCTTATGAAATTGGCTTTCCAGTCATTATTATTTTTGGTGCTACATATTTTTTTAAATATGAAATATATTTTTGGGGGTTTGGGTTCCGCTTTTTTCTGACTCACCCTGTAGTTGCTTCTTTCCGAGATATTCAGTACATTTCTGATAACTTACATATAGGCAGACAAGGTAAACCCTAGCAAACATAGAAAGGTTTTGTGTGCACGCCTCAGCCAGAAGGTTTTATTAATCCTAACGTCTGGTACCATAATCTGGGAAGCCGACCATTACGCATGCAGCACATTAGTATCATATAATACTGTGCTGCATGCATAATTTATATGCAATGTTTGTGCACAATATGGACTGAATATTTCAGAAAAAGAGCAACTACATGGAAAAAGACCATAACAGTTTGCTGATCGAAGCAATGGTATTTTCTGCATTCGAATGTGGTATAGAGATCTCCACAAGATCTGAATCCGAATGAAATCCCCCCCTCCAAAAAAAAATCGATTGTTTTGTGGGAGATCACCAAGTGAATCGACATAAGGTGAATCGCAGATGTTTCCTATGCTCAGCAGCTATAGGTATACTGCAAATAATAATAGTCTTGACGAACTATAGAGGCCATATAACATCGTGGCCGTTTCAAGGGCGGATCCAGAACACAATTTTGGGGGGGGCCAAAAAAAAATTTGGTCCCCCCAAAAAAAGTGGGTCTCAAAAATTACGGCGTGGGGTTCGGGGCCCGTGGGGTTCGGGGCCCGATGCTCTGTGGTGCGATCTGAGGCAATTTCTGACCACTTTAACCAATTTTTTTGGAGGAAAAGATGGTGGTGTACTCATTGCCTGCCTTAATTGCGATGTCACATTAAAAAAAAAAAAAATTGGTTTCGTTTTGGGGGGGGGGGCCATGGCCCCCTTTGCCCCCCCCCCCCCTGGATCCGCCCTTGGGCCGTTTCAGCTGAATTGCTGTACTGATTTTTAATGAGGCGGAAAGAACCATCCTTTTTAGATTACGCCTTAAAATTTACGCCTTAAAATCATATTAAAATTGGAGGATTCAGGACTGTTAGGGATTTCCCGGTTGGCTGCCACCGGAGGCACGGGGGTGGGTCGGCCGTCAAGTAAAGCCAAAATGTTCGTTATAATATATTAACGCTTTCAGTCGGATTGGTCGCTTGTGTACATCAGGCTCCAAAATTTCAGCGCAGTTATGGCCAAGCCTGGTAAGGGCCAACCACCGGTATCAGACGGGGGCTTTCAGGGCTGGATTGCCGTCCTGACTTTGTTGGTCAGAAACATGATTTGGATCGGGATCACCAAAGGTCTAGGAGTCATGCTGCCCACACTGCAAGACCAACTAGCGACGGATACTTGGGTCCTCGGTTGGATTGTGGCAATGGTTATCACCGTGAGTGGAGTTATAGGTAGGCCAATAATATAAACCCGGAAATTGGGGCGCTAGAACTCTTTTTTGTTGTCTCTTTTCACATTTTGCCTTGGACTCAAGAACTTAATTAGCACGAACACAAGATGAAGGGCAAACAAATGACTAAACAAGAAAAACATGTTCATAGTTTGGTCAATTATCCCATTGTTTGTAGGTTACCTTTTTTGGGACGTACAATATTAATTTTCGTTAATTCTATATAATTCCCCAAGTACATTCTTACGTTATGGCGAAATTCTGGATCGATAAATTGTCTTTTTTTAACTTTAATTGTTATTGATTTGTCATGTTGTTGTTTTTGTTTAGCTTATCGTTATGTTTTCTTGATAGACTGGTGTCAAGCACTCACCTGATTATTTAGTGTTTTGTTTATTTAAATATCATTACACATAGGCCTACTGTTTAGAAACAGTTTATAGTTCAGCTTAAACGTTTGTCCTTAATTCATGGTGTTACATTATTTTACATTTCCAGCTATAACTTTTTTTGACACGTTACTTGTATGTATTATCAGTTTAAAACATGACATAAAAATATACGATGACAAAAATGGACAAACATAATGGCTGCACGCATAATTTATATGCATTGTTTGGGCACAATATGGACTGAATATTTAAGAAAAACAGCAACTACATGGGAAAACACTAGGCCATTGGCGCACTGAAGGGGGGCCACGGGGGGCTTGAGTCCCCCCAAGAGGTTGTCAATTGCAGTTTTTATTTATTAATTTTTGTTTTTGATTTTTTCTAATTCATCGATTTGACCTTGGTGATATGATATGTGGCCTATTTTCGAGTAGTATAATAGGGGCAGTGTAAGTAGCGCCACCAGCGTCAAAATAGTCCCCCCCCCCCCCCCCCCCCCCCCAAATGCCATTTGTTTTCTGCAGCCAAAAAAAATTGGCAAAATCTTTTGAATAAAATTTAACTTCTACAAAATTTGACCCAAACAAATTGTGAGCACCCCCCCCCCAAGACTAGTTTGTTAGTCGAAGCAACAGTATTTTCTATCTTCGAATGTTGAATACAGATACTCATACGATCTGAAATCAAATGAAATCCCCCCAAACCAAACATCAATTTGTTTGGTGGGAGATCGCCAAATGAATCGCAGATATTTCCTATGCTCAGCAGCTGTAGGAACTGCAAAAATTCATCTTAAAGATCTATAGAGGCCATATAACATTGAGCCTCCGCCGTATCAGCTGAATTGCTGTACTGATTTATAATGGGGCGGAGTGAACCATCCTTTTGAGGTCTGGTGAATTATTTATTTGATACAAATTCACTATCCGGGTCTTAAAGCGTCGCAAACTCTTGTCGAGTGACCTCCTCCGACGATCTGGCTGCTTTCCGTGACTTCGCCTTCCCCTTTAATGCCCGGTGGATTACCACCGGAGGCAAAGAATGGGGGTGGGGGTCGGCCATCGAGTAAAGCTAAAATATCAACATCGACATTGCAACAAAGTATACTGGTCACAAAAATGCACTGAAGCATGGTTTGCGGGGCTCAACTATATACATGTAGGGAGACTCATCCTTTTAACAAAGATGACGAAAAAATACCGGTGGCAGCTAGGAAGACTCATCTTTTTAACAAAGATGACGGAAAGATACCGGTGGTAGGTGCTATCGTACGTAAAGCCGAAGTGCTATGTGGTTACGAGGTAGAATAAATGGTTCACGGCCTTGCTCTATATCATGCACAGCTACATGGTCATCATTACCACTCAATGTTTTCAGTTGAGTTGTTGCTCCCTTCACATTTTGGCTTGGATTCAAGAACTAAAAGCACGAACACACAGGACGAAGGGAAAAAAACGGACCAAACAATACAAAATGTTCATAGTTTGGTCAATAATCCCTTTGTTTGTATGTTACCTTTTGGGGACGTACGTTATCAATTATAGTTAATTCCTATATAATTCCCCGAGTACATTGTTACGTTATGGTGAAATTCTGGATCGATTAATGATATTGTTATTGATTTGTCATGTTGTTGTTTTTATTTAGCTTATGGTTGTTTTCTTGATAGACTGGTGTCAAGCACTCACCAGTTTTTGTTTATGTTTATAATGTTACTTTAAATTAATATTATTGTATACTCTTACTGTTTAAACATTTATAACCTTTTACTAACCTTTTTATAGTTCAGCTTAGGCATTTCTTTCTTAATTCATGCGATATTGCATTATTTTACATTTCCAGCTATGCCTTTTTTGACATGTTCCTTTTAGTATTGTGTGCTGGCTTGTACATACAAGGAGCATGTATTCATTACATCATTCAATTTTCGCTTAAAGCTTGTTCCTTTTTTTTACGGTTGTTGTTTAGCTTTCATACTGTACCTGTTCATAATCGTTCTTGAATTTCTGTACCTTCTTTGTTATTGATCTTCAGGGGACTCGCTCACGAAAAGCTGTGCTTTTCGTGGGTCCCCTGCATCTCTTGCCGGTGTTATTCTGATGTTTGTTTTCATAATGAATCATAATAAAAAATCCAAAAAAAATCAATGCATTGAGATGAAATAAAGTAAAGTAAAGAAAGTCAAGTTAGCTAATAATTTTTCTGTCATTTTCGCCAGCTCCTTTTTCAGGAATATTGAACAGACGATTTGGCGTAGGTTATGTCATAATGGCGTGTGGCATCATGATTGGCGTAGCTCCGATTGTTGGGTCTTTTGTTGAAACAGCTGCTCAACTTGCCGTGGTGTACATCTTAGCAGGTAGGTCAACAAAAACACTAGAGGGGTTGCAGGAACAACCACACGGTGTTGGGCTATCTTTTGGATTTTATGGCAAGAAATTAACAAACGTTTGCTAAAAAAAAAAACACTAACATTCTAGAATGACAGTTAGATAATTGTCAAAGGCAAGTCGATTCCCGTAAAAAGCAAGATCTCTCACAGTTGATTTGATATTGATTTTCAAATATTAATGGAATTTGGTGGTCTCAACATATATGCACGCCTATGCTGCTGCTGTGTAAACATAATATAAATGCATTGATTCACAAGCCCCGAAGTTTCTTCAAAACCTGATTTCATTTCACAAACCTAAATATGCCACTCGCTCTTCGCTAGACTCAACCCTTGTAACTGTGCCTAAAACCAGAACTCGTACCGGCGATAAAGCGTTTCAAGCCGCTGGACCATGACACGGAGGCCAAAATCTGGGGCGTTTTCAAAAGGTCTTCTCAACATGCCTGTTCGTCTAATTTCCTGTATTGCTTTGTTCGTACTTCGTTTTGTTACTGATGTTCCGATATTGAGTCTCATTGTTCTGTAATTTATTATATATAGGCTATATTGCCTTTTACAGCGCTGTGTACCTTGAAGGTCGCTTCATAAATGCCGTATTGTATTGTATTGTATCATGACGTTATAACAAAAAAAAACACATCCTCAGTGTGTTGTGCATTCATGTATTGACAATTGAAGTTCATCACTGTTTTAATGTTGACAAACAGTTCTGGAGAAGAATCTCGTCGTGTGTGTGTGTGAGCTTTGGTCGTGTGTGCGAGTTTGAAACGTCGTGATCTGATACACCGTGCCCTCTGGAGACATGCACACAATAGGGAACAAAATATTGTATACGTCTCCACAGGACAATTTCTATAGATGAATACGTCTCCACAAGATTTTTACGAAATAGATAAATGGATTTAACTCAAAAACTAGGAATTTCCAAGATGGGTTGATTTGTCGCAAATGGAAGAGTTTTAGAAAAGGGATATTAAGTCCGAATTTCAGCCAAGGAAATTAATTCTTGCATTTTGAAACTACACTTTTATACTCGAAAACTTTACTACACGAGAACAAACAAATGTCTTTAAATATTTTTTTGGGGGTGTCACAGCAGGGGGCGGGGGGGGGGGTTCGACTTATTTTTTAGGAATTTGTATGAGAATTTTGTTTTTGAACAGAGCTGTTGTTTTTTTTAATCCCCCCCCCCCCGTCTGGATCCGCGCCTGGGCATTGAAGGAATTAGACACTGTAAGCCCATTGGCTTACGGCCATGTACTGACACAACAACGAATCGCAAAGAAAGAAACATTTATGACAGCAAAACACCCAACCCAAAATTCTTGCAATGTTCGATGCTCAAAAATAGCTGTAACATTGAGGTTTCTTCCTAAAATGACATCACAGTTTTGCTATTGAATATGGAAATTGCATAAGCATAAAAACCAAAAAGGCACCAAAACACCCTTGAAAATGGCAAAACGATAATTGAAAATAAGGTCAAAGTGGGACACAAAGCTGCATTTTTAAGGATTGCATTAATAAATACATTGCTAGGGCTCAACCCCCATCGTCTTTTGGTTTTGTCTTCGTTTATATTACAACAGGTTGTATAAAACGTAATAATTAGGGTGAAAATTCACCCACTATTTGCTGTCTATATGCATGGTTCCAGAATCGTATTATAGTTCGTAAATTGGGCCAAATTCACTCAACTACATTTCTATTTGCTGTCAATGGTTAGGGGCTCTGACCACTTAATTTTACTATGTTGGAATGAGGAACTTGTGGAGTATACAATTTTTTGAGTAACACACGATGGAATAATTAAACAATTACTTAAAACTGACAACTGCTAAAGTAATCCGAATTCGTTACTTCTGTCATTTTCAAATTGACATTCATACCTGAACAAAACACGAACAACCAAATAATATATAAATTCACAAAAACAAGCGCCATGCGTCTAGTTCAGTTCATGTGTTGTTTTTGTTTGCTTTAATCCGTGCTTTAATTTGAACACGGACGGACATATGAGAACGGGCATTATGACAAACTATGATCGATCAAATACATAATACGTTTTTAAAAACTCACATTTCCTACAGGTACAAGTAATTCAGTCCGTTTAATGTTGAAATCTATCAGTCTCATGAAACTACCGTTTCATTTATTGACTTTTTACAATGGTTACAAGTTGTAAAGAACCACTCTTTGTTAACAGCAATTACATTTCAATCTAATATGCATCGTACATGAAAACATGGAAATATTTATACTTTTTCTATACGTCAGGTGTCGGTTTGGGAGTATCGAGCGTTGTCGCCCAGGAGGCTGTATGTCGACGCTTTACCAAGAACTACGCGACCGCCAGCGGCATCGGCCGGACCGGTTACTCCATTGGACTCTTCGTGTTCGCACCTCTGGTACAGCTTTTACTCAACACCTACGGATGGCGAGGGAGTATGATGCTTGTTGGCGGGATCTGCTTGCACTTGGTCGCGTGCGGCGCCCTTCTCGTCACTTCAAGCCAGGATACGCCCCAGTCAACGGAGTATCAGAGAATCTCTGATCAGGAATCTAATTCTCAAACGAACCAGACTAATCTTGCGCACCGTTGCAGTGAATTACGCGAGAGTCTTCTCTGGAACTTTGATTTAAGGCTGTTGGTTAATGCACGCTTCTGGGCCCTGGCACTCATGAAGTGCTGTACCGTATTTGCTGACGATATGTGGATAATCTACTTCGTGTCGCAAGCGCAATCCAACGGGTTTTCCACTGAGGACGCCGGATTGTTCGTGGCAGTCGGAGGGGTGGGCAGTCTGGTCGCCAAAGTCTGCCAGGGACCTCTCACTGACCGCGGAGTGATTTCTAGCTGGAGTTTGACGGGCATGTTCATCACCATTGGCTCTGCTACGTACTGCGCAACTCCTTGGCTCACATCCTATTGGGCAATGATGGTATCTGCGTCGATGGTGCTATTTTGTGGCGGCCTTATTACCTGTCAGACTGATGTTCTGATTAAGCTAATATTGGGTGTAGATTTGCTGTCGGGTGCCTTCGCATGGATGGCGCTGCTTACATCAACTTTGTCATTCACTATGGGATTTTTTCCTGGTAAGTTTCCGCATGCCTTTCTTTGAAGATCATGGTATTAAATTAAAGCAAAATGATTGAAGTTAACAACTTGACTAAAGACAACAAAGTCACCAAATGACAGGGAGAATTAAATTCAGTAGGCCTACTTACATCAGTGGCCATAGGGCCTATAGTCGTTGTCAAAAACAAACACTAAGTACAGAAACAGAACGAGACAGTTACCATTTACCCAAAAAAAAAAACAATGCAAAATGAAAATCTACATTGTACACTTTTCGCCTATGCCATGCAGCTTGAATACATGTACATGTATACTTTTAATCTATTACATTTAAGACTCATGTAATTATTGATATCAGTATTGCATTTTGAAGAGTACCTCTGAAGCCTTTGTTCTGTGCGCAACTTGTTTTTTTTTTTGTTTTTTTTCTTCAGGCTTGCTGTACGACCTTACGGGAAGTTATACTGTTAGCTTTACGATGGTAGGCGTTGTTCAGGCCCTGCCTATTGTTCCACTCGCACTGCTGAGGTACTTCCATGACAGCGCCAAATAGGCACAACCTCAACCTCGTTACCAGGGTGTCGAGCAGTAGGCCTACGCTCCGATCCCACCACTACCTTCTCTCTCACCCTGGTATTGGATCATTTGCATATCCAAAATTTTTGGATACGTATGCAAATTTGGAATAGTCTGGTGCATGCCTGTGCTTTACATCAGCGTTTGTTTTTGTATGTGGTGTCTGGGGTAGAAACAGAATCAATTGCTCGCGGCGTGAGTTACGAAAACACTAAAAAAAAAAAATCAAATTTAAAATGTTACAATCTTTTCCAACCAATTTGCAGTATCACATTTCACATTAATATATCACATTTCATATTAATATGAGCAAATTGGAAAGGAAAGGATTATTTTTGAGAAGCTGTGGACGTAATAATTACAATGAACGTGAAAACACGATATACACGTTGAAAATAACACCAAGTACACGATACAAATACTTTACCTGCTAATTGCGCTATCGAATCAGGATACAAGAGGCAAGATACAAGTTCCCATCCTAGGGCTTACTATTGGAAACGAAGTTGAAAACAAAGTCAGCCCTGGGGACGAGGTTTGGCACAACCTCGAATCTCTCTCAGGCGCGGTTCCACGTTGTGGAGGAGCCTTAAGCCCCCCCCCCCAAATAAATGTCTAGCACGCCCCCCAAAAAATCCATAAAAATATGGCAGTTGCAAAATGTTAGAAGGTGACGTCACATGCAAACGGTCTCCCCCTACCCAAAAAAAATTGTGAGAAGGTGGCAAAGGGGGCATTTGTACACTATTAGGAAATAATAGTGTGCATGATTGTAGGATTTTATCACCGCTCCCCATTGAAGACATGAATTTTGGGACGCGCTCTCATAGGAAGGCCGCATGTAAACAAAGCGTGTGACGTCATTAGGTCTTAGGACTATACAGCTCCAAGTTGTATTATGGCAAGAGCTGGTCCCTGTGACGGGGAGAAAGATTGACCGTAAAAGTAGTCACATATCATTTGTTCCCCCCCCCTCCCCCCATCCCCGATAAATATTACTGCTTTTGAAGACTGGGGATCCGGATTGGAGGAAACCACCCGTGTGCACATTGCATTGTGTTAAACTGTTTGTTTGATTACACAATCCTAAGTTTAACTGAGTCTCTTCAAAGGTCTAAGCTTAGAAAGCAACGCCTTGTAATGATTGTACAGTTTATTGAGTGAACAGTGTAACCAAGTTCTGTTAAGGTTTTGGTCAGATTTGAGATAATAATATTATTCGCGTCGCTTTCATAAATTTGGTTAAATTGTTATTTCGGTGGTACCACTAGATGCTGTCCATGCACGGCAGCCATGCATCTCTTATATATTTGTGCATTCACTGTTACACAGGGTGAGTAAAAAAGAAAGTGACCTGGATACACTATTTTCTTTTCTTAAAAAGAAATCAAAATTGATGCAGCAATGAAGTATGTCTCAAAAGAAATGTCCTACCACTGATCTGAAGAAAAACAGACAAGTGCCAGTGCACAATAAACTCTGGCGAATAATACGACACCGATGGCATATGGAACACCATAGTTTTGGTCAAATTTCATTTCCTCCTTCTGGATACCGTCCAAACACTACAAAAATACCATGACTATAACATTACTGCACATATGTTGCCCCCGTTTACAATTTTTTTCATAAACAACTCTACGAATTGTTACAAACAATGTTTAGAGTGCATTTACTGACGACGGCATGGCACTTGCCACTTGCTCATTTTTTTTCGTCAAATATTTTTGGTCAATATTCGGGGATAGACAGACGTCAGACAGACCGACCGACCGACCACCAAGTGACTTGTAGAAGTTCCTGCCAAAGCTTAAATAGAATTAATGAAATTGATCCATGCTATCAGACGTTATGCATGTTTTACTAAAAGAACCTGTTTTATAGCTGTCCAGGGAATTGGAAGCTATTGAGCTGAGCTGGAATTTGCAGGCATTCAAATACAAATGAGATTCATTCAGTTGAGTCTAGTCAAGACTGAAACATTGTTTTTTACTGCCAGATTTTGTGTTTTGTATATGAGGACCAAGTGAATTTTTTTCTGAAATGTTGATGGCGATCTTTGTCTGTTTTCCTTTGCAAGTTTTCGTTCATTCATGGAGGTGGGAAAACGTCCACGTTTCATTGTATTTAATGGGTATTCATCAGTTCGTATAACGGTAAATGATCAGTGTATGAATTTTGATATCTTTTTATCAAAATAGACATTACTTGGGACTACAGTATGCAAATTGCATGCAATGTTCACAGTTATTAGTCAATAACATGCGCTTTATCCATATGTTATTTTTATGAAATGGAGCGAGCCACATATTAATTTGGTTTTTTTTTTAATTCGGTCACTTTCTTTTTGACTCACCCTGTAGGCCTAGAGTGAACGCGTTGCTCAAATATACAAATACAGTATACAGCATGGTTTGAGGCGAAGTAGTGGGAATTACTGGTCCCGAGGTGTAGGTCAGCTTGACTACCTCCCGACGCGAAGTGGAGGGACGTATAGTCAAGCTGACCTACACCGAGTAATTCCAACTACTTTCCAGAGATAAACCATGCTGTATTTGTTTTATACTACACCTCATCAAAATTTAGTAGCCTCACTGCCTTTTTTAGCGGCCTCACTGCCTTGTCGATAACGGCCTTCGTAGATTTTGCATCTTTATCCAGTACAAGATATTCAAGTTCTTCGTCAGTCACTGGCAATGAAAAAAATCTGTTGCCAACACTCTCTAACTCCCTGGCATAATTTACTAGGAACCGTACGCGTACCCATTCCGGCAAATCCAACACCCACATGAGAAAACGTACACACACACTGTTGGACTTAGTTTCTGGAGGTATGCCAAACCCACTTTACCTATCCCAGTAGATTTCAACAAAACCTGCTGTTGGTCTTTGATGGGTTGAGTTCGGTTAGGGTTAATGTGTCTTTACTACAGTAGTTACAAGGACTACAACAACAGACTGCAGCTTATGGCGTGTCAAACGTTGCAATATTCAATATTTTGCAATATATATGTTGGATGTTCAATATGTGTTTGTTATGTTTTACATTTATGTGCGATGTTCAATATAAGTGTGCGATGTTTTTCATTATTTGCGCGATGTTTAATATATTTGTGCGATGTTTTACAATATATGTGCGATGTTCAATATATGTGTGCGATGTTTTACATTTATATGCGATTTTCAATTTATATGTGCGATGTTTTTGACGATATATATGTGCGATGTTTTCAATATTATGTTCGATTTTTTGCATTAAATGTGCGGTGTTTTTCGATACAATTGTGTGTGTTGTTTTACAATATATTTGCGATATTCTCAAATATGTGAGCAATGTTTTACAAATATGTTTGACATTTCGAGCTATTTGTATTCGATGTTTCATCGGTATGTTTGCATTCGATCTTTTGCAATATATGCATTTGATGTTTCCCTTTTCATTCGATGTTTCGTTAAGAGTCAAAGTCTGGTTACTAGACCGCGAAAGTCTGACTATTTTGCCTAAAGTCAGTGTATGAGACGTCAGGGGATCGCGTAAAGTGATTAGAGCCAGACCTTAACGGTAAAAACCGGAGTTGTGGGTAATTCTTTAAGCATACGCAATGCGTTCATCATTGTTTGGGCAGTACCCCCAGCTGTGCCTAGTGTACTACCCATAGTGTTATGTGCATCATCTATGCATTGAGGAGTGCATAACACATGGTCTGAGCTCCAAGGCCGATGTGCACCTGTCCCGTTTAATGATCCAGTTACCTGATAATTTGTTTGAAAAATTCCAGATTAAAATTTGGCAAAATTAGATGTTTATAAAAAAAAATCAAATTGTAAGGGGTTAACCTTGCATTTTTTTTAGCAAAATCGGGAAAAATCAGATGTTTCTGGAAAATTGCAGATTGTATGGGGTTAGATGTTTATGAAACATTTCAAATTGTAAGGGGTGAACATTGCATATTTTAGCGAAATTGTGCAAAATCAGATGTTTCCGAAAAATTTAAGATTGTAAGGGATTATCCTTGCTTTTTTAATGAAATTTGGCAAAGTTAGATGTTTATGAAAAATTTCAAATTATAAGGGGTTAACCTTGCATTTTTTTAACGAAATTGGGAAACAAATCTGATGTTTCTGGAAAATAGCAGATTGTAAGGGGTTAACCTTGCTTTTTAAATACGATTGGGAAAAATTAGATGTTCATGAAAAAAATTCAAATTGTAAGGGGTTAACCTTGCATTTTTTTAAGCAAAATAGGACACAATCAGATGATTCTGGAAAATTGCAGATTGTTAGGGCTTAACCCTGTATTTCTAGCAAAATTGGGCAAAAAGAAATGTTTATGAAAATTTTAAATTGTAAGAGGTGTACCTTGCTTATTTAGTAAAATTTGGCAAAATCAGATTTGTTTGAAAAATCTAAAATGGTAAGGGGTAACCTTGCATTTTTAGCAAAATTTGGAGCATATTTTACTAAACTTGGGCAAAATCAGATGCTTCTAAAAAATCCAGATGTAAAGTTTCCACAAAAACAGCTGTTGAAAAAGAGTCCAATGTTGAACTTTACTGAGTCTGAGGTCTATCGAGGGGACGTTCCTAATTTCAACTCCCGGAGATTCGCTGACAGTCTCTATTTTTCTTTTTAAGAAAGTCGAAATAGCTGAAGAGGGAGGTGAGAATCTATATGTGCCCAGATACAAAGAGTAGAAATCTACGCGTCTGCCTTTTGAAAATACACAATTGCGGTGTTCATTGTTGCGTAATGATCCGCCTAGCACACGACTGTTTTGCACATTAGGCTGTGTTATGCAGCTTCCTAACAAACCAAACACACTGGGCTCATTATATCGATTTGTTTTTACCCATTAAGGTAAAGCAAATTGACCCAGTAATCTTCCTGGCGCGTTTGCTCACCTATAAGGACAACTTTTCTCAGTTTAAGGAAAATTCTAAGGTAACGAAATGGCCGAGTGGTTACGATTCGTCGCCCACGGTTAGCGGGGTCCCAGGTTCGAATCCCGCTGGTGTCTTTTTGATTTTTAACGTATGAGTTCAATCATTTACTATAAGAGATTTAATTTCCCGTCGTAAAGTACCAACAGTACCTTAGCTTAATCGGTAAGCAC